GCCCCCCTTCTAATAAGGCGCAACACATTATGCGACGTTCGCTCCGTAATGAGGCACGGATTCGCCTCGCTTTTTTGCGGCGTTTCCAATTTGTTTTATGTAGATTTCGGGAGTTGTTTCGGGGGTCTATTTTGGAATTCAAGGAGCTCATAAAACGAAGCCAAGAGAATGGGGGTGTTGTGGAGGGCAAAAGGATAAGTTGGGGTCAACATGAGGACGGGTGATGGGAAGGGATATTCTTTATATGTGATATGAGGTCTTTATGAGTAAATAGTCCTGTCTAATTGACCTCCAAAGGTCTAGAAATTTGACTGTATCATCTTTTTTTTAACTTTTTTTTCCAAAATCAGATATCCAACTTTTTTTTTATTGTTTTCCCAGAAAACCAAAAATAAATTATTCCTCGAAGCCAGTTAAACCAACATTTCTTGTCGTTTACAACGTCCACTGGGACGTCGTAAAAGATGTCACATTCTGGAGGAGAAGTTTTGAAAACAAGTCACAGATTGATCAAAAAAACTCCAGTGTTACCAAGTCCTAACGGATGAGGAGGTTAATTGGAATATTGGGCTGATCGTTCTTTAATTTTATATTTCTTTTCTGACAGGTCTGATCGATGCAAAAATAAATTTTAGACAGTTGACAGTAAGATTTGCACAGAGACTGAAGACCACTATTTAAATTGAAAAAATGTGTCAAGCGTGTGAAGAGGAAGTTCAATATTGCTTGTAAAATACGACGTGCTGATGAAAACGTGTACTTCTTTATTCCAAAAAACATCTTTTGAAGTATCTTTCCGCATTTCGAGCAAAAGAAAAGTGTTTGCAGCTTGGCCCTGCTCTAGATTTTTTGTGTGAAAACGTACTCAGGCAGAACGACAATTTTTTACAGTAAAAACATGGAAATTTTGGGGCTAAGGTAGTACAACCCCCCAGTCCATTTTAGCCCCCCATGACCCAGTACAAACCCCCTCATCCAATCTGAACCGCCTACTTGGGATTGGGTTCTCTCGGCTACGATCATCTTACAGGGGAAGTACTCCAAGTGCGACGCTCAGATTTTCTTTAAATTTTGCACACACGTCGGGTATGGACTAAATATCAATTTCTGAAAGTTTTAGCTCGCGCTTTTCAGGCGCCACCGAGATATTGGACGATTTTTGCCGCCGAGAGAGCACGCTAAACGTGGGGAGCGATCAGAGAGAAAACACCTTTTTGGCCGTAACTTTGGCAGTTCCAAGCGGAAAATTTTGATTTTTTGTACAAAAATTATCCTTTACGGTTGAAATAGGCATAAAACTTTTCGAGCCGAAATTCGGCAAAAGTCCAAAATTTTGGCTGACTTTTGATCTAAAAATCTCGGTTGTTTCTGCAAAGTGCGAGCTAGAATTCTCGCATATGTCCGAACTTTTTTTTGTACATCTCTAGCACTCTTCGGACACAAAATTCACCCGCCATAAAACATGCGAATAACCTTGTAGACGTAGGTAAAGCCTACTTTTACAAGTTTTGACATGTGGCAAAAAGGATTGGATCAAAGTTCCCTTTCAATATAAATAATTTTCTTTGAACTCCCGACTCTCCTCATTTCGAGAGTTCTCTCGAAAACAAGGTCGATGAAAATCTCTGTTGTGGCTGAAAATCGCGAACTAAAGCTTTCAGGGATTGATATTTTTCTAGTTTATCGGCCAAAATTTTACCGAAGTATGATTTCCCGCCAAAAAGAATTATTTTTCCTTGCGTCAAATTTTGCTTTCTTGTTGTTATAAACATTCAGCTTGTAAAATACGAAATATATAAAAATTCGGATTTTCGTGCACTATGAAATGTTAACTTTTCTTCAAGCAAAAATATTTCGTTTTGTCATTGATCCGTTAAACCTGATTAGAACGCTCAAAAAGTCATCGTTCTAATTTCAGCTTCTTCCTACATTAGCTTAATTTTCTAATTGAACAACTCAATTTTCCACTTTCAAATCATTTCTGAACCCCTAAAAAAAGTACGAATTTTCTATTCTAGTCCACTCCGTGTCTAATCCTCAAGTTCATTTTCGGATATCCCCCCAAAAAATCATCTGCGCGCTCCACAAAAATCAGACTCGCTGCAGAAAAAATCTGCGAAAATCGGAAAAAATCCTCCGACAAACGTTTCCGTGTCAACCTTCACCCCACCTGAAACCGACTTGCGGGATAAACAACTGGTGAATCTTCGGAAATCGTAGCTCATTTACAGCGTGCCTCGAGGTGAAGGCTTTGTTTTCGGTGGTGGAGGGATAAGGTGAGGGGAGACTTTATTGTATATAATAGAAGATTATGGAGGGTATAAGAACAGGTTAAAATGGGGTTTATTTTATTTTTAGGACCTTTTTGGGATTACTGCATAAAAATAGAGTTGAAATTTTAAATTTTTTTTTTGACTTTGGTTTCCTTTATTATCAGACTAAAAATAGGGAATTTGAGAATTTTTTAACACATTATTCTCAAATTTTCTTTTCATTAAAAGGCGTGGTCAGAACATGTATTATATTTTTGGCCACATCTTTCCCAATTTTGTACGAAAAAATCATTTTTTTTTGTATGACCGTGACACTGCTTGCTAGAAAAGTAAAAATTTTCATGCACTAACAAGGGAAGTACCCCAAGTGCGACGCTCAGATTTTCTTTAAATTTTGCACACACGTCGGGTATGGACTAAATATCAATTCCTGAAAGTTTTAGCTCGCGCTTTGCGGGCGCCGCCGAGATATCGAACGATCTTTGCCGCCGAGAGAGCACGCTAAACGTGGAGAACGCTCAGAGAGAAAAGCGCTTTTTGGCCATAACTTTGGCAGTTTCATGCGGAAAGTTTTGATTTTTTGTAGAAACATTATCCTTTACGGTAGAAATAGGCATGAAAGTTTTCGTGCCGAAATTCGGCAAGAGGTCCTAAATTTTCGCCGACTTTTGATCTAAAAATCCCGGTTGTTTCTGCAAAGCGCGAGCTAGGATTTTCGCATATACCTTAGATAAAATTATTCTAAATTTGTGCCAAGTTTCATCAAAATCTGAGCGTAGCACTTGGAGTACTTCTAAGTCCCAAAAAACAGTCGAATTTTGGCCAATTTTTTGACTGGATATCTCGGTTGTTTTTGCAAAACCTGATCTAGCAACACCGCATATGTCTTAAAAAAATAAATGTCAATTTGTGCCAAGTTTCATTAAAACCTGAACGCAGTTATTACTGATTCTCGTTGTTTGCATTTTTTATTTTTTTTTACAAACTGAGATTTTTGATTTTCGGTTTTTTTGCAGTTTTTCATTTCTGCACGTATTTTACCAGAGTTGAACTTTTTTGATCCTTCAATTTTTTGTTGATTTTTTGTCGACGTTTAGAACAGAAAAACGAACACTCTTTCCCGATCTGTCTTCCCAGCCAAATTGGCCGTCGTTTTTCAATTTTTCAAACCGAAAGCGGCGTGACATGTTGGGAAACGAAGATACATCTCACTTTTTTTGTATTTTAAAAATTATTTTTTGTCTTTTTTAACTTTTGCGTCAACAATTTTTTTACTTGAAAACTAAAATACCAATATATTTACCGTATTTCATAAAAATTTAAATTTTTTTTTATAATTTTTACTCCTTTCCCGCATTTTTTGGCCAAATTTCTTTTCAAAAAATCCAAAAATAAAATGTCTCCTTTATAAAATCTCCGTTCGCGGTTCCAAGTCATCCGTAAACGAGTTTCAACTTTACATAATAAACCCACTTTCAAATGCCAACCAAAAAGCGGGAGAGACGGGGATTTGTGCGAGGATATTAACTCTCCAAACATTTTTTATGGAATTCGCAAAATTTTTTTGGAGGATTTCAAAGCTTTGTTGGGTATTTTGAGAGGGGAATGAACTAAAAATTTAAATTTTGGAACATTTTCGTATTTTTTCATTATAAAAATTTTTCATTTTTATGTTTTTTTATTTTTTATTATTTTATAATTAGAAAAAATCGCATAATTTTTGCCAATTTTGAAGAAATTTGCATATTTTTTTGAATATGCAAATTTTATAAATAAAAATTTTGAAATTTTGCATATCCAAAAAATCCGATTTTTCTGTGTTTCTAACTTTTTTTTTGTCCGAATAAATTGTTTTTATACGAATATTTTTTTTTCCATTTTTTACTCCCTCGTTCCAAATCTTGTCTCGAGATCAGAGATTGCCACGGCTCCGGAGCCGGCTCTTGGCTCCGGCTCTGAGCGGCTCCGGCTCCGAGCCGGGAGCCAGAGCCGGAGCCGGGAATTTTGGGTGCGGCTCCGGCTCCGGAGCTCAAAGTCGGAGCCAGGCTTCTCAGCGTTCAGAAAAATAAAAATTTCGTGATCTTGTTAAAACCAAATTGCTTGAAAAATAGTGGGAAGGATGTGTTGCATACAACTTGGCTTCAAAAACGTTGGGTGTATGACCTCTGGCATTAATAACTTTTATTTTTGGAAAAATATTTTTTTTTAATTTTTTGCACGGGAGCCGAGATTCGGAGCCGAAGAACTTTTTAAATTTTTCATGGGAGCCGGGAGCCGGAGCCGGAGCTGCAAATTTGGCCTCGGCTCCGGCTCTGGGAGCCAAGAGCCGGAGCCGGAGCCGAAATTTTGACCGTGGCAATCTCTGCTCGAGATCCTCCAATTTCTTTAATTGGAATTTGAATGTCCCCGGAATTCGGGCCAACATTTCCATTGGTATGCTCCGCAAAAAAGCGCGGCGGCTTCAGCCGACGGATGCGTCAGCGATTCTCCAGAGACGGCGCGCCATTGTTCGGGTCAAAAGGTCTTCAAAACGTTTTTTTTCTGTTCAGCCAACTTTTTTGGTGGTAGATTACAAGGATTCCCATGGCCGTTCCAGCCCCAAAAACGTCTTCGGATTTCCGGTCTTGTCGTTGCGTGTCCGATTCGGGTTGTTTGAGAGTAATGGGTCGCAGTTTCAGCAAAAGTTCAGTACAGTTCCTGAGAGCGAGCACATGGTACAGAGGTTGAATGACCACTCACAGCTCACCCACCATTTTTGAGTGTAAGTCGTTTTTTGGGCCATAAGTAATATTTTCGGTCATTGCGTTTCGTTAAAAATACACAGAGCTCCTTGAGCGGTCAAATTTGTTTATAAATAAAAGTCTTTAGTCATGGTACTAAGATTTCCTCAATATTTTTCATAATCTTCATAACTAGCTACATAAAATTTTCTGAAGATTTCTACAAGTTCTTTGCAGTGGCTTCCGAGATATTAAGCCATCTTTGTAGCCAAAAGAGTATGCAAAATAAAGAGAACGGTTAGAAAGAAAAATACAAAAAAATAGTTTTTAATGTCATCATCGCAATTTCATTTATTTTCAGCCTTCAGTCCAACCAGTGTTCGTAGCGCTCCCCTACATCATAAACTATGTACAGCCCGAACTTATTCTCAACACACCCCGCCAATCCAGTCCCCCTTGTGCAAGCATTCTCATGATTCAAATGGACCATGCGGATCCCCAAAATTAGTCGAAAGATGTGTAGTGGTGGCCAAGCATCCCGATGGATATGGCCTAACAGTTACTGGAGAGCATCCGGTGTACGTTGAGACCGTAAAACATGATGGAGCGGCGGCCAGGGCGGGAGTTCGAGTGGGAGATCAAATCACAAAAATCAATGGAATGCCAGTCTCAAGTTCGAATCATTACGAAGTGCTGAGGATGATCTCTGGTGAGTTGGAGGCTTGCTAAATTGGTAATTAAATTTCCCAATGTGTAACTCTCATATATTCATCAGATTTTTCTTAAATTTTCTGCTTTTGCCATATGAAAATTACAAAAAAAAATCAATTTCTCTCCTTATTGAGTGAGACGGGATACTTATCGGCCTTTGCAGACTAACTATAGAAAATGAGGAGAGTCAGTCAGAAGAAAAAAAAAGTTTTATTGTTGGGCCATATTTGTTCGACTTTCGTTCGGAAAACTCATGTTCACTTTTGAGATTTCCGATATTGTAGCAGTTTGTCAGGAAAGTGACAAACAAATGCCACTCCGGCAAACGGGAACATTCGCTGCGATTTTGGGATTCCGTATTTTACCCTGCTTCCTCGAATTTTAAACATCACCAAGTTTTACTTAATCTTTTGTTTGCAAAATTATTTTTTTAATATCTCGGCTGATCCTGGTAATCGCGGGCTAAAATTGCTTTGAAATAGAATATGATCCACATAGATCATTCAAGCAAAGTTTAAAGGAAATCTCAGCGTCGCTCCTCTTCTTTGTTGATCAAAATTTGCTGTGAAAAAAATGGAAAACGTTTTATTACACATAGACAGGTCTTTTTTTAAGTAACATTATAATGCAATATTCTCCAAAATACAGTGTAAAATCAGTCCACTGTATCTATCCGTACAAAGAAACCTGTCTATAAAAACAATTGCAGCGCTCCCAATAGTCAAGAATCCACAAAAATTAACCTCTGAATCACGAACCCTTTATAACGATTACATAAAAATTTTTTGTCCTCACAATTCGTTATGCAGAGGCTTGACTTGTAATTTCATTTTTTATTTCCAATTTCCCCCCTTGCTCTTGCATTTCCCCCTCCAATTCTGCATTACAATCAATTCTTCATTCGCTAATTGTTTTAGCCGGTCCCAATGTCGCTCTGACGCTGCTGGGTGAATCTCTGTCATGTGATTCATGTCGTCCAATGTTTTTCGAATTCTTCGAAGTAAGTGCTTACTATCTTTGATTGTAAATAATTGAACAGCCTTTTGTAGGGTTAATTTAACAGATGTTTTGGAATTTACTTCCAAACTTCACGTTGTAACAGAGTTTTTAACATTTTTTTTGGTGCATTTATAGGAACGGCTAAGTTAATTAGTTAGAAAATAAAAAAAGAGTGTAATGGCAATGTAATATTAGGAGAAAAATCAATGCTTTTTACAACTTTTAGTGTCTGAAAAATGAGATAAATCAAGAGTAAAAAAAGTAAAAAATAGAGCCATAAAAATGACGTTTCATAAACAAAAAATTGATGATGACTTTATAGAAGACGTCTACATAGAACCTGCAAAAGTTTGAGAACATAATTCTTTTGTTAAAATTTCAAAATTTGATGACTAAAGTCATAACCAAATTTTTCATTTTTGAGAGGAAAATGTAAGTAAAAAAGGTCATTTCTTTGTAGCCCCAAAGGCTTTTTATGATTTCCAAGGAGGATTCACAAAAAAAATATTCGAAATGAATCATTGTTCAGGGAAAATATTGAAAATTGATCAAGCTTTGACATTTTTTTTATCACAAACAAGCTTTTTTCTTTTTAATTTATAGAAAAAATATTGATTTTTTATTTGAATTGCCATAAATTTGCTAGATTTTTATTACGAGGAGAAATAGACTCTTTCAAGGTCTCTAAAACTACGCAGTAAACTCAAAGAGCTTCATTTATTAGGCCTAGGTACTAGAACTTCTAAAAAACCAGCCTCTTGGTACTATTGCACTCAAAAACCCAGCCTCTTTCGCAACACCCCTCCAGCCCCCCACCCCCAACTTAATCTCTGATTTTAGGAGCCGCGCCGCCGCCGAACCGGGACCAGCGAAGGCTCGACCTCATCATCACGGAATCCGGAAGTAAGTGGTCTCTCTCTCCCTCTCTGTGGGCTTAATCCGGCCGCCAAAACTTGTGTCAAAACAGATTTCGCCGGCCCCCCGCCGGGGGGGACAGTATCTGTTTTCGGGGCCGGACATGCCCTCCACCCGCGCGCGCTCTCCTCTGATTCCGAAACCGAAAGCGTTTAAAGACATCAGCAAAAAACGAATGAGAAGAAAGACATCCCCTCCGGCAAAACTAAAGCTCAGCGCATTCTTTGACTCTCGGATTTCTTGTCCCGACGTCTTCCGGACGCCCCGACATTCACACAAATCTCGGGTGTAGAATCCGCGGCGCGATGTTCATGGGAGATCTTATGTTATCTTGGAAATGATACGGCGTTTTTCAGATGTTTTCTGGAGCTCGAAAAATTTTCAAGATAGAAAAATTTTTTGGCAAAATTGAGAAATGATGCTATAATTCAAAAAGTGAAATTTGCGACACTCAGATTTTGTGCTATTTTTTGTTGCTCGCGTTTTGCAGAGACCCCAAAGATTTTTTACAAGTTTTTTTCGCCAAGGGAGTACGTGAGATGCAGGGAGTGATCAGTAAAAATTTTTTTTTGCCGTACTTTTTTCAGCTTTGTCATAAAGAAGGCCAAAGGTTTCTGCTTCAAAAACTGCAAAAAATGTGCAGCATTTTACTTCAACTTTTGGCCTAAAAATTTCTGCTGTTTCTGCAAAGTGCGAGGAAATCTGTCATTATGTCTTGTTATATCAGTCTGTCGGGAAAATAATGAGCGCAATGTCGCTGCGCCAATAGGGTCTCTGAAGTGACAAAAAATCGATTTTATCTCTTCATTTTCTGGACAATTTTCGATGCGACAGAGTGTTCATTATTTTCCCGACAGGCTGATATGTGAAAACAAATCTTGTCTTAATTTACCTCAAGTTTTTTTTCAAAATCTGACCGCATTCTTTGCCTCCGATTTTGATTTCCTTTCAAACTTTTGGCCACTCCTAACAATAAGTTCGGCAAAGCGTATAAACCTAAAGAAAATTTCGGAGCAAAAATTTTTTTATTATTATTTACCACCGCTTCTCCACAAAAATTTCTTTATCCGATTCTTCAGAGCGCGGACAACTCGCGTCAGTCCAGCTTCAACACCGTGGACAAGTCGTTGCAGCGGGTGCGGGGCCTGGAGAACCACTCGCGCAACAGCTACCAATCGACCAGTTCCGACGATCAGTTGGTATGTGTGCACTAATCGCATTACAACGGGCCGCTCGTCCGATATTAATCATGCCTGAGGGGAGGGAAAACAAATTATTATTCCACAGATTTTTTTTCGAAAACAAATTAGATTCTGAACGGGGTTTGGAGCATCTTTGGCCAGGACTTTGTAAATAACTATTTAAACAGTGATCTTACTGTTTTAGACCTTAAAAAGTAATTTTTAGCAAAAATTTTCACTTTTTCTGAAATTCGAAATTTTGCTATTTTTACTCCAAAACCCTATTTATCTTCTCTAACACTCCCTAAAATGCTCCTAAACGACATAATGGTCCTGTTGAAGGAGCCAACCGACATCGTGGAGCCGGTCAGGGCGTGGGTCAACTCCGGCGGCAAACACTATGCCCAGGGCTCGCTTAAAGACCTCACCGAGACGTTGGGCCGCGAAGACGAGCTGGAACATGATCGTGATGTGACGGCGGAGGAGGCCGCTCCCGTAACGCTCAATTCCATGGGGAATCCGGCCGACTTGCGGCGAAATCCCGACGAATTGGCGGGATTTTTGAACTACACCGTTCATCATGGGGATCCCTCAAGCACGGTAAGCATTTTTAGGAGATTTTATAGGCGTTTAAAATCATTTTGATTCAAATTTTTCTTGAATATTCAAATTTTTGGAAAATTTTCAAATTTGAATAAATTTTTGCATTATTTAAAATTCAAATTTTCTATAGCATTTTTAAGATTTTTTGACCTCATTTTATCCAAAAATTTGAGATTTAGCCCCGAGAACCTTTCAAATTTTTCCCTATCAATAAATTTCGACCTCAAACCACATGTTTTTCCTAATTTTCCCAAAAAAAATTCCACTAACTATCTCTTCAAATTGCAGCTCTTCTACCTCATTACGGCCGCATTCCAATCGTGCACGGCTCCATTAAAAGAATTACGGCGATTTGCCTATGAGATTTTCTCGACCTTCCTCATCCCGGGTGCTCCTCTAATTGTGCCCGGCATCACGCAAGTCCAAATCCAGTCCATTGACCGGATTCTGGGCTCCTTCAACAGCAACCAAAGCAATGATGCGGACCAGCTGAAGAAGGTGTTCATTTCGTGTCGCAGCAAAGCGCTGAGCTCGATGGAGGACAATTTCGGGGAGTACAAAAGATCGTTGAGTAAGTTGGAAATCTTTGAAACAAAAACTGGGAGAAGAATAGAGTATAGAAAATCAGGAGAGCACAGACAGTCAGACGGAAAAAGTTTTTTTTTTATGTGTTTGCTTTGGCTAAAGAACAACTCAGAGTTTATGGATGACGGAGTTTATTGACAACAGACCAGTACCCTGAGGGGAAATTTAGATTTCTCACTTAAAAAGATCTGAAAAATTTTGACTGACAAATCTCGGCGGGTCCGGTAAAATGCGAACTGAGAGTCCATGATGACTTGGAGAAACTCAAGCCTCTTGTTTTCCTAGTTAGTCTCCAAGTTTGAGTGTGAATCTCTACCACTCTAAAAGCACGCTAAGGCCCTAAAAATCATCATTGAAGCCCGTTATGGCTGAAGAGAGTAGGTGAAAAAATCGACAAAACCTTTAGTTTCGGGAGGAGCCGAAATCAGAGAAGTCGCTTACGACCCATTCAGTGATAGGTTAGCGATTTTAGCAATGCGTTTAGAAAGGTCTGGTGGGAAGAAATGGGCAGGAAAAGGACATGGAGTTAGAAAATGTGGTAAGAATTGAACGTGGCCAAAAGAAATTTCTCAGTCCCTTCATTTGGTCCCACCTTTTTGATTGTAGGCTCTCAGTCCCTTACTTTTCAAAACTTTGATTTTTAGTGATCGCCCAAAAGCCGGATTCCCGTTCCGAGAGCAAATCCAAATACGCCGAACAACTTCTCATGAGCATTCTGGAAGAGCTCCTGCAACTCTGCGGCAACGATCTCGAGAAGGCCGACTCTCGCGGCCTTGCATTGCTAATCTCCATCGCCAGTGTAATCAAAGTGGTTCTCAACATCAAGCCGAGTCAGCTGAATTGGGAGAAGCTGATCGAAAAGTGCCCGACTTTTATCACTTCCACTGCCAAATCGGGAGTTTTCCGGATGAAGCCGATGATGCCGAAGAGAGCGGTGCAGATAATGGACCATCAATTTAATCTGCAGTCAGTCTACTTGACGGTTCATTGTTATCAATGTCGGGATGCGGTGTGGGGAGTGAATCCGCAGGCCTATTTTTGTCAGAGTAAGTCAATTTGGCGAAATTTTGAGCTTGGAGACCGTTTAAAAATTTCTAAAAAATACGTCATCATGACGCTTTGTGGTCTCAAAAAATACCGTAAAAAATTCTCAAGTTATATTTTTGACCTTTCAGAAGTTTTTTGGTCCTATGAATGACATATTTTACACCTTTTGATTTCAAAATTCCAAAAAATTGGTCATCAAGACAACTTTCATAATTCGATATTTAAAATTTTTCATGCTAATGTTGAGACCTGAGTATTTCAAGGATACTGTAGAAAATAATGCCCTAAGGTCATGGTACCAGTATGATGTATTTTTTACCACTTTTAGCGAGAGCTCCGTGATTTTCGCCAAGATTTTCTCTTTTCGATATTTTTCGATGTTCCCTTTCATCCTAAGTTACTATGTAAATTCGGGTTGTTGACAAGTCTCCAGCACTGCATGACAGTCCTCCCGAATCTGTCACAAGGTCTCCGCGCGCCCCGCGGCCCGCTCACGTCTAGACCGGGGGCCAATTCCGAAAAAAGTCGGCGCGAAAGTCCTGCGGGCGTCGTACAGAAACGCGGGCGCAACTCTGCGGATCCGCATCCCCTGAGGCCGACGGCGATCTCACGAGGGCCGGGGCGGAGTTAGGCCCCCGAAAACCCATCAAGTACAACTCGTCCATCACACACGAACTCCACCATGGGACCCTTCCTTCCCGTGTTTGGTGGTTGGCGTGCCGGGGATTCTGGAGACTTGAAGTGTCTTCGGAAGATGCGTCCGGCCCCCCGATCCGACCCGACGTTTCGGCCGCAGAGGGCTCGGGGCGCGGATATCCGTTAAAACGCTCGCTTTCCTGAGGTTGTTGTTGTTCAGGGAGTTCAAAATAATGTCTGGTACTGTTCGGAATAGTGATTTGGGGCAGCTTTTCGGCAAGAACTGTGAAATTTGGTTACTGCTCCTGCCAGCACCGTTGATTTTAGATTCGCCAGACCACTATTTCAATCTTCAAATTGTACAAAATTTCGTTGCGAGACCTAATGATCTTTTGTGTTTACTAAATTCGGCAAATTATTCTCAAGAGCTGAGTTGTCTGATGGATAAATGACTGTCAAAATGCCATTTATCCATCAGATTAAAAAAAATACCGTATTTTAAAAGTCATGTTGGCCGATTTTTAGACGTTTTTTATCAGTGAAAGCTCACTTTTCATGAAAACCATGACTTCATAGAGATCTCAGTGCTTTTTATTGTTTAAAAAACCATTAAAAATATACTGTTTTGACTCGAAAATTTATTCCTTATTTTTTATATTTTTTCTTGCAATATACGCATATTTTCCAGACTGCGACGTGATAGTCCACAAGCAGTGCACCAACTCCTTGGCCGACCGTTGCTACCCGGCCACCCAAAAATCCCGCTCTCACACAGCTCAAACTGCCAAACAACAACAACGTCCGCGCACAGCCTCGACCCTCAACCTGAGTAGCACGACGTCAGCGTTGAGTCAGCTCGCTCAGCCCGCGCCCGTCCATCAGAACCGGCACGTCCTGGACACCCGGTCTATGGGCTATGATCCCGGCGCGCATACGACGCCCTTCTACGCCCAAATGGAGAACGCGTTAGAGCCGCCGTCGCATCCACCGCCCGACATTCCTGTGCAGGCCAAGGCGGTTACGCATGTGGTTGAGGCGGCGGCGAAGTCGACGTCGTCGGACTCGGGAATTGGAGCGGATGTGGACAATAAACCGGTGTCCAGAAGTCAGAGTATAAAGGTAGGGGAGATTGAAATTTTATGAGTAAAATCTAACACGTACAATAAGGTTCCTAGGCCGAATTATATGTGCTAAAAATCGTTGTAAAATACGGAACTTGTAAACATTTGTGCATTGCTCTATGCCAATCATAAAACACTTATTTCCAGACCAAAACAAACAAGCTAGAAGATGTGAACGAGCAGCCAGGAATGGAATACGAGGAAAATGCTACAGTCTCAGTCAAAGGGCTGGATGTAAAGTCAATATCGGGCAGTTCGGCGATCTCGGTTAACGCTGATGGAATGCTGGACATTGCAGCCAACGATTCGGATCTCGAAATGGAAGTTGATCTCCCTCCATTGGATCAAATAATTAGTTGGCAAATTTTGAAACGGATCGATCCCAAGCTGAGGAAACTGCAGGAGAGTATAAATGGTAAGACATCTAATTTCAAGGGCAAAACCTAACCAATCAAAAATTTGCAGAGTTCTACCACACCGAGCGAAGTCATGTCCGCAATCTCAAAGTCATCTATCGCGTGTTTCATCGGCCAATCGTGGAGCAGAAACTGGTCAGCAAAGACTTCCTCAAAGTGGTCTTTGCCAACCTCGACGAGCTCATCGAAATCCACTCGGGCATGTTTCAGAAGATGCGCGTGGTGGTGGAGCAGTGGAAGAAGGACCCTCAATATGATGGATTGTACGCGAAACTCGGCTCCACAATTGCCACTTTCTTCGCGGACGAAGATGGAGAGAAGTTCAAGAAGGCAGCTTCCTTGTTCTGCGAGAATCAGCAATACGGCCTGAAGTTGTTGGGAGAGAGGTAAGGAAAAGAGAAGGAGAAATATCTTCATAGACTCGTCAGAGATTGAACTACTGGCATAAGATTAGAATTGAGGGCAAAAGTAGATAAAATTTAAACAATCAAATGAGTAATCAAAAACAAGAATTTATGAAGCATCCGACTGGTCATGACTCTTTTCTGGAAGAGAACACATCTCTAGAAGAGACAGACGAAAAGAAAGAAAAGCAAATTGTCGAAAATTAGAAGGATTCTTGGCTTTTGCAACATTTTTTAATCCGCCAAAATTGCCTGGATTTGTTCAAGATAAGGAAAATAAGTTTTAGCGAAAGAGACAAGCATGTCTTGTTGTCACTTTGGATAACTTACAGTTACTTTTTTGCAAAGTGTACGCGAGATATTTACTGCTTGCGAAGAGAGTCCCAAAAAAAAATTTTCTCTGGCCATTCACCTAATTTTTTTGTACACTCTTGCCCAAAAATGTCATTGAATATCTTGGCTGCCCTTTCAACCTGCAAGCCAAAGTTGGCAGGAATTAATACTCTGGCTAGATAGATGACTCACCAAATTTTGAAGAAAATCTGACAGTCGCTTCTTGAGAAACTTTATTTACTAAACTATTCTTTAGTAAGTAAGGTACCCGCTTTTTGCTTTAGTGGTTTCATTTTCGACATAAGAAATTTTTTATAGATTTATTATTCTGCGAAAGCCCTAACATAAGCCATCAAATATAAGAGGCGCTAAAACACAATTTTTGTAAAGTACCGTATGCATCTCCAACTTCCTTTTTACACTCTTTATTACATAAAATCAGGCGGAGTTTCTCTTGTTTTTTCGACTTTCAACATTTGCAACAGCGCAATACCCTTCAAACTCGAAGCTTGCTTCCCCTCCCTTAAGCGTAACAGCTTCTCATCTAAAAGTTTTACAAAACTGATAAAATATAGTCCACTGTAATAAGAAGATCGTTGCATTTCAGACGGCAGAAAGACGAAAATCTTGCGGCCTTTCTCCAAAAAGCCGAGAGTAATCCGCTGTGCCGGAAATTCCAACTCAAAGATCTGTTGCCAGTGGAGATGCAGAGGCTTGTCAAGTATCCGCTGCTACTCGATACTATATTACGATATACCTCCGAGTCGTCAGAGGAATTTCAACAATATACGGATGCCTGTAATGGGGCTAAAAAGTTGTTGTCGGCAGTGAATACGGCTAAACGAGATGCCGAGAATAAGAGGCATTTGGAGGAGATCCATAGAAAAATTGAAATGCCAACAACGAACAGGCCTTACGACGATGTTATCCGGAGATTCGATATAATGCAGTAAGTGAAATTTTTACTCTTCTAACGCCTTAGAATAGACCTCAAAACCTTAAAAATTGTTCGCTATAGAAAGGCTTAGTTGGTTTATGATTATCTCGGCGATACGAGCCAGTATCTTGCATGTTATTTATTTGAAGATTTCCTTTTACGTCTTGGTGGTCTGTAAATTTAACATTTTCTTTGTACTTACACTCGTAAGCCCGTATTTTACCCCTCGATTTACCTGCCTTTGCAAGACTCTCAAAAATGTATCAGAAATTCTGTATACTTCACTTCTAATAAAAATTAATGGCCCTGCTTTTTCCAAACCACCTCTAAACCAATCCACTCTAATTGCATCCCTTTTTAGATACCGCTACGTCTACAACGGCGACGTAACCTGGAGGCACAGTCGCGGAAAGACCGAAATGCATCTAGTCCTCCTTGACTACCTCCTACTAATCCTCACTAAAGCAAATGACGGCAAATACTACATGCGAACGTCCGAATTCAACGCCGTTCCATTACTCTGGCTTCCCTCGGTTACTGTGGAAGAGAAGACCGGCGACAAACGGGCATTTGTCATCTTCTATGAGCGCGATCTGCGTACCTACGAACTTCAAGCTCAATCCGTAACGGAGAAAAAGACTTGGGAGCAATTGTTGCGGTCGCAAATCTCAGCCGCCAAGTCTGATCTACCGCAAAACTTCGAGACCGACTTTATGAATGTGATGCCGAAGCTCAAGTCAGCGCAGCTGAGTACGGATGACGCTGGCAGCCCGAGTAGCTCGAACGAGGTCGCTGAAGAAGTGCAAGTCACAATGCATGCGGGACTAGTGAAAGCCAGTGAAATTGTCATCCAAAAACCGCAAATTCTGATCATGGAGCAAGCCCAAGCGGCGAAAGTTACTGCCCAACCGGCCAAGCCGCCTGTTCTGAGTCCGGCCGAGCGGATGCGAAGAAGTGATCAGCAGATAACGCAGGCGTTGGTGGAGAAGCATAACGTAATGGCGAGTGAGCTGATGAAAGATGCAAAACTGGCCAAAGAAGACATGGAGATGATTGCTGAGACGTTGACGGGAATGTCAACAATAAATTTGAGGAATCGCAAGCCGAATGAGCTGGCACTGTCGGCAATTGTTCATGGAAATCGACTAATCGACTGCATTAATACGAGTAAGCTTTTTTACAAAAAGATTTCCTATCCTTTGAATATTCAAATGATAATACAACTCTTTTCAGGAATGAGTAACCGTCGCCAGGACTCGGACAAAATTAGCGAAGACGCTGAACGACATCTCCCATTCGTCCCCTGCTACAAGTTGACTGCCGTTGCAGCTCCATTGATGAACCATTTGACTGCCCTTTCGCAAGTCATAAAGGAGCAACGAGACACTATTGAAGAGCTCAAAAAGGAGTTGAACAAGGTAAAGAGAGACGGAAAACTGGCTAAAAAGCTATCAACGTATTTTAAAAAACCTCTGAAATCGGACTCAAATTTCGTGACTTTCGTTATAGATTTTTTTATTTTTAGGAAAGATGATTAAAAAATGAAAAAATGAGAAAGAAGTGTATTACTGTCATGTTTTCAAGCAGAATTTGACAAAAAAATTTTGTGACATTTCGTTATCGATTTTTTTTTATTTTTAGAGTGGCGGCCAAAAAATGAAAAAATGAGAATGTAGTGTATTACTGCATGTTTTCAAGCAGAATTTGATAAAAAAAATTTGTGACATTTCGTTATCGATTTTTCAAATTTTCCAAAAAATTGAAAATCGAAAAAAATTTTTTGCCTCAAGATTACAACAATTTTAAATTTCAAAATTTCAGAATCGCATTGATGCCGGAGGCGCTAAAGACCGCTCCGTCTCCGAAGAAACGCTCACCGAGCCCTCAGGCAACATTGTCCTTCGAAGCCCCTCTCGAATGGCCTAGGCCCAGTTATAATCAACCTATATTGCCAATGAATTTTATTGTCACGGGTACCCACTAATCGGTTCTGAAAACAGATTTCGTCCACTTTCGTCGCAAGAAATGATCTTCAACCTATATAATATTGTTAGAGAATTTATATGGCTCACATGTGTATATTATTACGTGCTATGAGAAAAGAATGGTGAATAATAAACTTGTTTCTACGATTCTTGATTGTTTCGAGATTAGATAATATACCTTGGGGAGTCTAGGGAGGGAGAGAAGTGATGTGATAATGGGAAACTGATGATATAACAATGTTAACTGGCTGAGAAAGTTGCGATAGACAATAAAATTACGTAGCTTGCTTTAACAAGGGGAAGTGCTCGACTTTCGGCGCTCAAATTTTACGAATTTGTTGTGTAATTCTACCTTCAGACGGCAGAATTCACATCACATATATAGCTTCATATACAACTTGCTTAAAAATTTACCGCGCGATTCCTATGCCAGTGGAAAAATACAACTATGTCTTCAATCGAGGACGCCAGAAAACGAAGAGAGATCTCAAAGCTAACAGGATTTTAACTATCCAATTGCGCATATGGGAATCTAACACTCGTAACAATTGTATTAGGATGAGAGACCCTTAGAAAGAAAAAAAATTGCGTGAATTTTACCACAAGCGACATCTTAGACTTCCGTGTGAAGCAAAGTGCTCGTTGCATAACAAAGTTACAGACAAAAAACATGCACGGCCAGACCTCTGTACAACAAATCGCAAAGGTCCCAAATTTTCATTCGTTGGGAAAGGGCTTTGTTGCACGAAGGCTCATTGTAGCCTACTGTTAAGTATAGGCACCTCTGCCGGTGCTCGTTGTCGACAGGTACGTTCTACAAAGCATGGTCGCAGAAAGTCTCCATCGTAATTAAAGACATCAAAATCAGTAGCTACTGTATGAACGAAACTCTTTTATGATGAATTTATTGTTACTGCCTTGAGGTTATATGTATTTGTGTAGAAGTTTTGCCGTACCTCAAGTTTCATATAACACAAATCGATTTATCCATTCAAAATATATTTCCTTCAAATTTCCCCACACCAACCTCATGACCAATCAAAATTTTTAATAACACATTCATATTATACTTCTCCTCAAAAAACTACTTTAAAATTCTACATTAATCTACACCACTCTTCATGCAAATCGAAGTGAATTCGTTCAAATTTCATTTAAATATTTTTCTGACCCTCCTCCAATGAAGCGTTTTATATGACTAATGGGCCATTAGAGGCAATAAAGGTCAGCGCGAAAGAGAGGCGGTTCCTAAAAAGAAGAAGAACATGCCTTCAGTTTAGTCGCCTTTCAATCATATTGCGGATGAGGGATGACGTTCAGGGATGCGGGGATTATATTAATCTTGGTAGTGGAGCAGGTAAGTGGTCGCTTGGGGCTACGGGGAAAGGAAGATTGCAGTTTTTGGTGGCTGATTTTATTCTGAATAGGTCGAAAATTTTTAAAATACGGCGTGCAACTTCTATAGTAAAACTTATAAAGGTCACAAAGAAATGAGGCAAAGAAATTACCACGTATTTTAAAGATGATTTTTTTGTGGAAACATGTACTAAATAAACCTGTGATTTTTTGAATTGAATTTTACATTCTTATTCTATCTACGCTATAAATCAATTCCTGAAATTTTTAACTTGCGCTATGCAGGAGTAGCTGACATATTCAACGATCTTTACAGCCGAGAGACTACGGAAAACGAGGAGAGGAGAAAAATGGCCTAAAGGTCTTTTTCTTTACTATCTCTCCTCATTTTTCATAGTCTCTCGTCAACAAAGAAAGTTGAAAATTTCGTCTGCACCTCCAAAGAGCAAGCTAAAATTTTCGGAAATTGATTTTTGGCCTGGATAACTTGTTATCATCAAAAAATCTAGTCGATATCCCAACAAAAAAAATTAAAAATACCTTGAAATTTTCCTACTTTATTCCAATATATTTTTTTCAGTTCCTCCTCTCATCCCTACCTCTAGACCAATTCCTCTACATTACTGTCAAATCCACCGAATCCAATCACAACACTCGCCTAAAAGATCTGCAAAACACTTGGTTCAAGGACTTGAAACAAGCGGTAAGACCTTGTGAATAATTAAGCAAATCGTCCGAAAACCTCATTTATTTCAAATGTTTCGGCCTTGAATGTTCAAAGGCGAAGATTTTTTATGATTCGAACACTTTTTCCATCGCTTTTTGTAATTTTTCGGCTATTTTTAGGAGATTAATATTGTCAGCGACTCCGAAAATGGGCTAGATGGATGGCTAAAGGAGAAAGTGGTGGCGACAAACTGTGGGAAAAGTCATGCCAGGTAAATTAGTCGATAATTTGAAAAAATCTTGTTTCTAAAATACGATTATATATTTTTTTTAAAACCCCCAGTTTTCCCCCAAAAATGAAAAAAAAGTCATTTTATCAAGAATTTTCAAAAAAATATGTCATCACGCCGCCTTTAAATCGACGATAATGACAGATAGACGCCAGAAATTACAAATTTCGCAAAATGCTCCCATAGAAAAATAAAAAAATTTTGGCCAAAACACCTAATTTTGCCCATCTCAAATATTTTGATGACAATTTTTTTTGCAATTTTTGGTCAAAAAAAGATTCTGAAAATTTACAAAGAATACTTCAGCTATTTCTACTACCCATATTTCATTGAAATTAACTCAGATTTTCTTGATTGTCATCATTTTTTGTTTATTTTTATATTATCCTTGATTTCAGACGAGACCTTGTTTGCAAACTCCAAAAAGAACTCCAACTGTTCAAACATGCGAATGCTAAGTAAGTTCTGACCTTTCAAGCCGTCATTAGCGCCGTTATCAGCGATTCCCATCAACCTCTCACCTTTTATTTGTTTGACCTCAGCTTTGGCTCATGATCGAAGGGGAAAATTCCCACTGAATCGTAAAAAAATCGACAAATATCTCAATCAATCACAATTAATTTAGCACAAAAGAAAGATGGTGGACGTATTTTAAATTGTAAAACATTTCCCTACGCAAAAAAATTCTTGAAACCATAATTTTTATATTATTTTAGATGGTCCTGTCATTTCGATGACGATAGTTACGTAAATGTCAAAAATCTCAAACAATTTCTCTCAAACTACGATGAAAATGACGTCTACTACATTGGCAAAGCTATGACTGGGCCGATCAAGGTTAATCAAGACTACAAATTTATGTTTGCCACCGGCGGCGCCGGCTTTTGTATTTCCCGAGGAGTCCTGAACCTACTACAAGATGAAGCAATAGCTCAATTTTCCCACTTGTCAGAAGAACTTGGCATGCCGGATGACATGACATTAGCTGTGTTTTTGGGTAAGCAAACTATCTTAGACACTAACTTCAAGCAGATTTTCGAATTTTCACAAAAAACATAAGTCATCAAAATCAATTTTTTTTTTGATTTTCAGACAAAAAAGCAGGAGTACGACTAACCTACCGTTCTGAATTCCATTCTCATCTCGAATCTCATCTAATACATTTGCAAGATCTCCAATATCAAGTGTCGCTGGCTCGAACTGTCATTCCTGGGACCTTCGCCATGGATAAGGTCAGATGGATGGAAAAAATTGATTGTTTCTTGAATCTTACGCGCTGCAAATATCAAGAGTACACTGCATAGACAAGATTTTACCCTGATACAAAAGGAATGACTTTCTTCAGCTTTCAAAAGTCCAAAGATAATCCTTTTCAGCCAAAAACTTCTAAAAATCACCTTATTTTAGGTGAGAACTGCTCAAAAAGGCTAGTTATTCCTTTTGTATCGAGCTAAAATTCTCGAAAATTATTTCTGATAGGCTCTTATTTGTATATACTGTAAAAAACTCCCTAAAATTTTCCATATCTCGGTATGAATTACCACAATTTCTGTAAATATCCAGATTTTTATGCAAATTTTTATAACAATAAACAATGAAAATTCCTAACCGGGTGGTATTGAAAAAAATATTCTCTGAACCGAGAGGAAGTGAACTATTTGTAGCATTAGCAATTTTCAAACGCCGTCCGATGCTTCGAATTTGGTGGCCCATTCCGGAGAGGTGACTTTGATATGTTCCGGGCCTTTGTATGGGGGGATGTCGTCGTATGGCAAGGGGAGACCAGCAAATGAGTATGACGCAATCAGGTCCTGGTATCTTATGGTGAATTCTTGGATGAATCGGACGCCAAAGAAGGCTTGAGCAGCCAGGCCAGCGGATTCTTCGAAATTTCCTCTGAAAATGAATCAAAATCGTTACTCATCCCACTTATAATCCATCAGACAATAGAAGAAACACTCTTCAAATTATTCTACACTAATTACAATTCATCTCCCGCCATCTAGAGCTCAAAAATCGTCAAATTTTTTCAAAATCATCTCCTCCTACCTACTACAATATAACGCCTCAAAAAATTTACCGTTCACTCATATGTCTGGACAACAACGATAGAAGCTCATGGTTATACGGGTCCTTATTGCTGAGATCGACCAATTTTTCACGGAACTGAGTGATGACTTCGGGGTTAGTTGAGTTCTTCTCCGTGTAACACAGCCTAAAATCAAAAAAAATATTGAAAACAACTTACACATGAAGAAGTTCGAATGAAATTGAGTTCTGACACTTATCTTTGTGCTTATCAAGAATTTCCAGGGCTAGATCAAGGTTGGCAAGGGAGGCAAATACCTAAAATTATATTCCCCATGAAAAATTTGGTATTTTATAGAAAAAATTGACATTTTCGAGCTCAAATTGTATTTCTATGTCCTTAGAAAAAAAACTTTATGGTCAATCAATTATTTATAAACTTACTTTAGCAACAGTTAGAGTCTTGAAAGCGTTGAGATCATTATTTTGAACATATCTATCGATATTGGCACAAGCTGTCTGAACAGCCGACATATTTCGGTCCTTGGCGGCGGCATAGAACTGATAAGTCAGCTCATGGAATTCCAAATCGGGATGTTCGGGTTCCAACGTTCTTGCCAGCTTGATCAGTTCGATGGATTTTGTGTAATCTCCCCATCTACTGCAATGATTGGCAAGAACAACAAGAGGATCCACGTTTCCTTTAAGCAACTCATGGTTTTGGAGGATCTTGCGCTCTGAGTCGTCTATGGCATCAATGTACACATCCAATGCCCAGAGGGCCAGAAGAAGGTCTTTGTTTTCGACCTTGAATTCTTCAGCTAAAATAAGGTAATATTGATGGCGGAATTAAAAACACATAGCTTAAAAGACATTAGAACAGCTCTACTAGGAACTTTCTTCATGTTTTCTTGAAACAAACCGCAAAAAACTGACAATTTTTAAATTCACCATGATAGCTAATGCCTATTTCCAAAAAGAAGTTGGAAAATGATGACATGAGCAGCTATAAACAACTCATCAGAGTCTATGCTTCCTAGAACTTCTTTCAAAATTCATTTCATTTCAACTTTCATACGAAAAATCCATCAACGGTCTAATTTTATTTGATTCATGCCCATCAAACCTTATTCATCAAAACTTCCTCCTAAAAGCCAAAGAACAAAAAATAAAATAAACTTACATTGAACATCCCACAACGCTGTAAACTGTGTTGTCATGAACTGAACTTCCCGGTATAACCCGGCAAATAGGTAGATCCTTGCAGCAAACAACCTGGCCAAAAGCCGATCCCTAATTGAAAGTTCCTCATCCAATGATGCCTTCAAAGCAAGCTCCAAAGCTTTGGTGTGCTCTTGCTGAGCGAAAAATTGCAATGCCTGGTCTAGAGGGTCCGAATAAGTGGCTTCATCACGAATATTTTCGAGTCGATTCAAAACGGGATCATGGATAGCAATCTTCTGCGTCCAATCTTCAGTTATCAGCCGGGAAATTGGCAAGAATTGCCCGGTGAGGAAGAATTTCTAAACAATGAACAATAATAATTCAAAAAGGATAGCTGATTTCACAAGAAAACAAGCAATATTATCCATCACTCACCTTGAACATGTTCTCCACATTCTTTGCTGTCAAATTCGTCAAATCCTCCAAGAAATCTCGATTTACCTTCTCCAAAATCTTGTCTCCAGACCCCTGCAACAACCTCAGACAATATCCTCCATCAGCGACGGCGTTTTGAAGTTGATCCAGCTTTTTGTGCAGCCGAACCCTTCGAATGTAGACCTTGGTGTAATTTTTATTTATACTCAGCGCTTTATCCGTCAATTCCAAAGCTCTCGCCAAATCATTCTGATACTCTGCAGCTGCCGAAAGGTTGTTAAAGACAGTAGACAGTAATTGCTGTTGTTCTGGCGAGATTGCAAGCGATTTTAGGATCTCCACACTCTTTTCGAAAAGCTTATCGGCTTCCGAATAATTGTGCTTAGCAAATTGGGCGTTTCCAAGCTCCTTCAGCTGTTGAGCTTGCTCGAACGGGGCTAAGTTAGCATTAACAATCGTTGCTGAAGCGGTGGAAGCGCTGGACTTGTCCTAAACAACCAAAAAAATCATAAAACAGTCAAAACATACCTTTTTAAGCAAATAATACGCCAGGCCGGCAGTGGCGGCTACTGCCGCGGATACCGCGGCAACTTTTACGATTGGCAAACGTTGCGGTTCAGTCATTCTTCATCAACCGCGAACGGTTTAGCAATTTTTCGGCCCAAAAATGATAAAAAATAAAATGTTGGGTCAAGTGTTTCACTAATGAGTCAAGTTTTTCATTTTCTTGTTGGTTTTATCTCATTTCGCAAGAACGTTCAAAGTATAAGTTCTATGAGTGTTCACAGTGTCAAATTCATGGTATTTGTGAATTCTTCTTGTATTTGAAGCGATAACTTGTTCACAATTTGTAAAATTATCAATGACCTTATACACGATAGATATTTCAAGGTTTTTTCCGTGTTTTAGATGGTTTATTGAATAAAACTCTGTGGATATTTACTATAAAAGAGAGAGGAGTAGACTTAGCACCAGATGTGTTCATTGATTACGACAAATTAAGGACCCGTGCGGCACTGGGAGGCATTTAGTTGAAAAGAGATGTACATAGACAAGGAGATGGTAGTTTGTGACTAACGATACGACAATACTAAAAATTTTTGAGAGGAACTGAGAGAAGATACTGTACACTGAATCTATTTTGAGTTATATGAGTAGAGAGATAGTTGTTTTTAAGATATCACCACACAAAATACTGGTTTATCATCTGGAAGAATTTTTTATTTTCCGGCGCATAGAATCTCTGTAGCCTCTCCACGACCTTTGGATCTACTGTAGGATGAACTCGACCTTTCGATTTGCCTAAGCAGTGGGGAGTTGATGAATTGATCTTTCGTACGCAAGGGAATCCTTTGACTTTGTCTATCACAAAGTCCGATTCTTTGACCACTGAAAATAAATGTTTGTTACAGTAATCCAAAAGCTATCATAAAGAAAATTAAGGCGCTGTTAGTTAGTCTAAGACTTCCTGAACTCAGTAATCATAAAAAATCCTTAAAAATCTACCGTTTTTTTTAAAGATATTGCCGATATTACACTACTTACCAGGAGTTAGTCCGAGGAATTTCTCGACCTTTCTAATCTCATTGGCTGGAGATTTTATGAGCTTTTCTCCGTCGACGAACATAAACTGTTGGATGGGGAAGAAGTTGAGCCAATTTTGGAGGTATTTGTGGTAGACACCGATTCGAATCGCACCCCATGAAGAGTTGATGCCATGATGACTAAAACAATATAAATTTTAGTTGGCAATAGTCAAAGTTGTATATTTTCTCAGTTGATTTGGATTTGTGAAGGGTTTTTATTGCCTGTAGAGGCTTTTTTACATTAGTCTGCTTTTGGGTTCTACACTAAAGGGTCGTTCTTCCGAATGGCACCTCATTTTAGCCTCTTTAGCCCATGTCTCCTCGTTTCCCTCCAAACTCACTTATATGTTTGCAAAGTTTATGTCCACACCGTACTCCGTAAACTCTAATGCCCTGCTCCCAACCCCCATCCGCCTCCGAAACCGCTTGCATAACGTCGAAACCGCTCTTATAATCCGCATCTCAAGTAATCCCCGGTGTTTGCTTAATATTTCCTTACCATTTTGTTGAGTTGATCTCCTCGCATTTGGCCATTTCCTCGAACGCATTAGAGATGCTTCGTTTTCGTCGCGTCACGGCTTGAGTGTAATCTTCAAGGGGGAAGGGTCAAGCACACGAATTTAAGAGACTTACCGGAGACGGCGCGAGTAATCGGATTCCGCACCACAACGATCAGTTTCATATTCGGATTGAGGCGTTTTACGCGTTGTGGGACCATTTTGGAGACGAAATAGGCCGGAGACTTTTCGATGGTGGTCTGGGAAGAGGTTGTGAAGGGCATCTGGGAGCTGAAAAGGCATGGATAACATTAAATCATAAATTGAAAGGGGATTTAAAGTAGAGAACAATGAAAGACCGAATTTTGACTACCGAATAAAACGATTTTTCTAAAAAAGACAAAAAATCGGATTTTTTTGAATAAAAAAGTTCTGAGTTTCTGCATAACGCGATTTGAATTTTTTTTGGGAAACCTTACTAAATATCGAAATAAAAAAAATCCAGCAAAATTATCAGGTTTTTACCGATTTTTATTTCAAATCGCGTTATGCAGAAACAGTCTAAAATTTAATTTAATTTTTTTCTATGATTGAAATTAGAACCTCTTTTTGCTTTTTCAATATACATATTTTATGTTTATCTTTCCCTTTCCATCTTTTTTCGTATTTATTTTATTGTTTTCATCCGTTTCAACTCAACGCCCAACCACCTGTCAGTCATCTCCAATAAGCACTCCCTGCATATTTATTTTCTATTTGTTTATGGATAAGATAAAAGGCATATTCCCATATGGACTACCGAAAAAACACAGAGCAACTTCTTCGATCCTTTGTCCAAACAGAGCGCGGTAATCTGCGTGGCCCTCTTTTTTGGGTGCCGAGACTTCAAACAAAGGCCATTCGATCATATCGAATCAAATATATAAAACAAGATCGAATCTGAGCGCCGCAACTGTCTATTTCAATGGCCAGGAACTCCTTGTTCGCTGGCCAAGAAGGTCTGTTTTCTATGGGCGCAGAAAAATGAATATTCTTCAAAAAAAGAGTATTCAAATTTCGGATGATCGATCTGATTATATGGAAATTCGAGGCCAGTTCCCATTCAGATTTTTATTTACATTCGGCCAACTGTCTTCGGGACAAATGACTGTACACTGGCGATGATATTGATGGCAAAAGTGGATGTAATAATGTTCTCGGAGAGAGAGACAAATCATATTTTCCGAAAAGGGGCGATTTGTCAGCAAATCGAAGGAGAATTGAGAGGAACGGAGGTGGATTAAGGTGAAGAAAAGACGTGATGGATAGGGTTGTGGTGACAAATTGGCGTCAAAAGCCCTAAGGGCACATTTATTTACGAAAAAAATATTAGATTTTGATTGTATTTTTTTTTTGTTTTGTACCAGATGTATCAGGTCCGTATTTTAAAAGCTTTTTTAGAGATTTAAAACCCGGTTTTACACCTATTATGACATAATATTATCCATGATGACGTAATCTTGATCTCAAAACTCTTCTCGTATTCTATAGCAGCGATAACACGTCTATTTCTCACCTACTAACTTGACGATTCAACGAAAATCCTACCTTGTTGTCCAGTATATGTACTATAAAATTGCCTCAAATTCATAAAAATCTACACTGAAAAATCACATAAACAAATTTGTGGTAGTAAAAATAAACTTCACCTATGGTAACTGATATTGACCGCTACGTATTTTAAAAATCAAAATTTAACCTTATGTTTTATTACGTTGCCGAAAAGCCGTCACTTTAATTTTTCTCTCAAAAAAAAGCCCCAAAATCCTCATCATTGCTCAACGTGACGCAATAAAAGGATTTCAAATGCTTCTCAATTTCACGCCGTCATCGACCCTTCAATGTTGGGCAAACAAACGCTTCCAGTAAAAAGAAGAGATCAGTGGCAAATAACCTGGGGTAAGCCACTGACAGACGTGTTATTGGGGGAAAACTGAGGTCAGTCAAAGAGAGTTTAGAGCTACTGTATGTATTGTAGCACCTTTGTTCTTTTAGTAGCAAAAAATTATTGTCGTAATGAAAAAAAATTTTTTTTGGAGCTTAGGGTAATATAATATAATTTAATTTTTTAGTCAGAACAAACAAGCAGTGTTTAAAACGGACTTTTTTACAAAGTGAAGCATGGCCCGGACATTGTTGCGGTGACCATCACCGAATTTCTTCAAATTTGGCTCATAGAACACCCACATGGCATATATCAAAAGCGTCAAACCTTTTCCCAAAATTTGCATTATTTCGGGATTACTGTAACAATTTGGGTTTTGTAAAGCAGCCGTTGTCGTGGACCGGGCGACAGCCCTACGGGGCTGAAATTTCTTGTCTGTATGTTTTCGAGCATGGCCAACATTTTTCTAATTGAAACTTTTTTTGTATCTTTTCGTCTTTCGGTAGTACCGTAATCGTCGTGATACCATATCGATTACTGTTAAAAATTGGAACGAGTGTAACAAATTTTTAAACTTGATTATAAAAGTTGGACACCCTTGCCGTAAAATAAGACAAAAAAATCAAAAATAAAAATATAAGTTTTTGAGATATACGCGTTCAAAATTGCTATGTTCGGATATTGTAGGACCAAAAAGGAGATGATCAATTTTTAAACTTTTCCATTAATCGCTACGGTTCACATATTAATAGATCAGCCTGAGAAAAATATTTTCAGGCCAAAAAATAAATATTTGAGGCTTGATTTCAGGCTTTATACGATGGTTACTGTAGTTTCCAACTTTTGTTAATTTCGCTAACAAATTTATTGGAATGACGAATTTAGACAAGCTATCCGGGTCAGAAACGCGCATACATCATGGAAGGCAAAAATCAGAATCGTAATACTACCCATTCCTGAAATAGTGGGAGATTACGGTAGCCGTACCCACTTTTTTCGCTGTTTGGCCGCGGCATTCTTTGGAGCTGCGAGTGTAACAATCTTTGAGGCCTGAAATTCATTCATGATGGATAGAAGAGTATTTCAGCAAAAAATCGCGGAAATAAAAATATAAGTTTTTGAGAAAATCCGGGATTACGGTCATTTTAGGGGTTTTTGGGCCGTCTGGCCGCGGCATTCTTTGGAGCTGCGAGTGTAACAACTTTTGAGGCCTGAAATTCATTCATGATGGATAGAAGAGTATTTCAGCAAAAAATCGCGGAAATAAAAATATAAGTTTTTGAGAAAATCCGGGATTACGGTCATTTTAGGGGGTTTTTGGGCCGTCTGGCCGCGGCATTCTTTGGAGCTGCGAGTGTAACAACTTTTGAGGCCTGAAATTCATTCATGATGGATAGAAGAGTATTTCAGCAAAAAATCGCAAAAATAAAAATATAAGTTTTTGAGAAAATCCAGGATTACGGTAATTTTAGGGGGTTTTTGGGCCGTCTGGCCGCGGCATTCTTTGGAGCTGCGAGTGTAACAATTTTTGAGGCCTCAATTTCATTCATGATGGATAGAAGAGTATTTCAGCAAAAAATCGCAAAAATAAAAATATAAGTTTTTGAGAAAATCCAGGATTACGGTAATTTTAGGGGGTTTTTGGGCCGTCTGGCCGCGGCATTCTTTGGAGCTGCGAGTGTAACAATTTTTTCCGCTTGACGCAGAGGATCTGCGAATACTGCAAATGCTAAACGACATGGAAGGCAGTGAAGAGGACCTCTACAAGTCGGAACCTTCTTTCGGCAACGAATTCGACGAACTACGCGAGCGAGTTGCAGCTGATAAGGACATTATACTATATGTTTAACAATTGAAGAAATTAAAGAATTAACCAAAATTGTTACAGTCCCAAAGCGCGGCCAGACGGCCCAAAAACCCCCTAAAATGACCGTAATCCCGGATTTTCTCAAAAACTTATATTTTTATTTCCGCGATTTTTTGCTGAAATACTCTTCTATCCATCATGAATGAATTTCAGGCCTCAAAAATTGTTACACTCGCAGCTCCAAAGAATGCCGCGGCCAGACGGCCCAAAAACCCCCTAAAATGACCGTAATCCCGGATTTTCTCAAAAACTTATATTTTTATTTTTGCAGTTTTTTGCTGAAATACTTCCCTGGTCATGCTGAGTAAATTTCAAGACTCAAAAGTTGTTACACTAGCAGTTCCAAAGAATGCCGCGGCCAGACGGCCCAAAAACCCCCTAAAATTACCGTAATCCCGGATTTTCTCAAAAACTTATATTTTTATTTTTGCGATTTTTTGCTGAAATACTCTTCTATCCATCATGAATGAATTTCAGGCCTCAAAAATTGTTACACTCGCAGCTCTAAAGAATGCCGCGGCCAGACGGCCCAAAAACCCCCTAAAATTACCGTAATCCCGGATTTTCTCAAAAACTTATATTTTTATTTTTGCGATTTTTTGCTGAAATACTCTTCTATCCATCATGAATGAATTTCAGGCCTCAAAAGTTGTTACACTCGCAGCTCCAAAGAATGCCGCGGCCAAACAGCGAAAAAAGTGGGTACGGCTACCGTAATCTCCCACTATTTCAGGAATGGGTAGTATTACGATTCTGATTTTTGCCTTCCATGATGTATGCGCGTTTCTGACCCGGATAGCTTGTCTAAATTCGTCATTCCAATAAATTTGTTAGCGAAATTAACAAAAGTTGGAAACTACAGTAACCATCGTATAAAGCCTGAAATAAAGCCTCAAATATTTATTTTTTGACCTGAAAATATTTTTCTCAGGCTGATCTATTAATATGTGAACCGTAGCGATTAATGGAAAAGTTTAAAAATTGATCGTCTCTATTTTGGTCCTACAGTAACCGAACATAGCAACTTTGAACGCTTATATCTCAAAAACTTATATTTTTATTTTTGATTTTTTTGTCTTATTTTACGGCAAGGGTGTCTAACTTTTATAATCAAGTTTAAAAATTTGTTACACTCGTTCCAATTTTTAACAGTAATTGATATGGTATCATGACGATTACGGTACTACCGAAAGGCGAAAAGATACAAAAAAAGTTTCAATTAGAAAAATGTTGGCCATGTTCGAAAACATAGAGAGAAGAAGTTTCAGCCCCGTAGGGCGATCGCCCGGTCCACGACAATGGCTGCTTTACAAAACCCAAATTGTTACAGTAATCCCGGACTGGTTGAAATTTCGCAAAACCCTTCTTCGCTTTTCATCAGCATGCTCAGGCCCTTCTACTGACCAAGTTTCAAGAAATTTGGTGATGGTCGTTGCAACAATGTCCGGGCCCCTTGGAGGGAAGCTTCAGTTTGTAAAAAACTCTCTTTTAAATTGTTGAAAAATATAAGATGTAACATGCGATGGTTAGACTTAATTCCTGATCAAAAACACGAACCGGAGACAATATCTATCATCAAAAAATATTATTTTAGATGACTAACTTTGCTCTATGAAAAAAATTTTATTCCTCATTTTTTTGAAACTCTTATTGATTAGATATTGTAAAATACGCTTTGTACTACCTTCTGAGTACTTGCTTCACCTTCAGTTCCAATGATAATCTGCATTTTTAACCTTAACTTCCTACTGTATCAAGTGTAATATCCTATATCCTCTAATCTCCCCATCTACCTAAACGTGGAAACTCCCCTACCCTCGGCATCCGAAACGACGCCATAAAAGCCCCCTTTGGTCCACCTTAATCACCCCTCTTGAAACCGCAATGAGTCGGGTTTTATTTATTTTCCATCATGACACCTGCAATTAAACGAAGGGCGCTAATCCCGCACAGTGCGCTGCGTAATTGGCACTCCCTTGAAGATGAAGGTGCGGACGAGCAACACCTCCACATTTTGATTGACATGTCCCATAAATTGGAGCGCATGCCAGCCTTTCGGAGGCCCATCTTCATGATTGATCTGCGGTCTTTACATAAATCATCTTCTTTTTCGATTTTTTGGGGGCATTGGCCGGTGGAAAAAATGCCAAAAGTTTGAGGGATCAAGAAAATTTGAGGGCTTTGGGGTATGGCAGTGGCAGAGTTATGTCATCAAAAAGAACTTGGGATATTTTAGGGACTCAAGAAAAAAATGTGCCAAATTTAATAAGACATTGACAAAAGCGGCCGAAAATATCGAAAATTTATAAATATTTGGTCAAAACTCTCTGGTATTGCAAATAACTATAAATTATCTCTGTTTAAAATTAAATCAGAGCTAGCAGGAAACCAAATAAACCAATAGAAGCCGTATTTTACCCTTTTAAAACTTTTGAATTTCAAAATTTAGAACTTTTTTTTCAGATTACCCCCAAAAATCCAAATCATCAAAACTCTCCTATTTTTTCCCCAAAAAAGTCAATACAACCCCATAAGAAAACAACCTATTCCCTCCTAAATTACTTACCGATACCACGAATATCCCTTTTCGTAATTTTTATCGAAGAAATGCACTTCTGGGCCGGGCGCTTTCACATTTGGATTCAATTTGAGGAACTCCAACAGTGCCCTGGTACCGCATTTTTTCACACCAATAATAATGGCATCAGGAAATCGTTGAGTTAGCTCAGTAGTTGGTACAGCTGCTGTGCAAAGGACGCTGACCACTACCAGGGCCCATTTTTGCATCTGCAAACGAAATTTTTTGATTTTTGATGAGGGTTAAGATAAATCGCGATTTTTGAGAAGATGCGCTGAGATACGAAGAAAGTTTTGGCATAGTTGGAAAGTGTATGGAATACAGTAAGAGGCCGTAAAAGGAATAAAAAAGAATTTGAAAAGGTATCAAGGTATGACAAGTCGAAAATTGCCCAAAAAATCCGAAAAATGCCGACCTTTTTAGATTTTTCGGTTTAAATCGGTATCTTGATACCTCCAAAGGACCCAAAAATCTACTGTAAATCCCGTTAAGGTATTCCAAATCCCTCGTAAAATCCGATTAACCCAAAAACCCCGCTCGATTCGCGTCAAAAACGGTAAAGACATTAGCCATCACATTAGGTGCGAAAAAACATGACGCGCTCTGTTACCACTAACAGCCAGCCGCTGTAATGGTATGTTTATGAGCACGTGAATCCACCTGCAATCGCCACATAAAATAAATAAAACTCGCGCAAATCCGCCTTTGTGCAGCCGCTGCGTTCTAACGGCGCTGGGCGAAGAAAAGGGGCGGGGTTTGGGGTCCGCGGAAAGAAAGGGATGACCTTTGGAAACCCGACTTATGACTGCAAAAAAACCCGACTCATACTCCGATTGTGGTTTAGATTCTTGGCTATTGTGTGGGGGGAGGAATGTCGTTATATAATAAGAATGGAGATTGAGGGAAATGATACATTTTGAATGCAGGGGATCTGCAGGGGATTCGGAGAAGTTGTCAGTGAAAGAAAAGTGAGAACAAAGCAAGTACTGGCTTGGAAAGTGTGAAAATGGGTTTAAAATACGCTTTCAACAATTATGAAAAATATTACTTATAATATTTTTTTCATAAAAAAATGTCATAACAAAAAATGGTCCCATTCAACCTGAACTATCGGCTTTATGACCCATAGGTATAACAATGTATAGAATGGAGTCTATAAAAAGTAATTTCAAAAAACGAAAGGATTATAAATGACAATTCTAAATGCCACGCCAAATGTTACGATCACATTTACTGAGTATGGTTTCTTCTTATACTGTTGTAGTAAAAAAGCCTTCTGACTAAAACAAGGATGTGGTTAACGGGAAACGGTCAGTTTGCCCTCAAAGCTTGCATGTTATCTGTGTAAAATTCATGCATACTATCTGTCGAGGCCACATAAGAACACATGCTTACAATAGCTTGTAGGTGCAGCCGAAAAATTTAATAATTCTTGCAGGCGAAGTCGAGAGAAACGGTAAAAGAAAAATGTTTTTTTGGCCATGAAACTGCATGGTAGATTCAGCAAAGCACAAGCGAAAGATCACGCATACATCGTAGAAAATTTTCGTCTAAATATGCGCCACAAACTGGACTAAAAACCAACTTTTACTACATGCTGTCCATTGTATGACTAAAATGTAGCTCTGGCAATTCCAAAAATTTAGCCTTACTTAAAAATCTTTTGCATCAAAAATTCCTTCAAAATTCTTTTCACCTCATTCCATTACTTATCCTCTGTTCCGCTCATATTCAAATGTACTCCCGGCTTTTAAGCACATTAAAATTTGCATATTTGACTCTCCTCCTTTCCGTGGCGGCTAATTAAAGTTGGCCGCAACCGAGTCGGGCCCGAAGAATATTCTATTAGAGGCGGTTCAAAAGAAATGCAATTCGTCAAGTAGTCTTATCCGATATCCACTACCGCAAAAGGTTTGGCAAACAATAAAATCCGCTGGAAATTCGCGACCCTCAAGGGGCTTCAAAATTTGAGGCAATGAATTTGAAATAAGCGAAAATCCAGAGGTTTTTTCGTGGCCTCAGGGCATGTAAAGGGGGACGATGGGTTGAGGAAAGTGTGGGGTTTGAAAGTTTATTACGGAAAAGTAAATATACGTAGGTTTAGATTGATGATATACTATCTGTAAGTTTGACCAAAAAGAAGAACTACAGCAAGAAATAAGTCAAAGAAATCCAAGGTAAAGGCTTCAGTTCATGTATTATTTAGGATTGGCTCTAGTGGACAAAAACATGGAAAATGAAGTCAACAAGGTCTTGGAGATACATACATACATATCAAATGATTTTTGCTTCTTTCTGACATAGAAGATTTTCGAGACACTCGATTGCTACTGTACCGCCAATTACCTCCAATTTGCGGTTCTTTTCACAACCACCGACTCCCTTGCCCTCTGGTAATCCCCAATCAACACCCCAATCCCAACAAAAACACTTGCGCAACAATCCAGAAACCGCGCATGTTGTCCGGTAAAGCAAGGTGTCCAGATGTGATCACCTGTCCAGAATGCTCTCCAGAACCCTCACCCCAACCCTTTCAACACACCCACACAACAATAGGGATGAGCGAAAGGGAAATTAGCGCCCACAACCTGGGCACCTGTGCAAAAAATTGGAAATTTATTCAAAACGCGCCGTTCCAATCGCCCATTCGAATTGGAAACACCGTGAAAACAAAAAAGTGGACGACGGAATATTTTGCTCCGACACGCAATGGCTTGAGGGCATCGACACTTGAATAATGGACTGTCGGCACGAGAGCTTTGAATCAGCGGAAATGACTCAAACAAATTCTTACGTCGTTGAACTTGTCGGCGCGGGGTGAAAGGCCGATTAGTAAGGAGTGGGAAGGTGTGAGAGGGGGAATTTTTTGGATCGTAATTGGCCTAGAGGCGATTGAAGGGCTTTTTGGGAAACAGGGGCAAAATACGGATGATTGTCGGATTTCTAGTGATTTTTTGAGTGAAAAAACACTATTTCACTGTAAGACACTACCTGGAAATTGCCACTGATTTTGCAGCAGTATTTTTTAAACTAACGAAGATTACACAAATTGCCCTTGGATTTGCATAATCGCAGGAAATTTGCATATTTTCGAAAAATCATTTTCGATGGCTCCCCAAGGACTAAAAGGTAATGACTTGTCCTTCGAAATCATCTAAAAATTCGCATTATTCCCCGCCAAATCCCTCCAGACTACTAATATCCAATTTACAAGTCATCTCACTAATTTCCAGCCGAAATACCCCCAAATGAACTGCTAGATAAATAACATACAATGAGCCGAAAATTAGCCTCCTAATAATCTCAGCGCTCGCTTCGGCGTTTAAGCGATTTGAACAAGGCAATTGGGACATTCCAATAATCGAATTAGGCCCTAAGGCACTTCCATTCAGGGACATCCGGAAGAAGGGAAAGACACTGTCCTTTTTTCGGCACATAGTCATGGTAATCTCATTACATCTTTTTGGGCCGCTCCCCGCTTCCGCCGCGGGGAGCGGCCCACACCACTCCTCGTCTCATATCATCCATGCCCGACGGTTTTGAACTGCGAAACTTGGGCCGCGCGGTAATTGACTCGCAGGGAAGCAGAAGAGGGATTAAGGGACCAAGGGGATATGTTTATGGGCGGATATGGGGGGTAATGGGGAATATTGAAGTGGATAGCTTGTGGTATTGGCGAAAAAGGAGTAATACCTATTTTACAGTATGAAAGAAATTAAAAAATTCTCGTAAAATACGATGAGTTTTTTTCATTTTTTGCCTTACAAAATTTTGTGTAAAACCCATTCTTCAAAAATCAAAGTTGCTGAGATTTTTTTCCAGGAGAAATTGGTCTACAATATAGCCGTAATGTTTTCAACGGCCAGCTAGTTTGTTTTTGGGCGACAAAAATCAAAGTGACGTCATCAAACAGGGCCACAAAGTCATCACAAAATTTTGCACAGTGCATGATAATATTTGATGCCATACTACAATATAAACATCCAAAATAGGATCAATTTCTCGCTCTGCTCGATGATTATGCTCCAGGGACTTTACTAAATTCAAAGATATTCAATTATCACCGCATAAGAGTCAATTTGATCCCCCAAAAAAATTGCGCACAGTGCGTTAATTACCGCCTTTGTTTTCCTAATGAAACCGAGCTGACCATATTATTCAGCTCACACATCTGCGAGAACAACGGTCGAGTAATTGAAATGCAATGCGTTGCCTAATTACAGTCTTAATAAAGCCAAGTAATGAATTATATTATCCATGGCCATCAATCACATTCAACAAGAGAAAAAAGTAAAAAAAAGAAAAAAATTTGGGGATTGCAGTAAAATTTAACAGTGAGAAAAAGAGGACTTGTCATTTGTTAAAAAAGACATGACATCTCGCGACACATACGACGAGATATTCCTCTTGACCTTCGAGGGAAAATCCTGACGTTCGCAAGGGTTTATCCGGATTTTGCGGTATTTAGCGGAGAGTTATGGTAATTAGGATAAAAAGGCTAATATTTTTAGAATAGCAGAGACAGTTTTATTGTGGCAAAAATTGAGAGAAATCGAGAGAATTCGTATTTTACAAAATATTTCTCTTTGATCGGAAAAATTACACATTTAAAAGACGATTTTTGGCTCGCTGCGTCAGCCCGTAATGGACCCGGGACATAGGAAAAAATCGATTTTGAGTTTTTTGCATAAAAATGAACGTCGACATGTGCTAAGGAAAAGCGAACAACAGTTTTTCTCAATTCTGCCCGGAAGGCATAAATTTGGTTAAATTTGTCTTTTTTGGAATTTTCGACCTGGTGACGTCATAGAAAGAGCAAATCACCCAAAATTTTGCTTGTATACGTTTTCGACCATTGGGAATTCATTTTTTTGAAAATTAAGCCTCTCAGATTACTGTAACATAGACGTATTGCAATCCGGTCGATAAAAATCGACCGTAACTCCTTCGTATCAAAAATCCCACAGGATTTTATTTCAGATTCGGATTCAGCGTAAAATTCTGCATATTATACACATAATGTGAGGTCATAACTCCAGGGGGGAGATTGCATAGTATATTGGATTTTGGCAAAAATTACGTTTGAAAGGTCGCGGGTTCGATCCCCGCTTGGTGCAAATATTGAAAACGCGGCGGAAATCGCGTTTTATGGACACCTAAGGGTTATGTGAGATACACTAAGCAATTTTAAACCTTGATACATATCTAATTGCGATTAAAACTGATTTTATATAATTTTTGGAGACTGAATATGCAAAAAATGAAACTGCTTCAAACCGCTTGAAATTGGCAACATTTATTCTAGGGTCAATTGTAAGAAACTTTTCTGTTAACTTTTTTTGGTAGATCACCGTACCATGGATTACTGTAACATTAAACCTGATTTGGTTTTTCGTGTACCACATGGCGCATAGAAGTCGGATTGTCGTCATTTTGCTCAGAATGGTTAAGAAAGAGTTTTCTTGTGTACAAAAAAAAATTTTATGGCTGTACCGTTTGGAACGGCCGAGTTATTTGACGCCCTTTCACCAATTCATTATGACATCAAGACGCGTTGCAATTAAGGGCGAATTTTCTTTCATATATAGGAAGTGGATCTTTTCGCTGTCTAAAGCGACTAATTAAAACGATTTAATATTTTATGCAAGATTTTTTAAGAAAATTGCTGTTAATCAGGACACGTTTAACGCTACAGTAATCCATCGTACGGTGATCTACCAAAAAAAGTTAACGGAAAAGTTTCTTACAATTGACCCTAGAATAAGTGTTGCCAATTTCAAGCGGTTTGAAGCAGTTTCATTTTTTGCATTTTCAGTCTCCAAAAATTATATAAAATCAGTTTTAATCACAATTAGATATGCATTAATGTTTAAAATTGCTTAGTGTATCTCACATAACCCCTAGGTGTCCATTAAACGCGATTTCCGTCGTGTTTGCAATATTTGCACCAAGCGGGAATCGAACCCGCGACCTTTCAAACGTAATTTTTGCCAAAATCCAATATACTACGCGATCTCCCCCCTGGAGTTATGACCTCACATTATGTGTATAATATGCAGAATTTTACGCTGAATCCGAATCTGAAATAAAATCCTGTGGGATTTTTGATACGAAGGAGTTACGGTCGATTTTTATCGACCGGATTGCAATGTTTCTATGTTACAGTAATCTGAGAGGCTTAATTTTCAAAAAAATGAATTCCCAATGGTCGAAAACGTATACAAGCAAAATTTTGGGTGATTTGCTCTTTCTATGACGTCACCAGGTCGAAAATTCCAAAAAAGACAAATTTAACCAAATTTATGCCTTCCGGGCAGAATTGAGAAAAACTGTTGTTTGCTTTTCCTTAGCACATGTCGACGGTCATTTTTATGCAAAAAACTCAAAATCGATTTTTTCCTATGTCCACCGCTGACGCAGCGAGCCAAAAATCGTCTTTTAAAAGAGACTTCGCCAGTTGTGGAAGGAGGGTCTGCCCTAGAATTTGACCCCCACTTTTTTCTGTCTCAACTGATGACATATAGACTGATAAACAACTTGGTGAATTTTTTTCGAAAAATTCGTCATCATGACCGAGATATGACATATTTATTGAGTTTCGTTTAATGTGATATATTGTGCTAATTTATCGCCGAAACATCGCAGAACTGAGTACACATACGTTATAGGCCATGCTGAACAACTTTGTAATTGACCCCAAGTTTGTCAGGTTACTGTAACATACCGTAACGCTCATGCTCGATCAATAAATCGCGATTTTCTCGATTTTTTTCAATAATTTTCTCGGAATTTTTTTGCATTTTTGGAATCAGCATCAAATTCTGCATCGGATAGACTATATGCGCATCTCCAGATAGGTGTACAAAAATGTCGTGGCGCAACCGGTAGTGGGTCGGACTACCATTCAAAAGGTCCCGGGTTCGAGTCCGGGTGGAAGCATAAATGCTCAAAAGCGCTGGAAATTGTACCAAAACAGTTTTAATCTATTGGAACTGTGGTAAAAATAAATAATAATTAACATTGCTCCCTAAAAAGGCTAAATTTTGGATTTTACGAAATTTCTGAAAATCATGGTTTTTGTGGGCCCAAATCTGCCGAAAAAATGAAAATTTTTTGTAAGCGATTTTTTTGTTTAGAAACAACGCAGGGCACATAGAAAGACTATTCCTCAAAGGATTTCGTTCAGTTTTGCCCAAAACACCAAAAAATTGTCGTATTTTGGTATTTGACAAAAAATTGAAATAATGACTTTCAGGAGTCCTTATGCGGAATCGTTTCCAATTTTATAGGGCAGTATTTTGCGCTGCTTTCAAACATCTTTCTAATAGCCGCGAAAAATTTTCCACAAAAAAATTTACATTTGAAAATTTGTAGATATTCACATATTTCGTGATGTTACAGTATTCAATCTTGTAAAATTTGCTAAAAATTCGACTCCCCATAGTGGAAAACATGTGTATCCACGTTTGAATGACGTCACTTCGGCTTACTGGGTTCTGGCGGTGCTCTCCGATTAAAACGAAAAAGTTCAACTTTTTGGTGTTTTGGGCAAAACTGAACGAAATCCTTTGAGGAATAGTCTTTCTATGTGCCATGCGTTGTTTCTAAACAAAAAAATCGCTAACAAAAAATTTTCATTTTTTCGGCAGATTTGGGCCCACAAAAACCATGGTTTGCAAAAATTTCGTAAAATCCAAAATTTAGCCTTTTTAGGGAACAATGTTAATTATTATTTATTTTTACCACAGTTCCAATAGATTAAAACTGTTTTGGTACAATTTCCAGCGCTTTTGAGCATTTATGCTTCCACCCGGACTCGAACCCGGGACCTTTTGAATGGTAGTCCGACCCACTACCGGTTGCGCCACAACATTTTTGTACACCTATCTGGAGATGCGCATATAGTCTATCCGATGCAGAATTTGATGCTGATTCCAAAAATGCAAAAAAAATCCGAGAAAATTATTGAAAAAAATCGAGAAAATCGAGATTTATTGATCGAGCATGGGCGTTACGGTATGTTACAGTAACCTGACAAACTTGGGGTCAATTACAAAGTTGTTCAGCATGGCCTATAACGTATGTGTACTCAGTTCTGCGATGTTTCGGCGATAAATTAGCACAATATATCACATTAAACGAAACTCAATAAATATGTCATATCTCGGTCATGATGACGAATTTTTCGAAAAAAATTCACCAAGTTGTTTATCAGGCTATATGTCATCAGTTGAGACAGAAAAAAGTGGGGGTCAAATTCTAGGGCAGACCCCCATTTGAGCCTGCTTCAGAAACTCGCGAAGTGTCTTTTAAATTGTAAGTCAAAATGGGTATGGCTCCAAGGACGAAGGTCATGTGGGTGTCCCCTGCTGCCATAGCTGGAAAATTCATCAATTTTTGCTAGCTTAGAGGAAGAAAAAAATTTTTAAACCTGCCTTTGCAAAGTTTATATTTTAAAACGAGACTTTTCCTGAAGCTCGTTGAGGCCTTATTCACAATGATAATTAACTTCCAATTGCCAGTTTTCAAGCATACGTTTCTATAATCTCAAATACAGAAATAGCCTCGTCACGACGAACCTCTTCCAAAACAATTAACCTTTAACTTTAATAGTGTTCGAACTCCATTTATTCATCCTTTTATTGTCTAATAAACGGTCTGAGGACCCGTTGGGACACATCAACACCTCATTATTTCCTTTGTGATTACCCGACCTCCCATATTGTGACGAGCTCATTATCCAATTAGGCCCGAGATCCCATTCATTTCGCACATGTCACCCCACCTGTACCTGGTGTCGTAAAAACGGGCGAATTGGGAAACCTGGAAGATTACCTTAGGTATGATGCATAATAAAACCATTTACTATCAAAATCATCAATTTTAAGACCAAACTTATCAATTTTAAATTCCTTTTTATTCGATTTTTATATGTATTTACAACGTTTTTATGGACATTTCTAGATATTATTTGTACGAGCTCACCATCGCTGAGTATAAATTAGATTTTCCGGAGTATCCGAAAATGGTATTACCGGGAGTAATATCCGTTCGGATATTGCCTTTGAAAATGGTCAACATAAAACATCTACAGCAGTATTTCATAGCAAATTCTTTATGCTTTCCCGTTCTTCTCTCCATCCTCGATGAGCAATGGCTCTTCCTGCAAAGCCTTGGCTTTGTTGTCGGCTCGTGCCCACTCCTGAACTTCGCCATCGGCGAAAACGGCGTAGAACAGGCCGCCGATCGCTAGGATTGCGGCAGTCACCATGAATACCATTTGCCACTCCTCTTTGGCTCCGGTTGGAGTAAGCCATCCCATTACAAGAGGAGATAGGATGCCTGCGGCGCAAGAAATTGTGTTTCCCAAGCCGAATATTGGGCCAACAAAAGAGGGGGCAATGTCAAGGTAATTGACAATAACTCCGGCATATTGAAGACCAGAGAGGCCGATTCCGAGGGTCAGGTAGATGATGACGAGGGTTTCTTGGCCACAGTTGACTGTGCCAATGAGTAGAAGGAAGATGGCTTGACTTCCAAGGGCTAAAATGAATGTTCTAGAGAAGTAAACATAAAATTTAAACAAAGTTGAATATCTACCATATAAGGCGTCTTAAAAACACAGCATCAGCAACTGCCTTCAGTTTTTTGTTTCAAAAAGTGCTTTTTGCCAAATTTTTGTTTTTTCTCCAAAACAACCAAAAAATATTTGAAAAAAATAAAATGAAGCTCTCAAAGCCACCTTACCGAACAGCTGAGCCAACCTCCTCGTATTTACAGTAGACAATTTCCCAGAATTCCTCAAGTGATCAGCAATGACTCCACCCACATTTATACAGATAAAGTACAAGATATAAGGGATTGATGAGATGAATCCCATCTAAATTTATGTAAAAACATATATCTAAGAACTTACAGATGTCAGATCATAACCAAGAACATCATTCATATATAATGGAAGACTTGTCGCCATCATGTATGCGGCCCAATCACCAGCAAAATGGCCAACATAACAGGCCCAAACGGGGAGAGAGGTGAGGACTGATTTCCAAGGGACCGATCGCTTCTGAAAAAGGGGATTTTTAGGGGTAAAATACGTGTACGCACACACAAGAAAATTCTTAGAAATATTGTGGAAAATAGTCGACGTTGATTTCGATCTTTCATCAAAATTTGCATGGATCCCTCTATCACACGAAATTCTAGCAAGCTTGAGGTGGTTAAAACACCAGTAAAATACGACTTAAGGATGTCAGAGATGCCGCCATTTCTTACCTTATCGCTGTCATGTCCATTGGACTCTGTCAAACTTTCCACAATATAATTCCTCTCATCTTCTCCAATTTTCTTGTGTGTCTTTGGGTTGTCGGCCACAAAGTAAAACCACAGTCCAGTCCACAGCATTGCAGCCACACCCAGAACGTAGAAGATGCTTGGCCATCCACCAAAAGGCCCGTATTTACAGAGAACTCCACTCAACGGCATCACCATCACATTGCCGACTTGGGTACCCGCAAAACTAATTCCCGTCAACAGTGTTCGTTCCATTGGCGGCGCCCAAACCGACCACATTTGTTGCATCGCTGGGAACATTGCTCCCTGACATGCGCCTAGGACTGCCCTCAGGGCAATGAAGAACACAACACTGGAGCGAGCCGCTGCCACGGAAGCCAGTGTGGCGACGACGTTTATGAGAGCGGCATAGCCAACAACCTTGCGTCCACCAATCATTGTGGCGAGCTGGCCGCCAAGGATCTGGCTGGAAGTGTAGCCCCAGAAGAAGGCGCTGAGAAGAGCACCTTGGGTGGATTTGGACCATGGAAACTCTCCTTCGACCTGAAGTGAAGTTGGTCGTTGACTTTGATGAAAAAAGTTTGCTTTTGGCCAAATTTTTTTTCTTTGATTCGCTCTTCTTTTTTGTCGCGATATGTCGCCTGTAAGGACTGCCGAATGACTTGGCACTACCTGAGTTTGTTTTCTAAATTAAAGGATTTGTGAGAATATATTATAACCCGTCCAAAAACGTTATTCGAGGTCCAATACACTCTTTATCTCACGTTAATTTTACTGTTTTTTATTCGCTTTATTTTTTTTCCTACAATATTTTTGTCTCCTCAAAATTCAAATTTTCTTCGAAAATCCAGCCGTTTTCTCCCTTATCACACAAAGCCCATGACCAAACAGTCCTTTTTTTGAGCTGTTATCACCTCTGTCTATCAGCAGGTTTAGTGTTATGTTTGAGCGATTAATTGTCACTTACTTTTTCGGTTTTTGTCTGGGAGATTGTTCCACACGCCGAGACTTTCGTCACCGATTTTCCTTCATCGATTGCGGTCGTGTTCACCATACAAACAAGCGCGAAGCTGAGATTGCTCCGACAGGCGTAGACGATTACACAGCCAAGGAAACATATTAAAGCGAGGTTGAAACGAGTGGAACAGAGAACACCTGAAATTTCGGGGGTGAAAATGCAAAATGATCGTATTTACAAAGGTTTTAATACCCCTGGAAGTGTGATGTACATTTTTTGAAACTATAATCATCAAACTTGTCTCTGTTTCTCATAAATATTACTTAAAAAGTACTTTGAAGTAATCATCATTTTCTATGTTCTATAAACTCTGTACTCCAAAACGTTGAAAACATTACTCAGACACCTTATAATCGCTGTTGATCTTTTCGTTTCCGTCTCTTTTGTAATTGATCAATTTTGATTTTTACGGTTCAAAAAAGACGATCGACCTTTGACTTTTCTCGAGTTGGACAACAACATTGAATAACAATAAGTCTCAAAGAAAGAGCGATAAAAGTCTTTGGCGAAAGTTCAGGAATTAAAGTGGTTATAATTCCTGAAGGATGATAAAAAAGCCGAAGCATGAGAAATACGGCAAACAATTATTGTAGTTTGCTGAGATCTCATACAACAGAGCAGCTAATAAAGTCGGACTATACGGTAGAAATAGAAGTAATAGAGAGCTCAAAAATTCTGAATTGAAAAGGTCTAAAAGTTCTATGCTTATCCCGACTTTTCGGGTCGACGACAGTCCGGGTCAACGCAAAATCGATCGATACAGGGGCGTAGGACAGGTGGATACACAAACAAAGATTGTAGAATGTGTCTAGGAATCCTGGCAAAGTCTTGGATGATCGGCGGAAGCTCGGCGAAGGCTTGGCGGAGACTTGGCAAAGGCTTGCAATATGTCCACTTTTTCTAATTTTAGCTATTGGTAACGTTAGTTTTCTCTGTCTTGAGCTATTGTAACATGTAAAAGATTAAAATTTGCGGCAAGTAACAAAGATCTGTAACTTTTGTCCAGATATTTTTGATGTGAGTACATGTAAAACACCTCAAAATATGTAATAAGTTATTCTAGGCCCCGGTGAGTCTTTATTATTTCTACTAACTAAGCCTTCTCCTAACCCTGTCGCTGACCAGAACCCTCGTAGCGCGCTATAGCGCCAAAATTTAACCTTAATTTCGGCCGAGTTCCATAAAAATCTGATCGTAGCATCTCAAATTTTCATCCAAATCTCAATTTTCATTTCCATTTTACTCTTTCTTTTATCAGTTTTTGAATTTTCAAATTTACTTCCTCTTTCGCGAACAATCCTAATGCCAAAAGCAAATTCTTTTCATTTTTCCAGACGGACAACAATCATCTCCTCTTTTCAAATCCCCAGCGCAATTCGATCAAAATTCGGGCCAATCTCAATGAACGCGCCAAATGAAGAGAGCACAGAGGAAAAGAGACTGCACCCAGAACGAACGCCAAGCACTGGGAGGGAGATTGCGTCAGCGGTCTACACGTGAAGGTTCAAGGAAAACTTAGGACTTTATGACGCTTTTGAAGACGTTTTTTGATGGATCGGCATGTGGTGTGGAAAGAGATTTTTTGCAATTATAGAGGGACAGGGATGTTTTTGCAAGTCTGGAAAAAATTGCCTTTACGAATTTAGTAAAGAGTGATGAGTGCAAAAAAGCAATTGTGACTAGAATTTTGATTTTGAATTTTTGGAAATTTTGATTTTAAACAGTGAGATTTTGAAAAATCTCACTTTGTAAAATCAATCAAAATTTTGTGATTTTTTGAGGTAGTACAAAACTATTCATTGTGAAACAGTTAGAAGCCCTCCGTATCGTATTTTAAAAACACAGGGACACAGACAGAGCGCCTAGAGTATCCAAATGGACCTAACATTGCCTAGACCAAACAAAAAAATTTTTTTTTTTTGAAAATGCTGATTTTTCAAGAAAGAAATTGCATTTCAGCAGATAAAGGTGCCGATAACACCACAAATTTTTTTGGATTTCCTGCAATCTCCTGGCTCCCTATGCTCTAAAATTTATTTTTTCGGTCGTTTCAAGCTCCTTATCCATCCAAAATTTCAAGTCAAATATCACCTCCTTCCCAATTCCCAAGCATCACTCCAAAACCCCCCAAAAAAGCAATCCAAACGTCTGAAAAATCCCCAAAATTGACTCACCTGGCCGTCGACCCTCCATGTATCGCCTGAATTACACCCAACGCCTGAGGGGAGAACTGGCCGAAAACACTGTTAGCCAACTGTTTCAAAGAGATTTGGGCCCTGAAATTCCCCCAAACTTATTTTCGCGTTTTCCTTTCGATCGCAGGGCCCCGCCCAAAATTGAAAAATCGAGAATTACGAAGTGGAAAGTGCGGGAAAGGAGGGTGGAAATCATGATCATATATCATGTAATAATGGACGGGTAAGTGGAGTGTGCGGGGGGAAAGTTAACAAAGTTAATGGACGTCGGAAATGGAATTTGAAAATGATTACAGGGGTGGGGAAAAAGTGGAATATTTGGAAACAAAGTGTAAACCAAGGTGATCAATGGCTTTTAAATTGAATACCACTATTTTTGAAGAGTTTTTGGACCGGTTAGCTTCAAAAATAGTATGAAACGATTGAGTAATTTGATCACACTTTAAGAATCTTTATTCACCGGTAAATTACCATACCGCGGTAAGGTAATTTCAACTAGACAGACGTCTACCCACATAACAGGCTTCAGGCAGGCATCTATACACATTTAAGGCTTCAAACCCCGATTATAAAAGGCGATAAACATGTCTACATGACTGTTCACAGGGATAATCTAAAAACAAGGTGAAAGAACCAACGTTTGCTAATGATTGGAATTACTGTCCGTCATTCTGATGAAACTGTAATAAAGTACACGATAAAAAACAAAGGTTCATAAAACCATTTGTAAAATTGACGTTGGATGCAAAAATGATAAGGCATTTAGTTTCACGACCTTTAAAAGATCTTGAAAAATTGAGGGCTGTAAAAAATCTTTCGTGTTCATTTTTTGCGGCAGAAATTTGTTGCAGAGAGATAGTGCAAAATTCCAGAAACTCTGAGCGCGCTCTAGAGAGTTTTAGTCATTGCTAGAAACTCTTAATGCCATGCAGTCGCTCTGAGTGCTATGTATGTATCAGACGTGATGTTCTGCCTTACTAATTACAAGGTTAGATAATGAAATAAAAAAGACAGAACATTTTCAAATGACAATAGTATAGAGATGGCCAGAACTAATTATTAGGTTGGCAAATATTACATATTCTGTCAAATTCCGGAGGCCTAAAATACATTTTAAGATGAAAAATTAATAAAAGGTCATAAAATTTTTAACTGGTTCAACAGTCGGAACTCCCGGGTTTCTTGACTATTGTCGCAGTCAAAAAAAGGTTTTACACGGTCGTGTGGAACAGTCAAGATTCCTTTCTTAAGTCAAAGTCACCCTCATTACAGTGAAAACCCTTCTACAAGGCATAATTTTTTCCCTTGCAACGCGTTATACTCTCATCTTGTAATTCTCTCTAGCAATTCCCAAAAAAACCCCAAAAATGACCAACGCAACGTCCCTGTTCTCTTCCAAAAAATAAAGAAAACATTGCATCATTCCGCTCGGCCGTTTCTCTTGTCTCAACAGGCCAAAAAAAGTGTCCGGAAAACGCACCCAGCACGTGAAAATTGAGAGCACACCCAATAAGGCAGTGATATTTTTATCTGACTTATAAAGAGTACTGCTGTAAAAAAAGGGGTAAATTGATTAATTAATTACTACAAGAGTTATATCGTACTTTCACAAAGTTTAAACTGAAAATTGAAAATCAACCAGCCATCAAAGAACTGCTTTGTTGTTTGCTTCTCAATGAACATCTGCCGAGAGGATTGTTTTGGAGGTTTAAGGAAAAGAGGCAAATAATGAAAATAGATTTGAAATAGATACGTTTTAGCCGGCTTTCGCAGCTTCCTCATGACTAAAATACAACTCAAAACAGAGACAAAGAATGGGAAAATCTACTTCCGGTTGGCCAAGTATGCCCAATGTTTCAGGTGGTTTGGGCATTGTTCTAAATTTTTGAGGATACAATTAACGGAACATGTACCTAATTTTGTGGATAATGAAAGTTGTCATACACTTATAGGTGTGTTAAGATAAATGTATATGCGTATAAATCCGCCTGCGTGGATTTTCATAGGGCTATCTTACAGTAAAAATCAATCATTCAAGTGTAACGCGATTTTCGTTAAGCTTGTCAAAATTTGAGATATGATTTGCCGCTGGCGCATGAGCTTTTCTTTACTCAGGGATTGTAAAAACAAAGGTAAAATACGACGTCTTTTCTTTCCCATACTCTAACCTCATAACTTGCCATTTTCTTAATTCCGAACCTAAACCTGTCCATCTGTGCACTTTGAGAACACCTCTTTGATGATTTATTTTTCCGGTGACATAGATGTTTACGAAAACAAATCTTTTCTCAAGAATTTTCTGTATTTTTTGTTCCTAATTATGCAGGTAACTGATGAGTGTTTGAAGATCACTGAACTTTCAAATTGATGGTGATTTATTGCGGTGGAGGTGAGGTGTGATCTTCAGGAGGTTTAGTATTATATGTATAATATAACAATTGGTTAAAAATCAAATGAGGGTGGTCTTGTGGGCTTCAATAATGATCATCGAGCAATATAAAACCAACTGAAAACATTAAATTTTCATTTTTTAAAATTGATTTATCAGTTTTTTACATTAATAATGTCGCTGTAAACACATGAATAAAATATCATAATAAAAATATTTTTCAATTACATCTAAAAACACGAAGCAGTTGTTTTTGATCGTATTCTACTATTTTTTCTTCAAAAATCACCTGTTTTCCCCCAATTCTCCTCAAAGTCCTATTTTTTGACACTTCGTCCAACGAAATGTCAAAATTGATTTTCTCGTTTATTTTTTTCGGAAAAACGGCCTTGGTTTTTTTGTGTAGCTCGGGTTACGGGTGGACCTATTGAATGTTCTTCGCCGTTCTCGCGGTAACCTTTCCCTAAAAACTTCCTCAAAATCCGAATTATGGGGACACCTGAAGAGTTGAACAAAAATCGACGCTGTTTTTACATCGGAAATGTTACTTATTTTGTAAGTTTTTATTTTTTACTTTTGTGTTTAGGTATGTTGCGGTGTTTGAAAGCAAACTTGAAGAGATTTCAACGTCTTAGATTGAGGGCGAGAGCTATTCTTTAAGATTTTTCTAATTCTGAAGCATGGTGAAGATTTTTGATATTTTTGGAGAAGAACATAAGCTAATGCAGGGGAAATTGTTTATAGCATTTTTAAATGAACATCGTTGAGTATTTTTGATCCTAGAAAAACAGTGTAATTTGCCCATTTTCACATAGAAATATCCATTTTTCTGGCCGGGCCTGCATCAAGTTCAATGTTCGAAATTCCACGTATTCCTCCTCTGTAAACGCATTTTTTGGTGTTTTCCCAAAAAAATGAGCCTTGACCTTTGCCCAGCGCAATTTTTATTCGTTTTCAGATCCTCGGCGCCGCGTTCTTGGCAGTTGGAATTCACTTGTACACAGAACAACATACCTATGCCGCCTTGGCTCCATCCAGCTATTCGGCAATGTCCACGGCCGGACTCTGCGTCTGTGCTGGATGTATGATCATGATTGTCGCTTTGATTGGATACGTTGGAGCTTCATTGACTTCTAAATGGCTTCTGTCTGTGGTAAGTAATATTGTACTTGATTTGTTTTTGAAATTTAGGTATCAAGTTGTATAGCACAATGAAAAATTTTTTTTAGTACATTGGCTTTGTGGTTGTGTTGTTCCTTGTGCAAATGATGACGGGAATAATCGGCTTTCTGCACAATGAATTGGCCAGAGAAAGGGTCAAGCACAGCTTGTATTCGACTATAAACAGAACATTTGTGACGGATTACGGTCCAGAATCCAACTTTCGGCTCACCTGGGATTACATGCAAGAGACTGTAAGTGTTTTCCATTATTTTTTTTACTTTAGGACACTATGTTATTCATTACGAATTGATGTAAAATATGGATTTTAGCTCTTCTGTTGTGGAGTGGAAAGTTACGAGGACTGGTATTACGCTGCAAGATGGCCAAAGAACAAATTTGTTCCAGACAGTTGCTGCAAATTATCGTTCTTCTCGAACAATTCATCAATTCAGAACTGCGGGAAGGTCGGAAAATCCGAAATGTTTCATGAAAAGGTATGAAATCTTGTTCTTATTGTGTATCTTGGTGTTTAGGGATGTTACGAGCCATTTGCCGATTGGCTGCTTCATCATCTGAAGATTATCAAGATATTCTCCTTGTTATTTGGAATAATTGAGGTAAAATAATATAAAAGCTATATTATTTGAATGTTTACAGTCTCTAAAATGTAGCTAATATATTTTTCTTTCAGATAGGCTTGGTTATCCTTGCAATTCGATTGATCCGCTACCTGAAACGATTGAAAAAAGCTCAGTCGGCACCTTCCTATCGCTTCACTCGAAGTCATCGTGGAGATGAGAAGCTAATCTCCGAAAGAACTTGATGTTTTTACATTATACCACCTTGATGCGACTTATTTTACAATTTACGAGTTTTTCACCGCGGTTTATTCACGAAAACTTGACATTTTATGGGTTTCGAACCTTGTTTTAGTCATAATTGTTAATCTAATCTATTTTTTGTTGATCTCAGGTAATATTTTGTATCCATATGTAATTAATTACTCTCTATGCGCCTTAAAGTTAATAATTTATATTGTCTTACATCTGTTTTTACTCATCTTTTTTATATTACACTTGATTTTTTAAATATTTTTTTTACGTCAAACACCTTATATCATACGGCTCCGCACATCTCTCTCTCACCTCATATAGCGAATTCAACGTGTTTATTAACAAGAAATATTTGTTTCGGAAAAATAAAAAGTTTTAATTACAACCTTGTACTAAATAATATTACAGGTACCAGGAGCTAAGGCATTATCTGAACAGAGCTTAGAAATGTGTGTTAATTGAAAAATTAAGTGTAAAATGAGCCCTGAAACTCTTCATGAGAAATTTTCGGACTCAATTACATAAGCATGGCCACGAATTTACTGCTGAATGGCCAGTTGCGGCAACGGCGCTTCCACGGTGAGGACGCCGTCGGTGCTGAGCGTACTGCTGATGAGTTCAGGGTTCGTGCCTCGGGGCAACATGAATTCCTGAAAAATTTTTTGGGGTTATTTTTGAAGTTTTTTGGGAAATTTTAGAATTGGGGGAGATTTCATCGTATAAAATTGCTCAGCAGGCTGCAGAATGGAGAAATAGAAGGATTGGGGTTTGAAATGTGTTAGGGTGTGAAGAAAATGAGCTAGCCATGTGGTAAAGTGGTTTAGACGCTAGAATTTTTGTTTTTGAAAATGAAAAAGTGAGATTTTTTGGCCCAAAAATGATTTTTTTTTTGAAATTTTTGCTAATTTTTTTGGGATTTGCTGCAATTTAAAATCTGCCTTTTAATAAGAGGTACCTCTCTTGTTTATTTCACAACAAAACCCCCCAAAAATTTACCTGATTGTACTCTCTGAAGACGGTTCTGGACGAGCTCTTCTCCTCATGTTTGGCATGCACCAGAAGCCGGTTGTCCACCGTCTTCACGGTGACCTCCTCCGGCCGGTATTGGGAGACGTCGAAGCGCAGACGCAACGTCTTGCCGTCACTCTCGTCCTTGATCAGCGGACTGCGGAGGTTGTCGAGGTAGGGGTCGTAGGATGGGCGGGTCGCCATCAGATCCCCTCCGATTGGGCGGCCTGGAATAGAACAGCGGTGAGGAAAACATAAATAACAGCGGTTAGGAACATTATACTTGATAACAGGGGTTTGTTTAGGTTCTAAAAAAGCTGGATTTCCGGGTTGGAGTTGATACATTGAAAAAATTTTGCGTATAAAATGGATCATCTACAACATGATGACTAAAATTTATGCATTTTTTGCCTGTTTGGCTCCAAAAAATTAGTAAAAATGAGATTTTTTTGGCAGTTAAGAGCTCGTTTTTAAAATATTTCTGCAAAACGCGGTCGAAAATTTTTGCAAATTCTCTAAAAACCCCTAAAATAAATCCGTCATAAGATTTTTAAAATTTCAAGCAAGAACTTAAAAATTTACCCCCCGGCAAATCAAATCAAACTCGGTCCCCAACACGTACGCAGAACACCTAAGGCGTTCAGAAATGCTCTCTCCCCTATTTTTTTTGTCCTTGTTGGTCTTCTTCGAGGACCTTCAGTTTCTTTCTCTTCAGAGCCCCGGAGGACATAAACAGCCCCTGCCCTCGTTTTTTGCGGAATATCTTCTCCCCCGACTTTTCCCGGGCTCTTTGAATTCCGCTTCCAACAAACAATACAACCGAATCATAATACCATTATAAACCGGATGAGCTGACTTTTGATCCCGCATAGTTTTTGAAGCGATTTGCTGCGAAAAAACGAATGGTTATGAGATTCGGGGAGTGATTACAGTCTACTGGCAATTTGAAATGTTATATAGAATTCCATTTGACAAATTAAAAATGTAAAAACTTTTGGTAAAATTATTTTTTGTTAAAGAAATTCCAGTGGAAATTATGGTCATGCCACGCTCAAATTCTCCTCTATTTTTCTGCGAAAGATCTAACAAAGCGGCATTTCAATTCCTGTAATTTTTAGCTCGCAGTTTCAAGGCATAGCCGAGGTATTCAGCGATCTTTTCCAGCGAGAGACTATGGAAAATTAGGAAAGAAGACCAGAGAAAAAAGAATTTTCAGTCTGTTGATTATAGATTTCAACGAACTGACTCCACAAGAACCTTTTTTCTCGAGCCATCTCACCTCATTTTCCATAGTATCTTGGCTCGAAAGATCGTTGAATATATCGGCTGTGCTTGGAAACCGTGAGGTAAAACTTTCAGGAATTGATATTCCCCTTTGATAGATGTTTCGCAATTAAATTTGAGGAAAATTTGAGCGTGCATCCCCAAAATTTCCACTATAACTTCTTCAAAAAATGATTTCATCAAAAATGGTTTTAGCTTGAGAGATGGTTGAATATCTCGGCGGCTCCTGCAAAGGGCAAGCTAAAATTTTCAGACAGTGTTTTGAGGACTAGATAAGTTTTGCCCGCAGGGTTTGAAGGATATCTGACTACCGAATTTTGAGAATTTTTATAACGAAAATTATGAGGGGATTTCACTATATCACACCTTATTTGACCGGTACATGGCCATGTTTTTCATTTTTTTGGACACCGATCGGCGGCGAAAAAAGTTTGGAATGCTGTACATGGCTATAGCTAGTCATATCATGTTATTATTATACCCTTTACACACTAACACTTACTAGCACTGCTGGTGGTGGTGTTATACCGATCCACTGGCGGTGGCGCTCCGTTCGAGGCCTGGCTGTAGGGCCTGTTCGGCTTGTAGCCCTCGAATTCGTGGCGCAGCCGCTGCATCTCCGCCTCCACCCGATGCATTTCGTTTTCGAAGCGGTCGCGCATCGAGTCGAACTCATTCTCCACGACGTTGTGCGAGCTGCGCGCGACGTTGATTTGTCGCTCATTTGTCGTCATTTTGCCGGCTGTAAACAAAAAAAATGAAGAAATTAGAACCCAAACAAGCGATGTGGGTTTACTAATCACGCAGAAAAGAAGAGTAATTTCGACTGTACGAAAAGCGGGGCGGGCGGCTTCAAGGTAGTAAGGATGGATCAAAAATGGGAGAAACAAGAAGGAAGAGGGGTAGAAACGTTATGAAATTCGATGAATAATGGGATTAAAAATGGAAATACGTGTGAAAATTGATGTAAACAGTGGGGAAAATAGGCGAAATTGGAGATGCGAGAGAGAAATCATCAAAAATTGGGCATTCTTGTGTTACATATTACATTTTTGGGCAAAAAAAGATTAGACAAAGAAAATTGAATGGGTTTTAACGTTAATAAGGCTTCATCTTATGTAAAATTGCTATATCATCATGCTCGGGGGCTCTAAAGCTTATCAAATCGTTGAAAAATAAAGAAAATCGCAAAAAATCAGCAAAAATGGCAAGTAAGTTCCAAAAAATCCCGATTCATGGCTAGAAAAAATGCTCTCATGTCATTTTTTATCTTCATATGACCTTATCGTCTTATTATACTTTTATATACACCTTTTAAACTAAACATTTTCTTAAAAAAAATAACTTTTTTGCGTCTACAGCGATATTCTTTTACCCCGGCAAACACTCCAGAAAATTCCCAAGCATTATAACCCCACAAACAAAAATTTGATAGCACAGAAACCCCAAGGGCTTGTTTTCCTCTACACCTTATCAAAAAACGGGCTTTTCAACGAACTTATTTGACTACATTTGCGGTTTTTTTTGGAACGTTTCGAAACTCCATTCAAGTGCAAATTGCGTGAAAATTGGGGCAAGGGATCTCACACGTCAAATGGAATTAGAATGACGACGCTACAAAAAGGATCAAGAGAAAAAAGTGTCATGTCATAAAGGGGATTGCTAAGCGTGTTGATGAGATCTAGAGGTTTTAGGAGGTGACGAAGGGATTTTTTGGGTTTTCGGAGAGGAAATGATAGGCCAATTGCGTGGCGTTATGTTAAAATTTTTCGGAAAAGTTTTCAAAACAAAATTTGAAATAATATAGAGGACTCTTTCCAGCGTATTTTAAAAGTTACTAGGTCTTAAAAAGTTCTATGCTCTACATAAAATTGAGGAATTCAGCGGCCACTTTTATACCCTAAATATCTATTTTTTGATCTATGTATTTATTGTTCCTTGGAACTCCGAATGTCCGGGAGCCACGATATTTTCGACGATGACGGCTATTTATGCGCTATTTTTGGCGGAAATTCCCAGCAAACAACGAAAAAACCCTCCCATTGTCAATAAAAAATAACTGCGAATCTTCAAATTCTCGGATTCCCGATCTATGACCACTCTATGCGAAAACGAAGTTATCCCCAAAGGGGTGCGAAATTTGGATATATCGGGATTATCTGATAAGCGGTTATATCTTCTTGGAACGTGTTATGAATCATCTAAAAATGGTCAAAACATACATATGTAGGGATATAGGGCCAAAAATATATGGGGATATAGGGCCAAGATCGTACGGGATGATGTGATATTGTGATTAGAAAAGGAAATGTCGGATTTGGAAAGTTGCGAATTTTTCGGATTTTATTGTCTGGCCCATACATTCAAAGCTAAAAATTTCAGCATGCGCTTTTCAGGCTTAGCAGAGATTTTTAGCGAGCTTTGCGACGGTGAGAGTATGAACAGACACGGCCAACAAAAAAATGAGCATGACATATAAAAACGACATCAGATTTTTTGAGGGTTTCTACTTAAAAATTGTGATGGTCTCTACAGTCTTTTCACAGCTGCCTACACACATTTGAAACGTGTTAAAAAAGAGCTAATCTCAGTTTGAGCCAAGTTTCGTAAAAATTGGAGCATCGCATTTTGAGCCATTCCTCTGCAAAGTAAACCTTACTTTCCTAATTAACAAAAAAAAATTCTTGGTTTCCTTCCGTTTTTCTTACACAGAAGGCCAATTATGACTCTAACATTACTCAACACAATGACTAACCCCCAAAACCCTTGTTTATTCACAAAAATGTCATCGCAACATGTAAATTGGATTACAATTTCCGTTCTATGTCCCATAACATTCCCCCGAACACATTATGAATATTCACGGGCATAAAGAGGATGTAAAGAGAGAGAGAAGATAAGGATATGCTCGAAACCACCAACCCGGCCCTTTTCTCGTCTTTTCGCCGAGTCAAAAGGCCACTTCTTTGCAGCCCCCAACCGCGAACAATGCGAGTAAAAAATACAAAGTAAAAACACATTTTTCGTGGATAAAATTTTCGCCCATTCCGGAATCAGCGAGAAGAGTATTTGACTTTCTATCTTTGGGAGTGTATAAACAGTCCTCGGGCTTCCCGGAGGAAAAGGTATTAAACACGGGCGGGGTCGGGTTTATGGACCGCATTGGTACATATAATGAGAGTACAGGAAGAAAGAGGTCAAGGTGTGAAGGCTTCACGGGGAATTTGAAAAATTTTAGAATATGGAGTTTCAAACTGTAGTAGAAAGAGGACAAGTCATGCAGAATGCAAAATAAAGTGGGCAAAGAAGATATAAGTGTTGGAAGTTCGACTTTTTTGGCTTTACAGCTTGAAAACCTTAGGTTCAGCTAATGCATCAAGGTTTATTCGTTTTAGAATGGCTACATTCAGTTCTATTTAGGTCAAAAATCGATTATCGAGGTCTTACAACAATATTTTCACTGCGATATTCTTAAAGATATAATTAAAAAACAACTTCTATTAGTAATTCCACATGCTGTCTCCTCCGTAAATATTCTTGGCTGAGGATAAGCGCAGACTAAAGTTCTTAGTACATGATATGTGGCCGTCACCGGAATTCTTGCGACAAGAAACATACTGACTTTAAACTTTCTTCCATTTTTTCTAGAGTGCTTCCGGATATGTCGCGTTCAAAACTAGGCCCAAAATAGCACTGAACTCATTGTCAGAATCTAAAATTTGAAAGCAGAACTTGGCCTTAATTTCACTCCAAAGTTTCAATTTCCACAGTAAAAGCCTTTAAAACTCCACCTCCACCGCAAAAACCCGTCAATCGACCACTTAACCGGTCAAAAGTTCTCCCTAATACCCCGATATTATCCCCACCATTTTGCATCCCTTGGAAGTTCCAACGTAAACAAATTGATCGCGTCTTTTTGGCGGCCTGTGGAGCGAAAATTCGAAAAGGCAAAAACCCCTCTCGGAGGCGGCTGCGCACCGCCTTGAAGGTCGAAATACAAAAATTTGAAAAAATAAATTTTTCACTCTGCATCTTTGAATTTCGGGTGATCCCCGAAATTCGGAGACAAATCTGGAGGAATCGGGGAAGGTTTGATGATGGGAAAAGATAGGAAAATTAGAGAATTAAGAGGAAAATACAGAGTGAAAATTAAAAGTTGAGGTTATAAAATCATCAACTGTTCTGCAGGGTTCAGTGGAATCTCAGCACAACGAATTGTCATACAACAAAACCTCTTTATAGCGAAACATTTCAGAGGTCTTGAGAGTAAATTTTATGCAAAAATGGACCCCCCGTACAACAAAACCCCTCTATAACAAAACAATTTTTAGTACCTTGCAATTCGCTTTACAGAATTTTGGCTGTATTATAATCAAAATAAAGTCCAAAATCAACAAAAAATTTGAGGAATTTCGCCTATTCTCACTCCTACAAGTCAAACACCCCTCCATTTTGAAATTTTGTCAACTCCGTTTGAAAAGGTAAACAAAATCAAGAGATCTCGAAGCAAAAAGAAAGCAAGAAGCCCCGCGCGCGAATCCCCCCTCTGATTTGGGGATGGCAGGCGGAAAGGCCGGCCCCACACCCCAACTGATCAGAGTATGTAGGCGGCCGAAAGCACAATGCTCTCGTTTTTTATTCCCAAACGATTGGAGAAAGCAGTTGCCTTTCTGTTCGCCCTATTTCTCGCCCGTTTCCTCTCGCCCCGACCAGGAAGCGGGGCCGGATCGGGCCCTAAAGGCAAGGGCGATGGATTGCGTGAAACGGTTTGATTCTGGTTTGATCAATTTGCGGGGAAAAAGGGTGATATGGGTACGGGAAAAAGGCTATTTTTAGAGGAGCGAAAATTCTTTGTTTTTCGTTTGGAATTTACCGTATTAAAGATGCAATTCGAAGCCTAAAAGAATTGAGGTCTCTGATTTTATAACCAGCTGCAAAATTTGCTATGCTTTTTACAGTGGAGCCTCTGTACAACGAACTTCCAATATTCATAAAAAACTGCCTATAGCAAGCAATTTCAGGGATCTCAATCGTCGAATTTAGGCCAAAATAAACCTCCTGCAACGACAATCTTTACATAACGCATAATTTTTTTGGTCCTTGCAATTTCTTTTACAAAGCTCTACGAGTATTTTGAAAGTGATTTTTCCCAATTTTCAACAAAGGAATGACGCAATTTCCGGACCTATTTAGAGAAAGCCTCCAGTAAATGGCATTTGATTTATTTTGGGAAACAATCAATTCTATTTTAGCCGACGCCAGCAAAATGCTAATATAATTACTCAAAAAACCCGAAAAACATAAATATTTGTCTCGCATGAGTTACGGCATGGCACGCCAAATATTGTGCAAGTTTGGAACCGGAGTAAAGTCAGGAAACCAAGATTAAGAAAGACGGCTTAAGAAGAGATCTCTCAGAACGTACATTACATAGTCGTATGCTATCGTCTAACTCCAGGAAAATGACTTTTAAATTTGATTAAAACTAAACTTTTCATGAGTTTAGACGGTCTCATTTTTGAGTAAAAAAATGAAATTTGTTATGGGAAAGTGGCCTAGGCCTATTGAACAATGGCGCCGAAACTGAAAGCTTTCAGCTGCAAAACACAGGAAAAATCGAGAAAAGTATCGAAAAATCAAAAAGATCAAAAACAACAAAACGACGCCTTTAAATATTCATCATCATGATTAACACAATCTGAATTTTCCGGTGGCGAATATTCGAGAAAACACATCACTGCTTCCGTATCTGGTAAGCCAAAACACCGTCTGCTCTAAAAATATGTATAAAAATAACCGCAATGACATCGAATACACAAAGTGGCCAAAATTTGACGAGTGTTTTTGTGCCAAAAGAACTGTAGATTAGAAAGATCTTTGATCAAAAATTTGAAGTCGAAAGGGACACTGACCTCGTCTGTTCTAACGTGAAGGCGTTTGAAATTTTATGGCCGTAAAATCAAGGGCACATTTGGATTTACTCAAACCCATGTTTTTTCGGCGAGACGCCTTGAGGTTTATGGTAGTAAGGCCAGTTTTAACCACAGTATTTATACTGGTCGCCAAAATTTTCTTTCCACTTGAATCTCGGGAACTGCTGGGCCTAGAACCTTGAAATTGGGCATACTGTGGAACGGTCTAATGAAGCCTTTGTACAACGAACAGCAAATGACCAAGCCATTTCTTCACTAAAGAAAGGGTTCTTTTTACTGGTCCTTCCGAAAGTCGCCGGACTGAAATCGGCGACACGCACTGTGCAAAAACAAAAGTTTTCTTTGCACCGTGCAATTTATACCTTTTTGCACCGTGCAATAGCCTTTTTTTGTCAGTCGCTCACAACTTGGATTTTTTCTGACAGCGCAATCGCCAAAAATCAGTCCAGCGACATGCACTGTGCAAAAAAAAAAACGTTTTTTTTGCACTGTATAATTTCTTGCCTTTTGCACCGTGCAATAAGCTTTTTCGGCTGTCGCTCACAACTTGGCTTTTTTGCACAGTGCAAATCTCAAAAATCGGTCCGGTGGTTTTTCGGAAAGACTAGGCTCATTATTGTCAAATATTAACCCTGTAAACGTCATAAACTGCTCTTTATAGTAGTCTGCCCGTTATGCCTAAATTTCCAAATGAGAAATTCATTGCAAAAAACTTATACCGTATCATCACACAAACATGTACAGCAAATCTTTACGAAAAAACGAAACCCCTGACTGCTCCTTACGCAAGCATTGTCGGCGATTTGTAACGCGGGTTTCTCAGCAGAAACGAATTTCTTTCTTCTTCTTCGGATCCGGCTCGTTTTGTACATTCGATCTTTTCCATTTCCTCTGCGTGATTTGCATTCCGAAGAAAAGTCGGAGGTCAAAAAAAAGATTCTTCTAATTCTTGTTTGACTCCGCTTTTCGAAAGGCAAACAACTCATGAAATTCTTATAATCTTTGCGTAAGCAAAATTTGAATTTTCGGGGAAACGGAATGCCAAAGGAAAAGCGCAAAAGGTATGGTTGCCATGGATAACATAAGTTGAAGAAAAAGAGAGCGAGATCTTGAAAAATATGTTAGTTTTGGCTTGTATTTATCTAAATTAATATAAAAAATCTTTTATTCCTTTGGCTGTTAAATTTACGAGTATCTAAAACGGTCTAAAATAGCTAAAAATGTTTGAAAATCTCGATGTGAACGATGAAGATGTTGGGAACCAATCTACTTCTGGCGAAATGGTCCAAAAAAGATACTCATCACAAGAGGCGTTTGTCAAGACCGAACTCCCGGATAAGATGAATCAACAGATCCATAAAGCCTATATCAACGGGCAAATTGAGGAATGCAAAATGCTGATTATGGTAAGAGTTTTCTTGCAAACTTTTAAAAGCTTGCTTTGTTGTATAGAATTGACCGTAAAAAAAAGTTGAACAACTCCTTATTGTTAGTAATTGTTCCTCATCGTATTTTACAAAGTCATTTGTTTTTTTTGGAGATAGTAACAATACGGAATAGTATTTTTATCTTTTAGGAGCTGTTAATGAAGAGTAATCCGGCAGTTTGCGAATATGCTTTACTGATTCGAGCTTTAATTGCACGAGAAGAAGGGGAGATCAAGGAATCATTGGAGTGGCTTCAAAAAGTCGTCGAGATCAATCCACATTCTCTGAAGTAAGTCTTCAAACTTCTTTAAAATCAATATTTTTCCATTATCATCACAAAAATTATTCCTGAAAATAATTTCTGGCCAAGATTCGCTTGCATAAAGCTTGTTCCTTCATGTAAAAGTATTTTTGAAAAACTGCATGCTACTAAAGTACTGTTTTATTGCGTTTGAATGAAACAATTTTCTCAATGAGATCATCTAATCCCCACTTTCAGACTGCTCTACGAACTCGGTCGAAGTCACTTGTTGTTGGGCGACCACGAAAAAGCAATTATGGCCTTCGACAAGGGCATTCGATTGGATCCCAATGACTGGGTGGGCGGGTTGTTAATTAAACTGATTAAAAGTTTAGAAATTCTATTACTGGAAAGCCACTTGTCTCTATTACGTCACGAAAAGCGAACGGGAAGCAATTGAGAAGGTAAAGATAAATGATATAATATATTTCAAGTTTACTGTGACATATTGTAATAGTAAGAATTTCTAAAATTACTTTTTCAGGCTCAAGAATGCCTTACACAATTTCCCAAGGCTCACAAAAGCGTGGATATGTTAATGCTGATGGCTAAAATTTGTATTCAAAAGAACGATCTGGTTCCCGCTATTGAAGCGTACAAATTGGCTCAGGATGTAAGCTAAAGTGACAAATTGTAAAACAGAGCCGTTAACTTTGTTTAGTTAGAGCCCGAAAACTTGGAGATTATTTCCCACCTTGGACTGCTATACCTGAAGACCGGAAATGAAGAAAAAGCCTTTTCATGTCTTGGGAAGGCTCTAACGTACGATCCCAATCATATGCCGAGTTTGTTGGCGGCTGCCGCAATTCTTCAATCCAATTCGGACTATGATGTGGCGTTGACTAAATACAGGTAGTTATTTTTTGCTTGTATAACTAGATATCTTCACCGGACTACTCAAGCCTATATATGTACATATGAACCAAAGGACGTTTAATTTACAGAGAAGGTTTTGTTTTTTCAGCATATCTATCAGTCTGTCGGGAAAATCGTGAGCGCTCTGTTGCATCGAAAATTGCATCGCGAGAAAATGAGCTGTGTCGCGACAAAATCAAATTGCTTTTTTCTTCAGCGACGCTCACTGTTTTTCCGACAAACTGATTAGACATCCACAAAAATTGTAAAATTTCCTATCACGCTGTGCGACAGATTTGAACATTATGAACAGTATTCCTCAAACTCTTTATCTTATTCTATCGTTGCCGAAAAATTGCCATTACATACACATTTTGTAACAACCACTCCCAATGAAACTTGTCAACGATTATTTCAGAGTAGCCACAACCTCTTGTGATCACAACGGCTCGGTTTGGAACAATATCGGGATGTGTTTTCAAGGAAAAGGAAAGCTGGTTGCGGCAATCAGTTGCCTCAAAAGGGCCAACTATTTGAACCCGTTGGATTGGAAGATTCTCTTTAACCTCAGCATGGTATATTACTCTATGATGCAGTTTGCATCGGCCTACCATTTCATGTCATCAGCGTTAAACTTGAACCCGAAAAACAAATTTTTATTGATGGGATTGGCGAGTGAGTAATTTGTGTTTCTAAAAACGCATGTTACAGTAATCTTGACCCGTCTTGATGACCACCCCAATGCCAGGAAAGCCTACACTCGAGCGTTGGCAATGGACCCAAAAGATTTTATTATTCGCCTAAACTTTGTGGTGTTCGAATATCGCCATGGGACGCCAGAAGCGGCAGCCATGTTGCTGAAGGAGCTTGGTCAACTTCCAAATCATCTAGACCAATATCAAGCGGGGGTAAACGGGAGTTTATTTATTGCTGACATAAGCCATTGCTTCTTAAAATAGTATATATGTAATAAAGTTCTGTATATTTTAGGAACTCGTGTCGTTGGTGGATCGTCTCAGAGCGTGTTTGAAGAAGATCCCGGAGTCTGGAATCTGAATTTAAATTGATTTCGTCGCGTTGGATCCACTTTGATTTGGATGTTGTTGTAAAATACGTAATGCTGGACTTAGTGCATGGAAAATAAAGAACTAATAACAAAAAGTAGTTGGCGGTTGACACTGTCACGAGTTCAGTGAGAGCACGTGTATAAAGGTCCCTAATCTAGTTGCTATTTCTGATCCCAAGCCCAAATAATATTAGGTTGAGTCAAAATTATCCGGCGGTTATATTGGCGCGTTTTTTGTAGGTTAAAATTTATGTTTTGTTAATGTTTTTTTTTATAAAAATAATCTTCTCTGGTTGGTTAATAAAATGGCAGTCGAAACCCATACTCATATTTGCCACATTATGCTCTACCACTTCGAGAAAAGTTGGAAGTCGGCACAGTCATTTCGCGATCTCAACGAACTTTTCGGCGAAGGAAAAAAATCGGCAGGTGTTTCGTCCAAAGGAGTACCAAAAGACGTCCACTGTAAGAAGGCTACGTGGTATGTGTGGTGGGACAGAAGCGGAATCATCCACTGGGAAATCGTGTCTATTTTTTGTTCCTTCGCCGAAAAGTTCGTTGAGATCGCGGAATGACCGTGCTGACTTCCAACTTTTCTCGAAGTGGTAGAGCATAATGTGGCAAATATGAGTATGGGTTTCGACTGCCATTTTATTAACCAACCAGAGAAGATTATTTTTATAAAAAAACATTAACAAAACATAAATTTTAACTTACAAAAAACGCGCCAATAAAACCGCCGGATAATTTTGACTCAACCTAATACTATACAAAGCACGATGACAAACGACTAACAGTACTATGACAAACGACTAACAATACAAATGAAACAACGTCACAAATGAACTCACAATACTTGAGGAACCAACTTCACAAGAGCTGACCATAGACACAATACTAATAGACTACAGTAGAAATACCATTTATTGCAACTTCCAACCGGGAAAAACAAACACAAAAATAATACAATCATAATTGGCGATTTCTCTTCCTTTTATACCAATTTGTCGGTCATTCCGTGGGAATATGCAAATTCGCACGCGAAGTCGTGAAAACACCAGAAGCAGTCGTAAAACTGAATGGAACATTGCAAAAGATATGTCATCAAAGCTGAAAGCGGTAAAACATTCGACAGGTTTTTGTTATAAGATACCTCATAGAAACAGGAGAGTCACTGTAAAAGTAAGATCACAGAAGAAGACAATGCCTGGGCTGTTTATTCTCAAAGGATAAGCTCACAAATCTGTAGAATATTTCAAAATTCTTGCCTTATTTTTGCTTCAATCTATTTTTGCGCCATGCATCAAAGATCTCTGTCCTCATTTTTCGTACCTTGTCACGTCATTAGGAATTTCAAAAGCTTTTTTTCGTGAAATTTCAAATGTTTCAAGAGTTGGACTCAATCCTCTACACATTCGTAACATCAAGATCAGATAAGGAGGCAGCAAGAGAAAGCTGCAGTGAGTTCCGCAGGAAATTAAGTCGGCCCACTTGCTGCGTAAGATCTCTGGGGTTACCGTATACTTGAAGTGACGACATTTTTTAGCAACAATTCGCTTTTTTGAAGTGCAAGTTGGACCATGGCACAGGTGGCTAAGAAATAGGCTTAGGACGGCGCTCAGATATGTCTGTAGATCACGCAAGGAATATTGGAGAAATATCTGAATGTCTGACATCAAGGGCTTTTTTTGATTGCTATTTGAATACTAATCCGTTTGCAGACTTGCTGGAATGTTTTTGCGACATGCAGTGTGCGAAAAAAGTTAGGTGCTGCACAATGAAAAAAGCCGAAAATTGCTTATCGTTAGTGCAAGGTAAAATTTTGTTTTTGCTTAGTGCATATTGCGAAAATCATTCCAGCGACTTTTCGAACGAACTAGTAAATAAATAAACGGTGATTGACGAAATTAGAAGACCTGCTTAGAGCCAAAGCTCCAATTTTCTAATAGCTCTGCCCTTTACCAAGAAGACAAAGTACAAAGTTCGATGGGAAATCCGGCGGTTTGTTTGGAGAGTAGAAACCCGGGTCTACAATTTTTTGGTCACTTGGGCCACTAATTGTTTGTTTTTTGTCTACAGGATATTTGTTAATTAGAACGTCGAGCTGCAATTTTCTTGCAAATATCGGAGAAAAAAATCAACGTTTTTAGGCTTTTTTTTGCAATTCAATTTTTTTAAACACGCTGAAATTTTTTTCCGTGAAAATTTCCTTAATTTTAATTATTGTTCCGCAAAAAATCGCTCCATTCACATGACGCAAAAATTTGAGTGATTACCTAATTAAAATAGGCGTTTGCTAATGGATCTTTGCCCATTCCGCCACTTCGAATTAAATTTCCGTTTCAAATAATAATATTTTGAAACGTGAGAACAATGTGACGCAGCAAACACAATAGAAAACAATTCGAGGAATTTGCTGACCTGTAAAAGGTAATAGGATAATCGAATATGTTTTTAGTAATCAAAAATGAAACTTTAGAAATCTTTTTTTTTGAATTAAAGATTATTTTTTTGAAAAAAAAACATCTCAGGGCTTCATAAGAAGAAGAGTTATGAATAAATTAAATTTCCCGCAATGTGTCTTATGATCGAGAAACGAGCTTCTTACACTGAAATAAAAAACATCATATATTTTTGATGTTTTTCATCAGTCTATTAGAGTTTGATGAAAACATCAAAAAAAGTTTTTTTGATGTTTCGTTTCATCAAAAAGAAAAAAAAAATACGATATTTTTTTTGATGTGGGGCACATCAAAAATTTTTGATGTTTGGTAAATCAAATATTTCTGATGGATAATTTATCAAAAAATCAAACAAATACTGCTATTTACAAAATTTATTCGAATAAACCGTTTGTAAAAACACAATTTATAGGGCAAAAGAATTAGTGGGAATGCACCGTGCAGTTTTTGAAATTCCTGTTTTTTCGCACAGTGCAGGAACAAGGAAGTGCGGCGCTTAGAATTAGGGTTCTCTTTAGTTTTTATGGCATTTATTGTCTAGGCCGCTGATCAGTTACTCAAAATTAAAGGTTAATGCGGAGATTTCCAGCTCTTTGCAGCCGAGAGAGTGCGTGGAATGGGGAGAGTCGGACAAGGGGAAAAGTTCTAGCCTAACTTAAAATTTTCAATAATATAGTGCTTACTGTGATGTGTAAGAACCTCGGCTGTTTCTGCAAAAACTCCAGCTTGCAATGTCATCCATTTCTGGGTGCTTTGAAGAGTTTTACTTACTCTAAGTTTGTGTTAAATTCCACAAAAACTTCAGCTCCCCAATTTAAGCATAACCCTCTAAAACTATCAAAAATTTCACCAAAATCTTATTACTCAATCAAACTTTATTTTACATACAAAAAAACACAAAAACGGAGATCTCTTTTGCAACTATCCGATTAATAAATAAATTATGTGTCGAGATCAAAATGCCGAAAAACAAGTTCAGCCGGGACGGTGTGTGTTATAACTGCGGGATGAGCAACATGATGGGGTTGTGGCGTGCCTGCGTCGGCATCATTCCCATGCTCCGTTTGCCGGGCCTCAGACCCCATCGTCCGTTGGCCAGAGAGCGTTTGCCGGGCCTCAGGCCCCATCGTCCGGACGCCAGGTTCCGTCGTTCGCGGGTTTTGTCGCTCTCGTCTTCGATGTCGTCTTCGAGTACGAGGTCAACGATCGATCGTTTCCCCGGCCGAAGACCCCATCTTCCACTGGCCAACGATGATCGTTTGCCCGGCCGAAGACCCCAACGCCCCGACGCTAGCGAGGAGCGTCGTTCTCGGGGCACGTCGATGTCTTCCATTTGATCGAGTTCATTGGGCTCCAAAAAATCTGCGAATCCAACTGCGAGCAGGGTAAAGAGTAGAGCGAGAAGCAGCCTCATTCTGTGTGTGTGATAACGATTTTGAACCCTTTTGATCGACTGAAAATAAAGTGGATTTTTTGATGAAATTTGTTTGGTAAAACACGCGTAACTTCGGTTTATTATAAAAATTGGCGAAGACTATTTATGGCCCTGGGCCATAAATAGTCATTCAATCTTGTAAATTATTAAAATCAAAGCGAATTTTACTAGTAAAAATGTTGTATGCGAATGCACAGTGCAAAAAAAAGATCACCCAATTTTCCGCAGTGCAGAAAAAAGAAGATTTTTTTACTTCACTGTACAGACCTTTCAGAAGATTGTATAGTTCAGAAATCAAAACAAATGAAAAAATGCACGGTGCAAAATAACTTTTTTCCTGTTTTTCCCGACAAAACTGTGCCTTTGCGCATTTCCCCCGCTAATAAACGGAAACCCGCTTTACTACGAACCCCAATCGTGGGAGAACACCCCATTCTTGCAAGCCATGTAAGAGATGCTAATAATAACAATTCTTTTTTTAAATCTCTCATAAAAATAGAAATAATAAGGCGAATTCTTTGCGAACAGCAAAAGTCAGACCAATGTCGGTAAGGCAACGCGACAGAACTGAGACTAATTACAGTAGGGCAACAAGAGAGGGTTATTGTTAAAATGAAATTTGCCGGATATCCGCGGATGAAAAAAATGAGGGCGTTTGCAAAACTTTCCCACGTTGATGACCAAAAATGATGATGTCTAGGAAAACACCCTGCCCATCCGGATATATTGACCAACAAATTCCGGCGAGGCATTACAAATTAATTGCGACTGCCGCGATTTCTGAATAGAGGTCTCTTTTTTTCCGAATTTTCCCAGAATTTCGGAAAACAGCTTGACCATGTAGGGTTGTTAGTGTTGGGGAAATATAAATTAGGGGAGTTGGAGAATTGCCAAAAAAACTTTAGCCAAATTACCAAGGAAGAGGGAGGCGGCGATTCGTGGAGTTATTTGGTGAGGTAGGGGAGTTTTGGGAATTGCGGAAACTTATTTTAGGAAGTTGACAAATGCAATGAGAACATTGTCTGGTAGGTAACGAGCGGGTTCGATATTATAAGTTGTGCGGAAATGAAGTAGATCATTTAATAAACGTTCTACATACATGTGTGTGGAAAAAAAGTTTTTGGATCCTTCAAAGGGTTTAATGACGTTTGCTGCAAGTTTTTGGGCTAAAGAGTTCAAACAAAAGGAGGTGCAAATATGGTACGTAGAAGTCCTATAATTAGGGTTGAGGAACTCGATCATTCATCTACAACGTGAAGACGTTATAAAAAGGACGGTACTCTATGAAATCTCATAATACGAAATATTAACTTGGCAAGTGATAGCAACAAGTTATAGCTATAGACCGGAGCTACAGCCATTACAGAAAAAAGAGACTACCTTCTACAAGAACGCTGGGAAATTGTAAGATCATCTAGTATTATAACCACTCCTCCAACATACGCCTGAGCCAAGTAGACTACGAAATTCATGATCTCCTGCGACTGTAATTGGTTTAATTTCACTAAAGAGAAACCTTTTAATTATATTAGGCTACAATGACACACTTACTGCCATCACTATCAAGAAACCAAATCTCACGGGGCCTCCAAAACAAGACACTACATATTACACTATCCTCAAAGCTAAGATCCTCAGTACAGCTCCAGCCAAAACACTCATGTCTTAGCCGAAAACCCCGCCGAAACGCTCGCAAATCGGCTTGATGCTGTATGATTCAGAGCCCTCGGAGACATCACTAATCCCGCAAAAAATCACTAAACACATTACACTACTATCTATCTCCAGTACTCGACAAAAAAGTCGTGACAATTTAGTTAAAGCAGATGGAGACGTTAAGCTTCGCGGAGAAAATACTATTTAAGACTGAAAAAAAGGGACGGTACTACTTAACGCCTCTTTCCGTATCGGCAATTTTGATCATCACTATAATTAAAGAGGGGCACCGGAATGGGGCGGAGTCAGACCGGAAATAGGGAGGTCGGGTTTGTAATGAGTGAGGCCGAGGAAAGGGGATGATGATGAAACGCCTTCGACAACAACACCTCCTAAATTTAGAGTATAAGGAGATCGAGGAGGATAGCGGGATATAAGAGTATTAACGCAGGAAAACATTGACATTGGTGCAGAAAGATCTTGATTCTCAGACATACGTCATCTGCGGGGGTGATTTAAGGAATTCAAGGAGTTCAAGCGTAGCTTTAGGAAATAGTACAGTTTAAAAGGCCGAAATATACATTTTATAGTGACCTCAAAATAGCGTCAGTGTCGAACATGTCAACGGCAAAAATAAAGCTGCTCAGAGAGCGGGGGTTTTTTTTCTTTTTCACTTGTGGCTGTACTAGTAAAAATTTCGGTCGTCGCAGGCAAGATCTGTTTGCACGGTCCTGCAACTCAAAATATGTACATATGTAAAAGACAATGTCTCTCGCCCACTTTTAAGCTTTGTCAAAAATGAAGTGTCACAAAAAAAAAAAGAATAAAGTACTACCGAGGTAAAAATTTTCCATCGATTAAGCCCCCGCAAAAAATCCTATTGTAACATTTCTTTTGTCTTCAATCGATAATGGATGGGCAAATAGTCAAAACGAATACTGTTAATACTGTAATTTTTAAACCCTGGGGTTCGTGCTTTGGTTTTCCTGGAAAAAATTCAAAACTTTTTGATGGAAAAAACTGGGCTGTTTTCTTCCATTGCATTTTGAAATGGCTAAAAAATTTCTTATTATAATCAGCACATGCCAAAGGGCGCAAAAAAAGTTGCATCCTGTTGCTAATTACTGGTTGCAGTGCCCTATCAGACTGTCGGGAAAATAATGAGCACCCTGTCGCTGCGCCAATCGCGTCGCTGAAGTAAAAAACGATTTGATTTTGCCTCCACACAATTCATTCTCTCGTCGGCGATGAGATTTCCGATGCAACGGAATACACATTATTTTCCTGACAGACTGATACAAAAAAGTCAGTTTTCTCCCCCAAGAACATAAGAGCAAAAATTTTTGGTATATGTGTTTTGAACTACTCAACATTTCTCCCACTTCCAAAACAAAATAAATGGTACGCAACAATTCGCAAATTTACTCCGCTATTCCTGTCCATGATTCGATAAAGCCGCATGGCAAAAGGCGTGTCCAAATTTCCCCGAAAACAACACCTAAAACAGTATTCGGCAAACTTTGGGCTCGAAAAAAACTACTAGTTACCGCGAGCAGTACGAGGAAAAAACTGCTAGTTACCACGAGTATGTCTCCGGAATCGAATTATTATTTGTTCGAAATGAGATTATTCCACACGGTGCAAAGAGTTTCCGTAACGAGCCTCAAATATCATGACGAATATCGTAAAAATAGGCATCTGTTGGTGGGGGAGGGGGATAAGGTGGGATGTTTTGGAGAAATTTGATTTCTGGTGCCAGTTTTCGTACTAAAAATGGAATCATATTATGCTATAGTGTAGCAAGAATTCAAATGGCCAAAAAGGGAAAAAGGCGAGTTAGATTTTATTAAAATACATAGTAGTGACCAGAGTTGGATATAACAAATCTGGATGGACAAGCGAGATGATGGATGAAGGGGGAATGCGGAAGAAAGAAAGTGATGTTAGGTCATTCGACTTTGATAAAAACGATGACTATATATTTTCGACAGCTACTATTTACATAAACAAATATTTTTTCTCAATTTTTATCGATCTTGGACAATGAGTTTGACAAAAAATCGAGATTATTTCACAAGGAAAGGCACTTTTAAGAGGCTCCTTCTTTTAGATGGGGCATATCTCAAAAAATATGTAAAATCACGCTGACTGAGAATATGTGAAAATTAGCTGACCAATTTCAGGTGGGTCATAAGCCCCTTTCCGCTAAATTTTTTTACAGTTTTACAATTTTTTGCAGTTTTACAATCTGATATCTTAAAATCAGATTTAGTACATAGTATCTGTTGCAGTCGAAATCGTAGGCGATGAAAGGGTATTTGAGATGCTGTGCGCAAGACCTTTCTACATGTGTTTTACAGAAACCATGTAAGTCTGAAAACGGGAAGATGCCAGACGTTGACAGGGAAGACATGCTTGATCTTTGTGCGTTTAGTTCAATTGTTTTTGACTGTTTGAGAAAACACACGGAAAAATCTCATTATTTGTCTTATAAAGCTCGACCTAATGTACTCAGTTACTGCTATGTGGACTAAATATAATAGTCGAAAAACACAATATTTGTAAAAGATCGTGTGACAATAAATACTCTAATAGGACGTCTGGTACGATACTAGATAGATCACCAAAAAAATGTTAAAACCAGCTTAGAAGACGACGATGACCCTAGTCTTCCAGACAAAACATTACCCCATTAATGGCGGCAAAATTACCCAAGAAACAAAAAAAAAGAAACACCCATTTCACATGATGACTTTTTTCGGACAGACCAAAGTTGAAGTTGGTCTACAACAATATAATTAATTCTTAATTAAAGCTTAAGGGCACTTACATCTTAAATTGTGGGTTGGAAAAGGTTGAAATGAGTCGAAGTTGTTGTCCTCAGAGAATGTTCGAATGCACGTTTTACTATGATGTGGGAGGAGTTTGCGTTGACATGAGAATCCGATTAATTGGGAAAAGGATTTGTCAGAGCGAAAGTCCGTTAAACATAAGCTTTTAGCTATATGTAGCAAGTAAGGAGAGTTAAAAATATTTGAGGACAAATTTAGGACCGGAAATACTGTATGCAGTCTTTAGTTTTTAGCAAAAGTTGACGTTGTTTGTTCAAACACCTACCATCTACGGTAGAAGCTGGCATGGGACATTTTCGGCGCTGCGACTTTTTGGGTCAGCAACAGTTCGGGTCAGCGTTTTTTGTGTGTGGATCGCGTGGCTTCGTAATTTTATGGATGGGGAGGCTAGGAGAAGGCTTAGTTAGTGGAAATAATAAGACTTATGGGGTCCTAGATAAGCTTGCACCTATTTTGGGGTATTTCACGTGTACTCACTTCAATAATATCTAGGTAAAGGATATAGATTTTCGTTTTTTGTCGCAAATTTTGGTATTTTTATATGTTACAATAACTCAGGGTGAAGAAACCAAACATTAGTAATATAATAGCTAAAATTAGAAGCAGTGGACATATTGCAAGCATTTGTCAAGTCTCCGCCGAGCCTTCATCGAGCGTCCGCCTTCTATCCAGCAGCTTTGCCAGACCTCGTGGGCATTTCCTAAATCTTTTATTTGGGTATCCCCCTGCCCAACGCCCCGTATCGACCGATCTTGTGTTGACCCTACAAGTCGGGGCGCGACATTTTCATACCAAAATTTAAATAAAAAAAAATAAAATTTTCCCATTTTTGATATAAAAATCTCAGTCGTTTCTGAAAAAGGCGATCTAGGAGTCTCGTATATCTTCGAAAAATTATTTTCAACCGCGCCGTGCAAATACACACCCACGTATGTCATGGTCTTTCGTCAGATATTTGTAGTGCAGAGATCCCCCCAGTAAAGTTTGAACGGCAACCCGCAAGGAAACCATCAAATATCTAAATCTGGCAACCTCATTCCCACCAACCTCAACTCCACCCTCACTCCATTAACACTTCCTCAATTTGTCGCCAAAAAAAGCATTCGACGGAAGTGGGGAAAACAAATTTTTTCCAAGTTCAAATTTCAAACAAACTTGTAACTTTTTTTGCAAAAAAAAACTAAAGATTAAAATTTTCGAAAAACAAAAATAGAAGTATAAAATTTATTCATTTCGAACTAATCATTTCCAATAAATCCCTTCGTATTTCACAAGAAAATTGCGTCGCAGTCGACCGGTCGTATCGGCTGAATGAGCCGTCAGCACCTACCACTGAAAATATCTCCAGTTAGAAGGCTATTTATAATGTATGTTTACACCAAACAAAATTATATTATACATGGTTGACATCATATTTTTCTTATTCTTACATCGCACGTTATTTTGAAAATTTCCGAAAAGTTCGTATTTTGGAGAGCCCAAATTGTAAAGGTGGTACTTTTTAAAGTAGTAATTAATTATTTGCATGCCAAAATGTATCAGGAAAGAGTACTTTTTTGGGGAGAAAAAACAAGTTTGGGGTCATATCCGATGAGATTTTTCAGCTGTTGCAAAAACCCACTTTCCGTAGTGAAAACTTTTTTTTTAACATTTCAACTCTAATACTGACAATTGTACATAAAATTATTTGTATATTTGCTATGCGTTTCATTTTTCTCACAACCAAATTTCGAGGATTTGTCATCAAAAATTTTTAAAATCCTTAAGCCTCATTTTTCGTATAAAATGTCCCCGGCAGGGTAATGCAAATCGACTTACCGACAAGAGAATTACCCATAAACCCGGCTTGTGTCCTGAGAGTATCATTTTGAGATTTGTTTTCATTGCCTAAGTGGATTCGAATCTGACTGGGCCGGCCTTTTAGTGTGAAGAATTTTTTGAGCAGACTGAAAATAAAAAAATACAGTCACATATAACAAATATGACAAAAAAAACAAAGATTTTTCTGAAAAAAAATAAAATAAAATTTACCTTGATTCCAACGCCTCGAACAGACTGAAAAGATGGATGGTACTGTGATTACTGCAGACGCACAAATATGCCGAGTCTTTGGAGAAATTTATACTGAAAAAGAAACATTTTATTGCTTGATTCAAACTTCGGAAGCCTCAGTTTTCTACCAATGATAATTTCTTGAAGTTTTACCTTGAAATTAAAGCATTTTGCGAGCCCCGTCTAAACTCGTACAACATATGGCCAGACAAAGAGTTGAACACACGGACGAGGGTTCCTTTTATCGATGCGGTGGCTATTAGAGATCCTGAAATTTCAACTGTAAACTTATGACATCGTTTTTGTGATGAAGCGACTGCTAAATCAATTGAAAGTTTATGCAATTTGCAGCTGCACCTTTTCAGAAACAACCGAAATTTTTGCCCACAGACTAGCAGTTGTCTCAAATTTCGCGGCGGCGCAATGGAAAAAGGGTTGTGTCGCAGCGATCTTGTTTAAAAAATCAAATGCACTGTGCAGACCTTTTTTCGTGCCCAGTGCGGCGCACGTCGAAAATCCAGAATTTTTAGCATTTGTGAAAATCCTAAAACTTCTTCGTTGGCAATGATTTACCGTGGCGGACCTGATCCATTGGCAAAAAACACAACATTTTGCATCCGGGAAGCATTAAAAATGTTGCAAAATACCTCCGCCTCCAAGTGAAGATACTTCGATTTCAAAAGTCCGCCGCTCTTTTTGTGAGGAAAAGCCTTTCAAAACGGAGTTCTTTTAGTTGGAAAGGGAGGCATTTTGCCACATTTTTTGAAACTTCCCGGATGCAAGATGGTATATTTTGCCACTGGATCAGGCCCGTCACTGCAGAGTCCTGGTCGATTTTAATCAATCAAAATCATACATATGCCTTCGAAAACCTAGTCTTCATTTACATGAAACTTTGTCAAATGTCAAAAATTTGGCACTTGACATTTTCAAAAACGTATCGCGCTCTACCTTGAACTTTTCGGGTCTTTGTGTATGAGTTAATCAGAGATCAACATTTTCTGCACTTCGTAAGCCCTACCCTTTTCACAGTCATATTGTGAATCATCTTAAAAAATTGTATTGTGTATGAAATATGATAGAAAACCGTTCGATAAGCCCTTTTATGGGCAGGGTTTTAATTTGTTAATGGCATCGTACTTTGGAAGTAATGTCGGAAAAAATTCTGTCCGTAAAAATTTTTTTACAGAGCAAAGATATTGATCCTATTAGCTCCGGGTTTGTGAAATTTTTGCTATCAGCTCATCGCAAAATCTTATACTCAGCTCCATAAAAGGCTCAGCCAAAGTCCGGGTCCTCCTCAAGAACACATTTCCTTACATTAGGACGTCCTTACCGTTCTGATTGGCAGCTAAAGCCTGAATTGCATGTTGATGTGCCCTGATCGTAGTCGTCCGTATTTTATCCTGGTTCAGTCGGCAAACGGACACGTGCCCATTCACCACCGACGGGAATGCGAGCAATTCCGACTCGCAATGACTTAATTCGCAGATCCCTCGGGGATTGAACGCCGTGTCGAAGTAGATTAGAAATTCGGGAATGTCGGAAAAGGAGAACACTTGAATTTGATACTCCAAGATTATGACGATCCGATGACGATTCACTTTGACCCCAACCACCTTGGAGGGGAGGTTCAGCTCGATGACGATCTTTTGCAGACACACGTCGTAGATGAGGACTGAAAGCTTTGGTTGAGATAGCTACACCACTAACTCGCGGAGCCGTATTTTACAATAAACAGATAGATGCTCAAAATTCGACGCATAAGTTTTGACGAAGCCTGACGAAAATTTGGCATGTAAAGCTCAGGTGGGGGACATAAACCATATCAAATTTTTCGATCGCGTTTTGCAAATACCGTCGATTTTTTTTAAGTCGAAAGTTACCACAAACTTAGCTCTTTTTAGGTGGTTTCAACGAGAAAAATAATTAACTTTTTTTGACATCCCATTATTTAAAAAAATGACATTTTTGCCAAAAACTGCACGAACATATTGAGCAGAAAGGTTTCTTTAGCTATTTTATCCATTTTTTGCTCTTCAAAATCGCAAAAAAAATATTTTTTCTACTGAAAATTGTCAGTGAACACTTTCAGAAATGAATTCTAAGACTTTAATTAGCATTTGTTAAACTTCTAAATAATCAAAATTTAAAACTTTGTAGGCCTTTAGTAAACAAAAAAAAATGAATTTTGTGTCGCGCAAAAAAAAATTTCTTGTCAATATTTCCCCTAAACAAACCTAAGCATGAGCTTACCTTTATTCTCAGCAAATGCCGGCCTTTCTCCCCCAGCCACCAATGCAACCAGACTGCATCGAAAAATTGGCTCGGCCGCCTGCAACGAGCCGCCGAAATCCACCCTGCACACCACTTTCAAGGGGTCCGAATTCAAAACCACGAGGCCCTGATCGGTGGCGCAGCAAAAACAATCGAAATCCGGGCCGAACGAGATGGAGCGGAGCATTTTTCTCACGTCAATTCCATCGGGAAACGCTAAACTTTGACCCTTTGAAGGGAGGAAATTGGACTCTAAAAGGGGATGGTGATTAACAATGTGATTAACAATATGTTGTCGAAAAGGAGGGTGTTTATGGAAAGCGGAAGAAGGATGAGTGTATAACAATGAGGTCGCTGACAAAAATGTCAAGGATTGGACTCGAAAAACAATTTTTTTTAACGGGGACTTCAAAGGGAGAAGGTCGATATTTGGATTGGAAATTTAACGAGGAAGTGCTCAAATTTGAAGAAAATATTTTTACAAATCTTAATGCCAAATTAAAATAAGAGGTTACAAAGACAAATATGAGGTTGAACATCTTCAGAGTTCCTATAAAACGCGTGGTAAAATTTTCAAAAATTCATATATAAAATTTATAGGCCCTTCAGTGCGTCGAACTTCAAACACTTCCTTTGAAAACCCACTCCAACTCTATATAGAAAATTTGAACAACACGTCTGAGAATCGAACAGAAATATCATTATGTCGGGAAAATAATGAGCGCACTGTCACATTGAAAATCGCGCCACCACCGAGAAAATGAATTGTGTCGCGGCAAGATCAAATTGTTTGTTACTTCAGCAACGCGATTGGAGCAGCGACATTATGCTTATTATTTTCCCGACATACTGATATAGATGTTAAAATTTCGACTTTAAATTCTCATTAGCTTCTGTAAAAGGCCAGCCAAAAAATTTATATGTGATATGAAAGCCACTAGGTCATATTTTCCAAGCGTTATTAAAATTTCCACGCCCCAATTTCTGATCGTCCATGATTGTAGAAACACAAAAATTTACTATCACGGCAAGCCATAAAATGGAAGAAACTTTGCAAACAAAATCTCTCTCCAACAATCCCGAAAAATATATTTTTTTGATATCAAGAGGGGGCCTCGGTTGGTAACCCGAGAAGCGAGAAAAAATCAAAATATTAACAGTGGAATCAGATGGGGCTGAATCAGCAAAAAACTGAAAACGAAATCGTTCGTCCACCGCCGCATTCCTTCAGGCTGTTTTAACAAATTCGCGCGCTCCGTTGATTGCGCGTTTAGAGAAGGGGAAGACCGTTAAAGAGGTCAGAAGCGCCTCGGCTGCCCTTAGGGTGGGAAATGAGCAAAAAAACAAGGGTCAACAAGATTTAGAGAGCTTGGAGTGACCGGCGGGCAGGGAGAAACGGGGACGGGGGGTCTTGAGAACAAGCGGTAAAAACAGTGACTAATTTAAACAAGGGCTATTAAGTTTTCAAAATGTCTTTTTAAATTTGACGCAGATGAACTGGGGGCGCCAGGAAGAGTTTACAAAACTTCACACACATTTTCAATATAGTGAAACTTCTGTACAACAAAGCCTGGTTATAACACCAAGCTTGTCAGAGACCCTAAAGAGTAAAGTTTTTGCCAAGAAAAAAGTCGTTTACCTAATATTTTAAAACCGATTCGGTGTGTAGAGGTATGAAAAACTTCAGATTTCAAAAAGAAGGAAAAATATGGCCTCAAATCTCACACATACCGCTTTCCTTATCGCTGTTATCTATAATCTATTATAACACTATGCAAAAATGCGCAATGTTCCCACGCCCTTTTCTTTTTTCCCAGAAGACAGTCCGTACATTTCAAGTTGGTCATCCGGTCGCAATCTGAAATGTTATGTCTTCTTATAATGCTTTTCTTATTATTTTTTTTATTTTTGACTCTTTGGTATTATCTTCTTCATCCTTCTTCGGAGTCCAGCTGTGTAGAAAGAGCTTCTTCGGGCTGCTTACAGAGTAACACCCGATTTGCTATTTTTGACAACAAAACGGTCGCGACAGACATGCCACAACAACAGGAAACGCAATCAAGGAAAGAAATTTTTGGGTCTTTTCGTAGAAAAATGTGGAAGCCTGTGTGTCAAGGGCATACAGGTATTGTTATTAGTCTGTTGGGAAAATAATGTGGATTTATCGCGCCTTGGAATTTACCATCATCGCTTTGAGATGGCTAGCCGTGGCTGGGGACTTGGCGTGTGGTTGAGGCGAGGCTTATCGTTTTTCAGCAACAAATCCACATTATTTTCCCGACAGGCAGGTATGGCATTCCATGCAGGTTTTTGACTAGCTCTATATTATTCTTTGAAGGTTTTACTTAGCCGTTACTTTTACATGACAACCAATGTATAAACTTTGAATTTTTTACGACAACAGAACAACTGTAGAAGGTCAGTCAATAAATTTTGCCATTTTCTGAATAGTGGAAGGCCCGAATCTCTCATGTTTCTTACAAAATTATGTTATAAACATGACCCAACTCTGATCAAACCCTATTTAATCATCAAAGGTTCTTCTTGAAAGCTGTGCAATTACTGACCTATCAATCAAAAAATTAATACTTTTTCAGCGTAAACAAAGCAGTGACTAACCTTGTATTTCCAATCTACAACCCAAATAATGAAAAATCATTTTAAACATCAAGGTCCAACCCAGCTTCCGCCCTAAATGAGTGACTGTCACTCTTGCGAAGGCCCAAAATTCGGCGTGATAAGACCCTCGTCTTATCGATTTCCCCGTTAGCATTCGACTTGTTAGTTGCTGAAAAACAAAAATATGAGATCGATTCTGTTGCTCGGTCTCCTCGTTTTGTCCGCTTTCGCGGCCAAACATCCGCTCAGCCGGTTTAAGGATTTTGGGAGGAAGACTGAAGACAGCTTCGAGGAGGAGTCGGATGAGGAATACGATTTTGGAGATGAGGAGAGGGCGACGGAGGTGGAACCTGTGATTGTCTGCAGGGCGGATGGAAGTAAGTGCTTTATCATCAAAATTGCAGAAGTTCAGACGTTCGCGTTAGCTTGAAATTTTGCGTATAGTAAGAGCTGTGTTCGAAAACTTGAAAAAAAAATTAATTTTTCGCTATTAACTTTTGCTGTAGAAAGGTCGTTCTATGAGGGTTTTACAGGCTCCTAATTTTTGTAATATAGCGACTTTTAAGGACATCCGAAAGGTTCAACGTGTTTTGCAAACTTTCTGACTACCGCTCTCCACATTCATCGCAGTGTCTCACTCTCAAATATCGTCGAATATATCAATAGCCGCTGCAAACCCTAAGCTAAAATTTTGAAAAATTGACACGCAAACCATGTCTTATATAATTGATAAGAAATGCGTAAAAACCCCATCAAATGCCGTTCCTTTCCCAAATTGTACCCTCAAATTTACAGAAGACCCATGTCATTGCGACAAGAACAAAGGAATCATAAATTGTCGGAAGTTGGCCACACAGAAAGGCAAAGATGTCCATGGCGGCCAGCTTCAAGTTGCCGCCATAAAAACCGAGGACGATGATTTCAAAGCCAAATACATTGTAATGGCCAACAATCGGATCACATATTTGGATGGGGAAACTATTACTCCGGGACAGCGGCTAACGGTCGAAGCATTTGACTTCACTTACAATCAAATTGCTGTGATCAATCCACAGACCTTTGACAACTTCCCGAAACTGGAGAAATTGCGGCTGAGCTACAACTTTTTGAAATTGGATTCGACGATGGAGTAAGTTGAAAAAATGTTGGAAATTGCAGCAGAACCTATCTAAAAGAAATTCAAGAAATTCCAAAACAACACAGTCTCGGTACAGCGAACAATTTCAAGGTTCCACGTGTAATTTTTAGGCCAATAAGAACTTCTGTACAGCGAAGTTCCTCCATAATGAATAACTCTTTTATCCCCCTTTTGGCCCTTTATACCAAAACTTGACTAAAAATAATAATGATCTAATAAACCCAAATATATTTCAGTGGCTGGATAACCGACAAGCTGGGCGACTCCCTCAAGAAGCTTTATTTGGATTACAATTCGATTGACAAGATCGAAGACGGAGTTTTTGATCCGCTGAAGAAACTGGAAACATTGGTCTTGGATGGAAATCCGCAGCTCAAATTGACCGACAAAACTTTTGGAAAGGAAATGGCCAGCTTGAAGGAACTGTCATTGGATCACTGTAAATTTACAACTCTTCCAGACAAGTTGTTCGACAATCTAAAGTAAGACTGTTTGAATAGAGATTTTTTGAAGTTTAGGTGAGATATAAACGGACTTGGGTTATCAACATTTTACTTACAGATCTCTCGAGAGCATCTCCCTGATCGGAAACCACTTTGTCTCCATTCCCTCTGCTCTTGGAAATGTAGCCAAGCTGACATACATCGATTTGAGCAAAAACGAATTGACCGAGATCCCTGAAGACTCGTTCAAAAAGAATCCAGAGTTACAAGCATTGTTCCTCAATGACAACAAATATTTGAGCAAGGTGGATGACTGTGGACTCTGTGGTCTGAAGGAATTGAAAAAAGTGATTTTGAACAAAAATCCACAACTTTATCACATCCACAAAAACGCCTTCGGCTATGCGGAAGGAGACGGGCCTAAGGCGCTGGAGACGCTACTCCTTGACCATTCAAATTTCTCAACTTTGGACAAGGATACTGCTCCATGGGACAAGCTGGACCAGTTGGCTTTGGGAGGAAACCCATGGAATTGCAATGATGATTTGGACTGGCTGCTGAAGACTCCGGGCTTGCATCTGACTGGAGAAGAGGTGCCAAGGTAAGTACGACTTTTATGGAAAAAACATAAATGGCAAGTCAATACCCTGCACTTTGGATGATGGGGTCTTTTTGTTCCCGGTCCGGTACTGTCTCCAATACGCTTTTGTCCGCACATTTTTTTTACTTTTTTCCATAATCCGGAGCTTTCATTAGCCAGTTTTTTCTTACTATGACTTCCGTATAGGCCGGTTCAGGCTCATGAACAACACACGTGAATTTTTCCCCCAGCCTTTCGGCCGCAGCTTAGAGACGTCTTGGCGATGTTAAGCAGCGGAATCTTGGCATAACGTTATCCCACCTCCGTGGCGTCCTAGCTAAGCTTACTGATCAGCATTAACCATTTGAGCAATAATTTTGCGCTATGAAAGGGCTAACAAACGGCCGATAATGAAGGCTATGCCAAGATTCCGTCGGCCCACATTTCCCGAAAGGCGATAAACACACTTCTGAAACAACATTCGAACTTTTCAAATTAACCCATATTTTTCAGGTGCCAGGCTCCATCAGACCTCGCCGGCAAATCCATAATCAAACTTCGCGGTGATGCTGGAGTAAGCAGCGACTCTGACAGCTCATTCTTCGCCAGTGCCTTCTTCGCACTTCTTGGTTTAATTGCTATTTCCGGAATCGTCGTCGGTGGCTTTGTTCTTTGGACTCGTCGCCCAAGCAACCCGTTCTATCGCCCCACCATGCCTAACGTTGGGTTCAGTAATTTGACTACGGAGTTGGACATGGAGGACGAGGTAATGTCGCTGGCCGAGGAAGCCGACCTCGATGAGCCTAAACCTACACCGGTGTAACATTGTAAAATATTTTTAATATATGGATCGATTTCTAATAAACATAATTTTGTGTTATGCAGGAAAAAATCTTTTATGCATTTCCAGATATATCTATTATGATATCGCAGCTTCAAATCCATTTCATTTTTCAAGGAAATTCGAAGGGAAGGCCATGAGAAAAGAATTTATTAATGCTCGTATTACATCTCCAAATTACAAATTACGCGGCTCGTCGAAGACACGTCTGATAGCATCGTTTTCCAGCGCACTGGTACTTGTTACAGTCGGCGTTGTGAACCAGCGAGCAGAAATCTTGACATTCTTTATGGCAATCGCTGTCCTTGTTACAATATCCGACAAAAGCGGGTTTTTGCTCCTTCACGGGATTCGAGGATACGAGAACCGCGAGTACGCTGATGACGACAAGGACAATGTTAATGTATTTCATTCTGTAGAAGGAAATGAGGCTGCAATGAGGTAACAATATAAAAGCGCGAACTAACATTCTTAAAATTTGACATGTACCATAATGTAGTCGTTTATGCAAAATTCGAAAAAATCTGAGCGTTGCAGTTCAAAAACTTCTCTTGTTAGCCGAAACTCGCAAAAAGGATAAACCAATAAAAAAGCGAATACAATAAATTAACAAGCAGCATTTCTAAAACCATGCGGCGTGGTAAAAACAAACTAAAAACAAATAGTAAATGAAGATGGTGGTCAAAACATAGCTTACAAAATTCGCTGAATAAAGTGGCGGGAATTGGAGCTGAGGGTCTTGCAAAAAAAACAATCACAGGGTATTAGAGGAGTTGAAAAGCCAAAATTTCACAAGCCAAAATTACTTGGCAAATGAAAAATTTTATTGGCCACTTTGACCGTTATAACCCCTGCTTTTTCCTACTGTAACAGGCACAAAAAATCTCCTTTTCCAGAGAAATTCACAGGTTCAGCTTCACACTTGAAACCACAAGCAAAAAATTTCAAAAATTTATGTATAACTTTACTTCACACATATATTATACAAGTATAGAGCTGAAAGAAAGTTCCAGGACACCTCGCATTACAAAGAAAGCAAAGGAAATTTGATAAAGTTACTTTAAAAAGCGGGAACTTTTTTTGACAATACCTCTAACTATATGACCCTCAACGCAAACCCCACAAATATCACAAGGAACAAAACTTAGATCTCCTACTGTTTACTCAAACTTACTTTTTATGAAAACACGAAAACCCAGGGTTTATTTGGAATGCTCAAATCTTGGGGAATCGTTGGAAGGAAATGAGATTGCAGACTGGATTTGGGAGGATTCGAAAAGAATAATAAAAAACGGGATGTTCGAAAAAAACTTGTAAGAGGGAGGGCAGGCGAAAGGGCATCTGAATTCAAAATTTACGAGTTAAATAAAAAAATTTCGACAAGTGCACAAGGTGGCACACCAAAAAAAAATTTTTTTTAAAATCGCCCTGAAACTTCCTAAGAAAACCATAACCGGCGTAAATTGTGTATGAATTTTAGAGTATTCGTATATTCTGTATGATTTTTTTCTTTTTTAAAGCGAAAATCAGACGCAATTTTCTCTAATTTATGCACGAAATGTGAAGTGGTGTCGCCAGTTCAATTTCTGTTTCACGTAGTTTTGAATGGATTTTGAAAATCAATAACGCCTCCAAAGAAAGAAATGATGTCGCAACCAAAGCGAAATGTCTTTAAATGACGAATCTGAAAAGCTTCCAAGGGAAGTTAAGTTTTTCCTTAAAATTTGCACACACGTCTGGCACAGGCGACATAACAATTGCTGAAGGTGTTAGTCCGCGCTTTGCAGGCACACCCTTTTTTGACCGCTTTGCAGTCACACCCTGTTTTGACCGTATCTATATATGCCTGTTCCTTACGGAACCTTCTGGAAATGCTTTGGAAAAAAATTAATACAGTGGAACTTTGTACAAGGAATCGCAAGCTACCGTGAAAATCGAACAGAATGAATGACTGAATTTTATTTCAGAATAAAAGTCGCTCTTCTGATCTATCAAACAACCGTACACGCCCATCACATAGCAGAACTTCGGTACATATTTTTTCAGTTCATAATCTCTTCAGATAACCTCAGTACATAATTTCGGACACCTACAATTCGTTGTATACACTATCCACTGCAGTTACAGAATTTTTGACCTTGCCATGGTACTGTTCGTCAGCGTATCCATTGCCTCTTTTGCAAATTCTGCTCTTCACAGTTCAATGGTTTTCTTTTCATTATTGCATCATTAATGAAAAATTTTTACAACCCACTTACAGCTGCATTTCCAAATCACTGCCAAAGTTCTGCTGAGGTCTTTATGAATCTCTATGCCCATCAAATGCCCCATTATCCCGGGCGACGAGCGTATTGTTGAGTGTAATGTTCCGGGGGTGTTCATTTGCATTTACAATAAACAGGGAACGATGCAGAACCCCATAATGTATTTAATTTTGTAAATGTAATGTGTTTTAAGAACAGGGTCCGCGGGCAAAGTCTCTGTCCTCATTCACATCCCGCTACACGATGCGACTATTCGTGTTGTTACTTCTCTTCGAAGTCGTGCAAGCTGGCATCTTAAACAGTTTGCGGAATCATTGGTCCAGACTGACCGGGAAGGTGTGCCATGAAGGAGTTAACTGCGTTTGCGATGACAAAAAGTGCCAAGACGCGTTCGGCGTCCAACATAAGGTAAGCAAGGAATATCGCTTCAATTTTATATCAAGCAATGGCAGTTCTTCTAGATTAACTAAAGATTTTTTTGTCATACTCAATAGTCGTCCATAGGAAATAGCTTTACAACGAATTCATTAATGGCAATCATCAAGTCTTTTGTCGTAAATCTGAACGCCATGTTTTCGTTTAACCATGTACTCATGCAGCCAATGACATAAAAGGAAGTTACGAGTAAAGTCATTTTTGCAGTGTCTCTACCCTCAATGTGACAAGTACGACGTTGCGCAATGCTTCCTTGTATGCGATAAGGGCCACATTAATGGCACAACCACGCTAATCCCTACTGACCTCACAACCACCGTGATCCCAACAACAAGACCGTCTACTGTCACAACCGCCGAGCCAACAACTGAATTACCGTCAACCGACCAATCGACAGAGCCGCCAACTACGGAACCACCATCGACAGAGTCATCAGAACCGGTGCCTTCCTCCGAACCTCCATCATCTGAGCCACCAACCTCAGAGGAACCGTCAACTGAGCCTCCAACTTCAGCAGAGCCATCATCTGAGCCTCCAAGCTCAGAGCATCCATCGTCGGAAGTGCCTTCCTCCGAACCTCCATCATCTGAGCCACCAACATCAGAGGAGCCATCGTCTCAGCCTCCGAGCTCAGACCATCCAGCGTCAGAAGGGCCTTCCTCCGAGCCTCCATCAAGTGAGCCACCAACCTCAGAGGAACCGTCAACTGAGCCTCCAACCTCAGCGGAGCCATCATCTGAGCCTCCAACCTCAGAGGAGCCATCATCTCAGCCTCCAAGCTCAGAGCATCCATCGTCAGAAGTGCCTTCCTCCGAACCTCCATCATCTGAGCCACCAACATCAGAGGAGCCGTCGTCTCAGCCTCCGAGCTCAGAGCATCCAGCGTCAGAAGGGCCTTCCTCCGAGCCTCCATCAAGTGAGCCACCAACCTCAGAGGAACCGTCAACTGAGCCTCCAACCTCAGCGGAGCCATCATCTGAGCCTCCAACCTCAGAGGAGCCATCATCTCAGCCTCCAAGCTCAGAGCATCCATCGTCAGAAGTGCCTTCCTCCGAACCTCCACCATCTGAGCCACCAACATCAGAGGAGCCATCGTCTCAGCCTCCGAGCTCAGAGCATCCAGCGTCAGAAGGGCCTTCCTCCGAACCTCCATCATCTGAGCCACCAACCTCAGAGGAACCGTCAACTGAGCCTCCAACCTCAGAAGAGCCATCGTCTCAGCCTCCAAGCTCAGAGCATCCAGCGTCAGAAGGGCCTTCCTCCGAGCCTCCATCAAGTGAGCCACCAACCTCAGAGGAGCCATCGTCTCAGCCTCCGAGCTCAGAGCATCCAGCGTCAGAAGGGCCTTCCTCCGAGCCTCCATCAAGTGAGCCACCAACCTCAGAGGAGCCATCGTCTCAGCCTCCGAGCTCAGAGCATCCAGCGTCAGAAGGGCCTTCCTCCGAGCCTCCATCAAGTGAGCCACCAACCTCAGAGGAGCCATCGTCTCAGCCTCCGAGCTCAGAGCATCCAGCGTCAGAAGGGCCTTCCTCCGAACCTCCATCATCTGAGCCACCAACCTCAGAGGAACCGTCAACTGAGCCTCCAACTTCAGCAGAGCCATCATCTGAGCCTCCAAGCTCAGAGCATCCATCGTCGGAAGTGCCTTCCTCCGAACCTCCATCATCTGAGCCACCAACATCAGAGGAGCCATCGTCTCAGCCTCCGAGCTCAGACCATCCAGCGTCAGAAGGGCCTTCCTCCGAGCCTCCATCAAGTGAGCCACCAACCTCAGAGGAACCGTCAACTGAGCCTCCAACCTCAGCGGAGCCATCATCTGAGCCTCCAACCTCAGAGGAGCCATCATCTCAGCCTCCAAGCTCAGAGCATCCATCGTCAGAAGTGCCTTCCTCCGAACCTCCATCATCTGAGCCACCAACATCAGAGGAGCCGTCGTCTCAGCCTCCGAGCTCAGAGCATCCAGCGTCAGAAGGGCCTTCCTCCGAGCCTCCATCAAGTGAGCCACCAACCTCAGAGGAACCGTCAACTGAGCCTCCAACCTCAGCGGAGCCATCATCTGAGCCTCCAACCTCAGAGGAGCCATCATCTCAGCCTCCAAGCTCAGAGCATCCATCGTCAGAAGTGCCTTCCTCCGAACCTCCACCATCTGAGCCACCAACATCAGAGGAGCCATCGTCTCAGCCTCCGAGCTCAGAGCATCCAGCGTCAGAAGGGCCTTCCTCCGAACCTCCATCATCTGAGCCACCAACCTCAGAGGAACCGTCAACTGAGCCTCCAACCTCAGAAGAGCCATCGTCTCAGCCTCCAAGCTCAGAGCATCCAGCGTCAGAAGGGCCTTCCTCCGAGCCTCCATCAAGTGAGCCACCAACCTCAGAGGAGCCATCGTCTCAGCCTCCGAGCTCAGAGCATCCAGCGTCAGAAGGGCCTTCCTCCGAGCCTCCATCAAGTGAGCCACCAACCTCAGAGGAGCCATCGTCTCAGCCTCCGAGCTCAGAGCATCCAGCGTCAGAAGGGCCTTCCTCCGAGCCTCCATCAAGTGAGCCACCAACCTCAGAGGAGCCATCGTCTCAGCCTCCGAGCTCAGAGCATCCAGCGTCAGAAGGGCCTTCCTCCGAACCTCCATCATCTGAGCCACCAACCTCAGAGGAACCGTCAACTGAGCCTCCAACCTCAGAAGAGCCATCGTCTCAGCCTCCAAGCTCAGAGCATCCAGCGTCAGAAGGGCCTTCCTCCGAGCCTCCATCAAGTGAGCCACCAACCTCAGAGGAGCCATCGTCTCAGCCTCCGAGCTCAGAGCATCCAGCGTCAGAAGGGCCTTCCTCCGAGCCTCCATCAAGTGAGCCACCAACCTCAGAGGAGCCATCGTCTCAGCCTCCGAGCTCAGAGCATCCAGCGTCAGAAGGGCCTTCCTCCGAACCTCCATCATCTGAGCCACCAACCTCAGAGGAACCGTCAACTGAGCCTCCAACCTCAGAAGAGCCATCATCTCAGCCTCCGAGCTCAGAGCATCCAGCGTCAGAAGGGCCTTCCTCCGAGCCTCCATCAAGTGAGCCACCAACCTCAGAGGAGCCATCGTCTCAGCCTCCGAGCTCAGAGCATCCAGCGTCAGAAGGGCCTTCCTCCGAACCTCCATCATCTGAGCCACCAACCTCAGAGGAACCGTCAACTGAGCCTCCAACCTCAGAAGAGCCATCGTCTCAGCCTCCAAGCTCAGAGCATCCAGCGTCAGAAGGGCCTTCCTCCGAGCCTCCATCAAGTGAGCCACCAACCTCAGAGGAGCCATCGCCTCAGCCTCCGAGCTCAGAGCATCCAGCGTCAGAAGGGCCTTCCTCCGAACCTCCATCATCTGAGCCACCAACCTCAGAGGAACCGTCAACCGAGCCTCCAACCTCAGAAGAGCCATCGTCTCAGCCTCCAAGCTCAGAGCATCCAGCGTCAGAAGGGCCTTCCTCCGAGCCTCCATCAAGTGAGCCACCAACCTCAGAGGAGCCATCGTCTCAGCCTCCGAGCTCAGAGCATCCAGCGTCAGAAGGGCCTTCCTCCGAACCTCCATCATCTGAGCCACCAACCTCAGAGGAACCGTCAACCGAGCCTCCAACCTCAGAAGAGCCATCATCTCAGCCTCCGAGCTCAGAGCATCCAGCGTCAGAAGGGCCTTCCTCCGAACCTCCATCATCTGAGCCACCAACCTCAGAGGAACCGTCAACTGAGCCTCCAACCTCAGAAGAGCCATCGTCTCAGCCTCCAAGCTCAGAGCATCCAGCGTCAGAAGGGCCTTCCTCCGAACCTCCATCATCTGAGCCACCAACCTCAGAGGAACCGTCAACTGAGCCTCCAACCTCAGAAGAGCCATCGTCTCAGCCTCCAAGCTCAGAGCATCCAGCGTCAGAAGGGCCTTCCTCCGAGCCTCCATCAAGTGAGCCACCAACCTCAGAGGAGCCATCGTCTCAGCCTCCGAGCTCAGAGCATCCAGCGTCAGAAGGGCCTTCCTCCGAGCCCCCATCAAGTGAGCCGCCAACCTCAGAGGAGCCATCGTCTCAGCCTCCGAGCTCAGAGCATCCAGCGTCAGAAGGGCCTTCCTCCGAACCTCCATCATCTGAGCCACCAACCTCAGAGGAACCGTCAACTGAGCCTCCAACCTCAGAAGAGCCATCGTCTCAGCCTCCAAGCTCAGAGCATCCAGCGTCAGAAGGGCCTTCCTCCGAACCTCCATCAAGTGAGCCACCAACCTCAGAGGAGCCATCGTCTCAGCCTCCGAGCTCAGAGCATCCAGCGTCAGAAGGGCCTTCCTCCGAACCTCCATCATCTGAGCCACCAACCTCAGAGGAGCCATCGTCTCAGCCTCCGAGCTCAGAGCATCCAGCGTCAGAAGGGCCTTCCTCCGAGCCTCCATCAAGTGAGCCACCAACCTCAGAGGAACCGTCAACTGAGCCTCCAACCTCAGAAGAGCCATCGTCTCAACCTCCAAGCTCAGAGCATCCAGCGTCAGAAGGGCCTTCCTCCGAGCCTCCATCAAGTGAGCCACCAACCTCAGAGGAGCCATCGTCTCAGCCTCCGAGCTCAGAGCATCCAGCGTCAGAAGGGCCTTCCTCCAAACCTCCATCATCTGAGCCACCAACCTCAGAGGAACCGTCAACTGAGCCTCCAACCTCAGAGGAGCCATCATCTCAGCCTCCAAGCTCAGAGCATCCAGCGTCAGAAGGGCCTTCCTCCGAACCTCCATCAAGTGAGCCACCAACCTCAGAGGAGCCATCGTCTCAGCCTCCGAGCTCAGAGCATCCAGCGTCAGAAGGGCCTTCCTCCAAACCTCCATCATCTGAGCCACCAACCTCAGAGGAACCGTCAACTGAGCCTCCAACCTCAGAGGAGCCATCATCTCAGCCTCCAAGCTCAGAGCATCCAGCGTCAGAAGGGCCTTCCTCCGAACCTCCATCAAGTGAGCCACCAACCTCAGAGGAGCCATCGTCTCAGCCTCCAACCTCAGAGGAGCCATCATCACAGCCTCCGAGCTCAGAGCATCCATCGTCAGAGAAGCCTTCCTCCAAGCCTCCCTCAACAGAGCCACCATCTTCTGAAGGGCCATCAACAGAGCATCCGAGCTCAGGACATCCATCGACCGAGGTACCTTCCGAGTTTCCCGCAACTGCCTCCTCGACCTCAGTTCCATCTTCAAGTGAACCTGTACCTACCCAGACTTCCCCCGTTCCAGTCACGGTATTGCCAAACCAGTTGGAATGCCTTTATTCCGAGACGGGTCATCCTTGCAATCAAACGGTTTGTCACGATTTCTGCGCGCAGAAGCATTACGACTCTTGTTACTACAGCGGATGCAACGGCTTTTCTTGTGTTAGTACATGTGTTCGGTTTACTCGTGCTGGGAAGACATACCACTTGTATCATGGAGCTGAGTCCGCGGGAGAGAAATCCTTTGCCCAAATTACTGCTATCTACGATGCACTCAACAAGACCGGGATTCATCACGATAAAAGCGAGACCATTCTGACAAAAAGACCACAAGGGTCTGGCCGTGCCGTCGAAGGAGGTCTGGGCATTTTGAATTTGAAAAAACAGGATCAAGAGGAGAGTTATGCCGCCAAGAAAAAATCGGGGGAGTCGGCCGTCAACTTGTCTGACGTGTTGGCCAAGGCTGCGAAGAACAAAGAGAAGGAGAAGGATCAATACATTTACGAAGAAGTTCAAGACGTTGTAACAGAAATTATGCCCTTCAAAGTGGTGACAAGATATGTCTAATAACTTTTGGCTGAATGCAAACGAATAAATATTGTTAATTACATAAAATTACAAAAAAATACACTGAAATTATTCAAATTTCAAAAAAAAATTATTTTTTTCAAAAATTTTGTTTTGATTTTCTCATTTTCCTTTACTTTTCTCCTCAAAACTCCACCCGGCGGTCGGTTGCTCAATGAGGTTGCTCCATATTCCTCTGATCTCTCTCCTCGTCCTGTTCTCTTTGGTATGGGCCGAATACACTTGCGAATCGGACAGTGACTGTGTCAAGGAAGACCTGGGAATCTATTATTGTCAAACCTCTTTCGAGGGATCCACTTTTTACGGAGCGCGATGCAACTACTTCGCTCCGGCCAAGATGAATCTCTGCGATTTCTACTGCATGGTGCCCTATGAAGAAGAGCGTTGTCCAAGGGGTTTTCTAGCTTATTGATGTTGATTTATATTATTTTTGGGATTTTAGCAAAAATAAATATTTTGAATTTGGTTTGGGAGTTCATTATTGGCCAGATGAAGGAGTTAGACGAAATTTCCAATGATAATTTTGTAGCGTATTTATCTTGTAATCGAACCTTTGTACAACAAATCTTGTGGTAAAAAAATCGTTTGTTATAAAAGGGTTTTGCTGCATGAAGGCTGATTTTTGCCTTGACTGTAGGAATCTTTTGTTATGGCATTGTATTTCAGAACAATAAGGCCATCAAAGTTAAAAACATTGGAATATACCTGCCCTTGCGTCAAATTTCTATCCAAAAAACAAATCTCTGATCTCTCAAGATTTGCTATCCAAGCGCAACAGCTTTTATTTTCATCCAAAGATTACGGTAATTTCTGTTTGTTCCATTCCCATACTTTGATTACCCCCAAATTAGAATATTCCGAAACCAGCTCTCATCTTTTTTTTATTCCCCTCTCATGGCGATTCCGGAAAACTCCTTAAACCAGAATTCCTCTGGATTCCCTCCGAGGGGTGTGAAACTCCGAAGCTGCCCTTAAAAAGCGCCGAATTCGAATCACTTTCCCCCTTTTGTTTTCGGCGAGTTCTGTTACGGTTTTACGCTGTAATGGAACAAACGAAACGGGCAATTTGCATTGTGTTTGAGGTAAAGCTGCGGTATTTTTGTGTGAGCTCACTTTATTGAGTTCTAAATGCTCCAAAAACACCTTTTTTATACCCGTATCATGCTGCCTAGTATACCGTGCAAGACCCATTTTTCAGAAGCAATTCATTGCTTCTAGAAATATTCTGAATACCTCAAAATGCATTGCTCAGATGTTCTTCAAACTTTGCACACACAGTGTTCCTGGACAAAGTATAAATTGCTGAAAACTTCAGCTCGCGCTTTCGAGATTCTGCCGAGATATTCACCGATCTTTTTCGACGAGAGAGTGTGAAAAATTCCGAGTACGGTTAGAGAAAAAAAGGGTACTGACATATTTCTTTTAATGTTGAGAAAGAACAATTTATTTTTTGTAGAATTGTTGCATTATCCGGTGAAAGTAAGCCCAAAATTTTTCATGTACGAATTCATAAAAAATCATCAAATTTGACCAACCTTCAGATTAAAAATCTAGCTTAATTATGCAAAACCCGACTTAGGAATGTCTCACTCATCATAGAAAAATTAATCCAGACAAGTTTCATTAAGATCAGTGCGCCCCACTTCCCTGTAAAGGATAAATTATTCCGAATATCCGAGGATCCTTTGAGGTGCTTTCATCCCAATTTTGTAATTTCTTCCTTTTGTTTTGTTTTTATTAACGACCTCGTAAACCGAGTTCAAGAACTTTTTTGGTTCGTGAAAATGAACAAAAAAGGGTCAAGTCCGTGGGGATCGACAAGATCATAATCGGAAATCCAATAACAAGGAAGTGTTAGAGATACGTTAAAATTGGGGCAGTAGTAAATAAACGTATGAATTTTTGGAAGGTGGCCAAGATTGGGTGTAAACATCTGTTTTTCGAGTGAAGCAAAACATTTTTTTTATTTTGTCGATAATCTTCGAACACTTCCTTGATCAATAAATTTTCACTTTTCAAACCGAACAGCGACTTTTCGCCAAAAACTGAAGTAGACTTTCTGACTGAAAACATGATTTATGACCAGCTGTCTTCAGGGTATCAACTTTCGTCTTCGAAGCGGTTTAAACTCTGTTCAAAGATGTGATTTCATCAAAAACAAAACAACTTTAAACCTTGTTTTTTCAAAGCAAATATTTCAAAAAATTGTGTTATGCAATTTCTGTAATCTTCGAAAAAATTAGATCATTTTATCGCTATTTCCCATACGGAACAAGAACTCATTTTATCTCTATGCCTTTTTTATGTCTTTACCGCTTTCTCACTCTTGCTTGATTTAGAATCTGTTTGCTTTGGCTTTGCGAGGGTTCCGAGCGTGGTCAACAAGTCTTTTGCTTTTTAAAATTCTTGATTTTATTTTGTTTTCTGAAGACGTCGCGGAAAGACAGTGCTAGTTTTCAAGAGATTTTATGTGGCGTTTGGAGAAAAATTTATAAAATTTCTGTTTTTCGCCAAAAAAATCATAAAAACAAACGCTGATTTCTTTCGTATTTTACCGTCAAATTGGTGAATTTTGATAACAAATCTGACTTTGCGTTTTCAATTCGATTTTAGCGATAGTTAATTTTTCGGATTTTTTGCACTGTGCAAAGCGAAAAATAGGCTGAAAATGGGCTTGCACTGTGCAATGAAGACAGTTTTTGCAAAAGTTTCGAAAAAATTGAAAATTTGATTTTATGGGAAAAGTGGTATTTTATGCAGTGAAGCTCTGTAAAAAACGCTTATACAACAAAACCTGTCTATAACACATAATGGTTCTGTGAGCCACTTTTCGGTCAAATGAACCTTGTATATACAAGAAAACCTCTCTATTATGAATGAATATTTTAAATTCTCTAGAAATTTGCTGTACAGAGGATTAGCTGTATTTGATCTACAAAAATTATCGTCTTCAAAAAAAATTTCTTTTTAATTTTACGTCCATTTCCTCCGACCATTCTGTTCCAATGACCCCCCTTTCGTTATAAAGCGCCTTTGGGAATAACGCAGCGGAAATGGCCTTCAGAATCCATGCGACGATCGTCTCCGTTCCCCAAAACGACCTTCACAGTCTTTTATAAACAACTTTGGCGGAAATAATATTTTCATTCGGATCCATAATGGACCTCTTCATATAAAGTAAATACTCCCGATCCCCCCACCCAAAATCCCGCATTCAAAATCACGACTTTCGTTGCGCGCGGGAAGGGTTTTTGTGGAAAAATTTAAATGAATTACCGTCTTCGTTTATTGTAGAGTGCTGTTTTTTTCGCGGGTACAGGTCACGTTGGGATGGTTAGTGACCAGTAGGCGGGAAGAAGGGAGAAGGATTCAGAGGAATGCAATGAATCAAGTCCGAAGAAAAGTTGAGGACAAGTCGAGCAAGTGCTGGACATGAACCATTCATGGGTCGTTTTAATTGTAAGTTGATTTGAAATTTGATTTTTCGCATGAAAAACTGTTTTGGAAACAAACATTTTTTTAATTATTAGAGTTGATTTATATATTTTTAGCTAAAATTTTCTATAAACCGTTAAATTTCTTTGCCCTTAGGCTTTACAGTGGTCAGTTTTTTTTCACGACAACCTTCGAAAAAATTTTTATCGTTAAATTTTTTCTGCACTGTGCAAAGACTTCTAATTTTTGCACTGTGCAGCCCAAAAAATAGGCTAAAATTCTCCTTGCACGGCGCAATGGGCATAAAATTTTGCACCGTGCAAAAAAAATCAAAAAAAAATTTTACTTTTTTCAAATTCAGCTTTCATTTTTCAGCTAATAATTTTCTCCCTTACCGAAAAAATCGTCGCCAAATGTCCTGAGATTGCTTGCGAATCCGGTCTTTCATGCGATTACAATACCGGAATTTGCCGTCGTTTTCGGGTCCCCGGCGAAGGTCTACAACATTTTGCACTGGACTGGAACAAATGTCAAGACGTGGTCTGTCCTCCGGGATATCACTGTGATGGCACTAGTGGCGTTTGCACAAGAGTTAATGGACAAGTTGGACAGTCAGACCCTTGTGAAGGAATTATTTGCCCTCCGGGCTTCACGTGTGCTGAAAGTAAGTCAGCAGAGCGTTCTTTGGTAAACGAAAACTTGGTTTACAAGATTCCAAAAAATTTTCACAAACAAAATGCACCGTGCGAAAATTTTGGATTTTTGCACCGTGCAGTGCCATTTTTAGCCTATTTTTGGCGGCGCACAGTGCAAAGAAGGGGTGTTTTTGCACAGTGCGGAGAAATTTGAAAACTCATGAATTGAGCAAAATCTGTATGATAATGAAAAAAAATACGTTTTGAGTATTTTAACATCAAGGAAGAGCTGCAACGCGAAGCTAGACTCCGCAATTTTTTTTGTGAAACATTATTTTTTTAAAATTTTTGCTTTTTTTGCAGTGTTTTCATCAAAACTGAGAAATTAAATATTAACTTTTTACAAGAATTCCAGTACGTTACAGAACCATTGTCAGCGGAAAAACAAAAATTTTAGGCCGCTGCGTTCAAGACGAGCCAATCACCACCGAGGATTTGGACCCCAACCCCATGTGCCGCGGTGTCCGTTGTCCGGAGGGCTTCGAGTGCTCTCCCATCAGTGGGATCTGTCATCCACCGCCTAAACAATTCGACCCTTTTGACCATGTGTTTGAAGATGAACCTGTTAGATCTCTGGAAGACGAATCTTTAACACTTTTGCAATGCCCTCCGAATTCGCATTACGAGAATTGCGCCGCTCCGTGCACTTCCACTTGCGTGGACATTAGACCTGACTGCAAACAACATGACTATGAGTGTATTAGAACGTGTGTTTGCGACAATGGATTCGTTCAGGTTAGCCCGTTGAATGCAACTTGTGTGGCGGCCAGGGAATGCGAGGTAGTGGCGAGAGAGCACGCCAATAGTAAGTAAGGAAATTTCAATCATTTTCATCTATACAGGGTGGGCCAAAAAAAATGGACATTAATTTTTCTTGGATTTTTCATGCCATGAAACAGTTTGTGAAAAAAGGTATATATGGCATGAAAGTACTGTGTTAAGGTAACATATTTACTGTAGAATTTTTGTCCTACCTGCAGAAGTTTCTAACATACGGTTGCAGGAAGGTCACCGAGTCAGCGCGCCAATTCCCGCGGCAAAAATTTCAAAAGTTCTTACCCCTAAATTTTTTAGAGTCGCTGTAAAGACATACCAAGCAGTCTACGCAAATCTAGGAGACATGCCCCCTTAGGCTTTAAAAGGATTTAACCCAAGCATTTCGGAAAATGAAGAACCAGTGACCAGAAGCAAGACACTCGGCCAGGGAAAATCGAGCTTTATTTGGACGCTTTCGGAAAATCGATGCTCTACCAAACATAGTGACCATTTTGAAACTAATTACCCCCATACGGTGTTTACAACTCTACGATGAATATACTAAGCGCATTTTTGACAATAGTACCCCTCAATCAGCAAGATGGCAAGCAAAAAATTGATTTTTTTGACTTTTTGATGGGTCATCGCAATAATACATGGATTCTGAAAGCTAGCTGCATCCTCATTTTATGAAACTGACTTAAAATGGAAGAAAGGGGTCGTATCACCTTGATATAAAAGTATCCCGTCATAGTTATCCGGAACGTTGAAGAACGCCAACAAAAAAGAAAAAATTTTCTGATCAAAAAATATCAGCGTCTCTGGGTATAGCCGGCTGAAATTTTTTAAGGTCTGCGCACGGCTGATGCAAGCTATTATCAAATCAACTGCTGGCCCATGTAAAGCAATGTTAGATGTCTTACAGTGACCACTTTTTGCTATCAATAGCATGAGCCGGGCTCCCCTGCGACTCTTGAATGTCAATTATCTCAAAAATCTAGAATTATCTAGATGGACCTCTTGTGGATCACGTTGAGAACTGCTGGAGCGAAATTAATAGAATACTATCAGCTGTTTTGCTTCTGTGGGCTCCCCTTAGTATCATGATAAACAGTCAACCACCAGTTTTGGGCTGGTCGTAGACGTTCAGGTCATTGAAGATTTTTGGACCCATAAAATTTTCGGAAAACGAAATCAGAATATGGACTGGTCTAGCATTTTGGTTTGTATCAGCGGTTCAACAAAAGTATATAAAAAATTTAAATAGTTGTGATAAAGTAGGATAGTTGACAATTATAAAACTATTTTCCTTTCCGTTGATTACGGTATTCGTGCCGGGATACACCTACTTTTAATTTTGTCCATTTTTTTGGCCCACCCTGTATAATGACTTTACTTTAATAGTTAAAAAGCCTATCTATGATGCTTTTTTATTTTTCTTACAAGCTGATTTCTCTGGACAAAAAAATCGATTTTTTTACAAAAAAAACTTTTTTACAGTGAAATTTTCGAATAAAAAATCGCATTTATGGCCTATACGTTTGCGCTTGAGATTGTTTAGGTACATACTTACAAAAGGTATTTTATAATTTTGCACAGTGCAAAAAATTCACGGCACTGCACCGTGCAGCCCCAATTTTAACCTATTTTTGGGCTTGCACAGTGCAGAAATTTAATGTTTTCGCACCGTGCGGGGAAGCTCAAAAGTAAAGTGAACAATGAAACCAAGACGCAGTGAAATCTATGTACAACAATTTTGATGCAACAAAGCCTTATTTAGCAAACAATTTCAGAGGTTAAAAAACCTTGCTATTACAAATAGTTAAATTTTTGATAAATTTCAAATTGTTGTACAGACCTACCTGTATCTGACACCGTTAAAACTTACCAAATTTATGAAATTCCAGGATTTCAACAATAACTTTTTTGTCATTCCAGGCTGTCAAAGTCTCCAGTGCGGGTCAGGAATGAGATGTCTTGACGGCTTCTGCAACCCATCCAATTGTCCGCCCGCCCTCAAACCCCCAATGTCTAGTCGGTGTCAGAAGATTGTGTTGGTGCGCGACCGTCGGAATTGCGTCTCGCTCCTCAACGAATGCAGTTTGAATATTTGAACGTACCTCCTAACTTATTCGGCTTTAATTTTTGGATAAACGTGTACCTTTTTTGTCGTTGCAACACGTTTATAAAAGGCTCTATTTTTTGAGCAATTTTGTGATGTGCTAATATTGCAGATCAGGTGAGAAATTAAAAATTCTGAGCTTTGAACATTTCCCAAGAATCATCACGGTAAATGGTAATTTATACGGACGTGTGTTGTAGGAAGCAGCGGAATAAATTAAAATTTCCGGACATTTTCGCAAGTGCTTTCTTTTGTAATCTCCAAAATTCCAGAATTTTTAATTGAGTAGTATATAAGAAATTCTGCTTGGATGATGAGAAGGTATTACATTTCGTTGTTTTTCCGACGTTCTGGGATCACTTTTAGTACCCGTGGGCATGTTGAAATTACAATAAAAAAACAACGCAAGCTTCCGAAAAGCTTGCGTTTGCAAAAGTGGTTGTGATAGTGAGGGGTATTTCCAAATGAAAATTCTGATAGCGGCCAGAGAAAAACCGCTTTATGGCCATTTTTTGCCTATTTCTGACCGAAAGTGATTATAGAAAGCTTCGTAAAAACATCAAATTTTTATCAATTTTTGACCGAAAAAATCAGGGCTGCGCAGTGCGAGCTTGAAGTCCCATATGTCTTCAAAAATTTAGTCTAAATTTATGTGAATTTACAGTAAACCTAAACGCCACTGCTTGAGCAATTCCTTTGTAAGAAAGTTCCAGCTTATGCTGTGGATTTCAAAAGGCAATCGACAATTTTTTCATTTGGGAGACTTTGGAAAATAAAGATGCACTCGGAAAAAATATTTTGTCGCGATTTTGCTAGCACTTTTCTCGTAAAGGAAACTCTCTTTTTATCCCTCTTCTTGTGACCACTTTCTATTTCCAGCTCGTCCAGCACTGACTAATCCATCTACACAATGAAGATCATCATCCTATTCTTCCTTATCATCTCCTTAATCTACGCTGCCGACATCCAGCCAATGAGGATTGCGTTGAACGCGAGATGCAATATGTTTGAATGCAAGCGGAGGTGTGACAACAGGTGCAAAAGTGTCGACATTTTGTGTGCTCAGAAGGCGTGTCGCCGGAGAGTCTGCCGATTCCATTGCGAAGAAGGCGTGGACGTGAACATGCCGTTGTTGGCAAGAGTGTAAAACTCTGTGTAAGATAATTGAAATTTAATACATTTTCTGTGTTATGAATTTTTTACATTGTAATACAGGGTGGGCCACTCGAAACTCCCAACCTCTTTTCAGGCATTTCTCCGCCAATACTCCACCAATTTCAATAAAATTTATATCAAATTGAAGCTGAGACACCCCATTTCTTGTCCACCAAATATGGCCCGTCTAACTTCACGGAGGCACCCGCACTGACCTTTTACATTTTCATTCCAAATTTTGGAGCCCGAAATCGGTGAAACTTAGAATTTTTTTGGAATGATTTTCAATTGAGTTTCTCGGACTTGGAAAATTTTTGGATTACCGGCAAGAAAAAAGTCGACAAATTCGCGGAAAGTTTTTTAAAACATTAAAGTTTACGTCCGTACCAAGTGTGTTAAACCCATATTTCAATCAAGCGAGGTACCAATTTGGGCGAATAAGAACAAAAGCTGTTTTCTCGGGCAATCTAAGCCTGGAAAGTTTCTATGCATCTTCGGGGTGGATGTCGTCATGCATGTAGACAGTTTCGCCAATTTTTTAACATTTTGAAAATTTTCGAATAATTAAGCCTATCGCCTTAGAACACGAAAGCAACACCTTGAAGAATAATTTTGACCATTCCGTTGAATGCCATAATTTTTTCCTGATGCTTATAAGAATTTTATTTAGTCAAAGGCGCGAACATTTTCCAATTCCGAAAAACTCAACTGGAATCATTCCAAAAATTTTCTAAGTTTCACCGATTTCGGGTTCCAAAATTTGGAATGAAAATGTAAAAGGTCAGTACGTGTGCCTCCGTGAAGTTAGACGGGCCGTATTTGGTGGACAAGAAATGGGGTGTCTCAGCTTCAATTTGATATAAATTTCATTGAAATTGGTGCATTATTGGCGGAGAAATACCTGAAAAGATGTTGGGAGTTTCGAGTGGCCCACCCTGTATTATTCCATAATAAAAAACTCATTTATTGCGAATTTCATCAATTCAATACAAGTATTCAAATTTGGCCGGGTTTTCTCAAATTGTAAAAAGTAACTGTACAACTTTTATACCCTGAAACTTTAAAGACTACATACAAAGAAAACAATAAATATATACAGGCACCTAATCGGAAAAGGCATAACTTTTAGAAAAAGTTAAGTTTGTGATATCAAAGAAAGCTGCTAATTACCCCGAGTTAATTAGCCAGTCTCTGATGGATTTGAGGATCGTTTAAAAATATATTCAAAAAAAGACCATGGTAAAATGTAAGTATACGGCTAAAGATTTCGTTCAGCATTTCTAAAAACATTTTATAAAAAAACATTGTTGCACTGTGCAAAATTTCGGACATTCCGCACCGTGCAAGCCCAATTTTAGCCTATTTTTCGGTCTGCACAGTGCAAAAATCATCTCACTTTGCACCGTGCGGAAAAATCATGTGTACTATTTCACAAAAATAAAACACGTAAAAAAGACATCATAAGGCTAAAATGCAATTATTTTAAGACCGTTACACCGTAAGAAATACAACTGTTTTTGTCTCAAAAGTCATTCTGAGTAGCTTCCAGCATCGGCATTTGCTGGGAACAGACGTCAAAAACTGCCAACGGAAAACGCATCGTCTCCGCTTGAAGCGCGCTATTTTTCGGCTTCGCTGAGCCAAATCTCCGTCTTATCGATGAGATTCGCCGTCGGACTGAGGGCGATCGTTTACCTATCTCTTCGCTTGTCTTCGATTTGCTCATCTCCGGCGTTAGCGTGGCTTTTAGCGAGTTATTCTTCAACGAACTCTTCCTGACCGAGATATTCGCTATATGAGGCATGGATGGGGATGCAGTCGGTTTAACGGAGCTGAATTGTAGACGAGGGAGAGATTCGGATTTTCCGGACATTGCCGAGGAAAGGGCAAAAAGAGTGTCGTAGCTCTTGGAGCAGAGACGTTTGACGGCGTTGAGAGACGAGCCATCGGCGGAGTCTTTTCGTTTCTTTTCGGATCTGAAGGGATATAAATTAAGACATATATAGTTTACTATAATTTTAAAACCTGTCGCGGCTTGAATTCTTGACCCAGAGGACCAAAAATAATTTTTCATTTTAGCCTAAAGTAACTTTCTAAATCCTTCGAAAAAAGATTGCTATGCACAGGTTTTTTCATAAAACTTATTATTTTCTACTTTGTATGAGTCTGTCGGGAAAATAATGTGGATTTGTCGCGCCATGAAATTTACCAACATAGCTTTGCGATAGCGTGCCAAGGCTGGAGATTTATTGCACGACTGCGATAAGGCGAGACAGAATTTTAATGTAGAAAATCCACATTATTTTCCCGACAAACTGATATTTATTTTTGTCAGCACTGTGCAAAGAAACCTAATTTTCGCACCGTGCAAAGCACAAAATAGGCTAAAATTGCCCTTGCACGGTGCAATGGGAGGGATTTTTTGCACAGTGCAAAATTTAGAAATAAAATTTTTTTTGAAAAAATAGAATTTTGATTTCTAGGGCTGTCCCACTTACCTAAACGGCACTTTCAAACTCCTCGCTCTTCGGATTCCACTGAAAATTTTCTGAACTCTCGTCACTGTCTTCTGACTTTGAAGACTTCTCTTCGGCTTGGGCGACTGTGTTGGCGGAAGCGCGGTATCGTCTTCAATCGGGCTACAGACATCACTTCGAATATAGCTATCCACCAATTCTGTGTCCGTGTCGTCGGATAACGAATCCGCATGCAATGAAACTTGATCCGGTGGAATATCCAGGATCAGGTCACCTGTCTCCAACGCATCATCAAAAGATGTCGCCATCATCAAAGAACGCAACGATTTTTCGTATTGCCCGAGGTCGGCGAGTTTCGGTCGACTGTTGTAGACGGGATCTTTGGCGAACTCGTCTTCTTCATCGTCTTCTTCGTGTGCGGAGAAGTACAAGGCTGATGAGAATGAGCTGCAGTCGTCGAGAACGGAGCCGCCGTAACGTTGGGAAGAGGTGACTGATTCGTAGATTGAGGGCTGTCTAAAATATGAAAGAAATTATTTTTGGATTGGATATCTGCAATATTGAAAAAAATTATCATCAAATTATGTTCGCACTGTGCAAAGAAACCTAAATTTTGCACTGTGCGACCTCAAAAATAGGCTAAAATCGGCGTTGCACGGTGCGACATGTCGTATTTTTTGCACCGTGCATAAGTTTAAAATTAAAAAAAAATTTATGGAATGTGTTATTTGAGATTCAGCGTGCAAATTCTTCGAAATTTTCCAAAAATTACAATAAAAATTCAAAAAAAAATTGAAGCGGCAAAAAAATTTTTTTTCCCGAATTCTCTTGTATAAAGATTTTACCGCATTAAAATCACCCTTCAGACCCCTAAACCCCACTTGCCTTGCTCTTGAACTCGTAACAGACGATGTGTGAAGTGACTGGAATTCGCTAGAGACCGACTTGAAAACATCGATAAAGCTGTCCGTCGATTGTGTTGCAGCCATTTTCTTGTTGCTATATCGGTCTTTGATCTCTTGCAGCGACGGCCGATAATTCGAGTTTTTTCGGGGTGGCGGTTCAGCATACATTTCGACAAATTCTTGGAGGATCTGCGCTTCTCTGGCAGTGTGGAAGACCTCATCGCGGGCTGTTTCGAATTTATCGAGCGATTTTTTATCAAAATCTTCGAGTCGAGTATTGAGGACGGTTGGCGGACGGGATGAGGGAGGGGTCCGACAAAGATTTGGACTCTGAAATAAGTAGATATGAATATTAGAATATGATTTTAGGACCAAAATTGCCAAAAATTGTAAATTAAAGGTCCCAAAAAATGGCCTGGTACGTAATTACTACGTAATTACTATTGGTTTACACTATAAAAATGCTTGGTTTTCTCACTATGAAATTTTTTAGTCATCAAAAATTCTGCACTGTGCAAAAAATCCCTCTCATTGCACCGTGCAACGACAATTTTAGCCTATTTTATGCTTTGCACAGTGCAAAAATCACGCTTCTTTGCACTGTGCAAAAAAATATTTTTTCAAATATTTTCCATAAAACGTACCGCTGAAGCCCGTTGTTCCTGTATCATTTTGGCACGATCAATCGCTTCCTGAGGAACCACCAGCGCCCTCGACCGTTGAGGATCACAATTATTTCCGAATCTCGACCGATGCGCGCATTCCAAGTCCGAGTCGTCCGAGGTGTCACCATCGTCTTCGAATCCACCAATCGAATTCCTCCGCTTCTTCCAAGTACCCTGTTTTATCGCTCTGTGCTTCAACAGTTGATGGAAGGTACCCGCGTAATGAAGAGACGCACCCGACATCCAAGCGTGCTGACGGATTTCGCTGAGTGTAAACCGGCGTTTTGGCGTTACATTTAGACATTTCCGAATTAAAGCTGAGCAACCTGAAAGAAAATTTAAAGAATCTTTTTTATCACAACTTGTAGGAAAAAATGTTTTTTGGGTTTTGCACGGTGCAAAAAATTTGACTTTCTGCACCGTGCAAGCCCATTTTTGGCCTATTTTCGACGCTGCACAGTGCAAAATTAAGACTTCTTTGCACGGTGCAAAAAAATGAAAAAAATATTTTTTTTTTTTTGCAATTTTGAAACTTACTATCAGAGACATAATCGGGGAAGTGCAGACGCCCCAGGCATGTTTGTATTTCGTTCTTGAATGGTATTTGACCCGTAACCAATATATACAGTAGGACTCCTAATGACCATGTAGTGGCTTCTAATGGCATGTATTTCTTGTGCTTAAACCATTCCGGAGGGCAATATGAGCGAGTTCCTGAAAGAACAAGGCGATTAATTTGTGTTAAGATAGTTCAAAATCTCAAAAATTGAGTTTGATATCAGTCTTGCTATAAGTAATATATCTGATGTCAAGTATAATATAAGTTATGTCAATCACAGTATATTGTGCCCTAAACATATGCAAAATTCCATTTTCTCACCTTGAAACTCCTTTTTCTCAGCACTATTCAAAAAATCGGCGGCTCCAAAGTCGACCAATTTTATTTCTCCGGTATCCATGTTTATGATGACGTTCTCATCTTTTATATCTCGATGAACCAAATCGTGATCATTCCGCATTTGCAAAACCGCATCCACAACCTGCACAAAAATCCACTTGGAAATCTCTTCATCCAATCTTCCGTAAACATGGAGAACATCGAAGAGATCGAGACAATGTTCCGGCCGCTCCATGATTATCATAAAACCTTTGCTACTGAAAATATATTTTATGGTGAGGTTGCTTGGAACAGATTTGGAGAGGTTATCAAAAAAATTTTTTTTTTTAATTTTTTTGCACAGTGCAAAAAAGGCCGACTTCTGCACCGTGCGGAGCCAAAAATAGACTAAAATTTGGCTTGCACTGTGCAGTAAGAACAATTTTTTGCACAGTGCAAAGAATTTTATAAATATTCGGAATATTATTTTTTTAAATTTTTGTGTGACAAAGAGGATCTGAAGCATGTAATTTTTCGTTTTTTTCAGTTTTTTTTGTGACTGAAATTATGGTTTTTTTAAGTCAAAATTTTTTTTGAACACAAATGAACTTGTTTCCAAAAATCGGACTCAAAGTTTGAGTCTCTTTCATTTCAAATATCATTCCTCACAACCCCCATACCTCGCAAACCAATCCACCAGATTGACCACCCCGCTGATCCGACTGCACATGTCCAGATGGCAGATTTCCGTCGGAATCAGCTGGTTTTCACACTGAAAACAGGCTCGTAATCATACGAATATGTGACTCACCATAGTCCAGTCTCTCACATGTTTGTGCTCTACATATTTGACGGCGACCGGTAGTCGATCACGCACTCGATATGCCTTGTATACAATCCCGAATCCGCCGCGCTGGATCTCTTCGCATAGCTCGTATTTCGTGCGGAACTCTTTGTTACCACGTTCTGAAATTGGTTTTGATTTAGATTTTATGAGTTTTAAATTTTTGAAAAAATTGCACTGTGCAAAACTCTGGACCATAATGCACCGTGCAAGGCAAATTTTAGCCTATTTTTTGCGCCGCACTGTGCAAAAATTAAATTTCTTTGTACAGCGCGAAAAGTAAGCGTTGTAAAGAAGAGCATATTAATTTATAGCTACAAATATCAAATAGCTCTTGCGAGATGCAAAAAAAACAAATTTGCACCGTGCAAGACAAATTTTAGCCTATTTTTTGCGTCGCACAGTGCAAAAATTAAATCTTTCTGCACAGTGCGAGAAGTAAGCGTTGTAAAAAAGGTCATATTAATTCATAGCTACACAGTTAAAATGGCTTCTACGAGGTGCAAAAAAAAACAAATTTGCACAGTGCAAGACAAATTTTAGCCTATTTTTACATTCGCACAGTGCGAAAATCATTTTTCCTTCGCAAAGTGGGAATCTGAAAAATTTTCGATTTTCGATACATTGGAGAACGTTGAAACGTAAAGAAAAAATCAGCACGAGGAAGAAAAAATAACCCAGAACCCCGGGCAAGTCCGATTTTAGACTATTTTTGTCCTCGCACAGTGCAAAAACTGTCCTTATTTGATTGCGCGCTAAAACGTGAAAAATAAAAAAATTTTTCTGCATAAAGCATAGTTTTTTTACATTCAACATAAAAAATATCCGGTAAAATACGCCATGCCACAGGGCAATTACATGCATCTACTTACGATGGGGATGTAGACAAGAAAAGTTGTAAGTGAAACACACAGTCAAGTCCTGAATGCGTCGTTTAAGCATCATTTTCAATTCAATTATAATTCAAATCAGCGGCGGCCTGCACAAGTTTCGCACTCTCTCCATGCATATTGTCCCATACAAGCGATGGCCAGACTGTCTTCTTTTTCGTCTTTTTCTTTCCTCTGCAAATCAATAGAACCCTTCAAATTGGAGGAACGTTACAGACGAATTAACGCCGCAGGCGACGAAAATTATGCACGGAAAATTGGAAGGTCTTTGAATTTTGAAAAATGGTTGTACGAAGTGACGTAGTGTAAGGGGGAATGGGAGGTAAACTTTGGAAAAATCACGGATTTATGAGGAAGATATCGCCTCAAAAACTTGGCCAAAATATGCAAAAACTTGGCCAAAAATATGGAAAAAAGTCCAATTATGACATGTAGGACCAATAAGAAGTAATATCAGAGAAAAATATGTACATTACAGAGCTCTAAAGTTGTTAGAAACAAAACTTTTTAACCTTTTTTCATTGCAATTTGCATTAATATTGTAAAATTTAACCAAGAAATTTCATGTCAAAGTCCAACTTATTGACCTCCGACCCCTCCAATTTGACCTCTCCCCATTTGTAGAAGCTATTTTCAGCCCAAAAGAATTAAGTTTTGGTTTGTGGACATACCTATGTATGAAGAGGAACGGAAGTCCTTTTTTTCGTCTTCTTCCGCCCACAGCTCCCGCTTTCGACTTTTCCAAATATTCGGGGATACCGAAAAAGGTCAAACCCGACAAAATGAGTATGAATGGCCAAAAAATCCGCTATTGGGGCAACAGCGGGTGTATGCAGAAGGGATTGGGTTCGTCTCAAGTTGAAGATATTGATTTCAAGTAGTCTGAGAGTTTTAAAAATAAAAGAAAGGCTCTGGAATTTGAGATCCTTATAAGAGAGTTGTATATAGTGACGAAAAAATAATCGTACAATAAAATGCACCCGCTGTGTACGAGGAATTGCTCCCGAAAAAAATCTTTTTAAGGATCAAAACAAGGGTTTTATATCTCAAGTCCGTCTTATGACAAACAGTTAATCCTTATGACGAATTTTCCAATGCCAAAGTAAGAGTTTCAACGACTGGTTTGTCGAACAGTCCAAGAACTCTTTGCATTGGGTATGTTCTCAAAAAAAAAAGCAAAACGCACAGTGAAACTTGAAGACACGCCGTCGCCAGCAAAAATAAAGAGAGCAGCGAAGGAAAGGCAACAATTTGCGATTTGTAAACGAAGTGCCGCAATTGACAAAAAATAGGGTAAGCCCGGAAAAAAAATCGGTCGGAAAACCCCACGAAAAATTCATTTTTGACATTTTGTTCGAACACAACCGATGCTGGGTGGGCAAAGTGCCGAAATGGGGCTGAAGACTCCCTGGGTTGCCGTGTCACGGTTTTTGTTTCCCTGTTTGAAATGCACCATGCAAAAATCATAAGTCATTTCAGCGACCCTTTGAAAGTGGTTTGATGCTCGGCTTCTGATGGAACTTTTTTTTGATATCCTTTTGTTGATATAGGGTTCAACTTTGCAACAAAAAATAGACTTTCCCCGCAAAATTCACAAAGCAATCGAAGAAGTTCATTTCTATGACAATCTTTCGTCATTTCACATCGCTTTTACAGAGCGTCAAATCATCCGGGTGCTCTTGCAACGCGATACTTAACATTTCTAACTAACATTTACAAAACTATAATAAAAAAATCAAAGGAAATCTACCAACCGTCCCTCTTCGTAGATTCCCCGTGCAACAAATTGATCCGCTCCAATCTTTCTTCCATAAGGAAGTATTACTTTATAAAAATGACCTCTCCCCTCTACTGCGCCTTTTATAGATCACTTCTTATACAGCAAATATATCATAATGCATTATAACCACTATGCGCGACATGACGTAAATTGTTCGTCAAATACAGTGATCCCTTTCCAGACGAACTTTCTTCGAGATCACTGAGCTCATGACATCAGAAACGTTAAAGCAAGTAGTCTCCAAACCAGCACAAAAATCACAAATTAACTGCGTGTAAAAACTCAAAAAAAATAAGTTGAAAAGAAAACGATTTTTTCACGTTTTTCAACGACTGAAAAGAGGAACCAAGAAGAGTCTCCGGTAAAATTAGTGGAAATTTCCTCAAATTTTACCCGCCGCTCCGTTTGGGTGGCGGCCGTTGACGTCAGCCACGGTGTGTTCCCGGGCGCCCATGCAAGGCGCCGGAGGCACAACAGGTGCCCTCGAACTTTTTACGAGCCCCGTTTTGCGAAACGTGTGCCCGATCGGTGGGCCCGGAAACAATCGGATAAACATTCGAATTCGGAGCTACATTAATTGTGCAATTAAGAGCAAAGGGATCGAATTTCGGGGCCCGCTTTCAGGTGGATTAATGAATCTTGGAACATATGGAAATTTTTGGGAAAATTTGGGATGTAATAAATCTTATGGCCTGGGAATTTTTGAAAAAAAAAATAATATGGAAAAGTCACTTTTTTAGAGAAAAGGAGTAGAAAATTCGGGTATTTTAATAAAAATTAAATTTGAGGACATAAAGTCGGTCAGTAATCAACAAAAATGAACTTATTTCCCCTTCAAAAAATGGCCACAAAGAGGATCAAAGCTGAATATGGGAAAGTTGATGAAGAAAAGAGTCTTATAGAGTAGATAAAACCGAATGATACTGACTCTCAATTACGCTGTAATGCCGGCAATAAATAGATCAAAGAATTTAAAAAATGATTGATAAATTAAAAAAGGCCTACAGTAGAACTTCTCTACACCAAAGCCTGCCAAAAGGAAGCTATTTGGATCCCCCAAGAGTTAATTTATAAGTCTGTCGGGAAAATAGTGAGCATTCTGTGGCATCAAATATCGCATCGCCGCTGAGAAGAATTGTGTCGAATCAAATTGTTTTCTGGTTCAGCGACACAATTGGCGCACCGACATTTCGCTCACTATTTTCCCGACAGACTGAGAGGCCAAGAACCCTCCACAAAATCCTTGCACCCAACAAAAAGTTATTTGCTTATGGTCACTACGATCCATTGTATGAACACTTGAGCCCTATCGGTCTGTCGGGAAAATAATGAGCTCAATGTCGTTGAGTCGATCGCGTCGCTGAAGCAAAAAGCAATTTTATTTTTGCCGTGATACAATTCATTTTCTCGGCGATGGACTCATTATTTAAAACGGACCCAGTACATTCGTATTTTACGAAAAAAAATCACCTTCTTTTCCGAAAATTCAGATCTTTGCCCTATAAATGATAATAAATATCTTTTCTCAAGTATTTAAGCCGTCTATTTGCAAAATGACGGGTTCACAATGACCATTATCACAAATTGCATATCCTTTGTACTCCAAATGTCAGTGTACAACTGATTATTTCTGGTGACGTCAAAGAATGCTAAAAATGGTTATAATACTAAACAGGGGAAAGGTCAGTCCACAAGAATAAATATTATAATCTTGAACCAAGTTTCAGGGAAATGCTGATAAAAAATTTTAAGGCGATTTCTGTGTGTTATGTATAGGTTTTGTGGAGCTTAGGCGTAGGGTAAGAATACGTGCAGCTCAGCAATTTGTTGCTTATGTCACGACTTAGCTATGAGTCGTGGTGTAAGATGGCCCTTAACTTGCCCGCTACTACTAGTATTCACTACGCTCTGATAACCCGGAGACACAGACTAGAGGGGTCTGACAATAAAACTGTGAACTCACGATATTGACTCCAGACGATGTGACCACCATACAACAACAATAGACTACAGTAGGAAATACAAAGGTTTATTGCACACAACACAACCGGGAAAAGACAAAACACAAAGATAATACAATCATAATTGGCGATTTCACTTCCTTTTATACCAATATGTCGGTCATTCCGTGGGAATATGCAAATTCGCACGCGAAGTCGTGACACTTACAAAAAAAAGAAAAAAATATTTTTGTCATACAATAAAAGATCTTTACGGGACCCTTACAGAAAAACCTGTCTATGACAACCAATTCCAGAGGCCCCATAAGTCACCTTTTTGACCAAAAGGAGTCCCTGTATAGCGAAAGCCCCTTAAAATATGTAAATAAATTTTCTGTTTTCTTCATTGTATAGACGCTACAATGTGCATATTTACAATTTTGCTTATCAGAAAAAATATCAAAATCAGCAGTAGCGGAATTTGTAGCATGTGCAAGCAAAAATGGCATTGAAATTCGCCAGTATTTCACCGAAGAACACTTGATAAGAGAACAATGAACAGCAGAGTGTCACTTTTTAATCAGTGCGGTCCTCAAGGAATCGCTGATTAGAATTGGCAGCGAAATGAATAAATCATATTGGGAAAAAGATAAACAAATTTTGGGAGAGCAACTTGTGGTCGTATTAAAAGTATTGTAGGATTTTTTTGAGAAATTGAAAAAAAAACTCTTTAGAATTTCTTTTTGATAATTTTTACGATAAAAGGTTTTTCCGCAAAATGTGATTGTAAAAAATTTAACCATGATTTTTCTTATTTTCCATCAAAATTAGTCCCTGAAAACCAATTTTCTTTGAGTTCAAAAATCGCAAAAATTAGCCCAAGTACTTCTAAAACACTGCTCTTATCCTAGAAATTTCATTTTTTTTTAATCATCCAAAACTTTCCTCCCCCATCTTCGAAATAACGCTTCTACAGTAATTTCAAAAGTTCAAATTCCCTTTTCTCATCCCAAAAAATTTCTAATCCATTCGCTGAAAGAAGATTTTAGCCTGAAAAAATTCAAAAAATCTCATAAAAAAAGAAAAAGGTTAAAAGATCGGCCGTCAGCTGTGCTGTTCCGCCCGTTCCAAACCCAACATCGTTCTGAAACGGATTTTTTAATTCCCAAAAAAAACCGAACGCCCTTCTGCCCTCTTCTCCCCAAAGTAAAAGTCCGTAATAACTCTACTGCTTAAGAGAGATTACAATCTCAAGATAAGCGGCGCTTCAAAAGCAATTTTTGTATTGATTTTATCAGTGCAGTATCAGATTTCGAATTTTGAAATCGCAGTTTTGAGTAAACAAAAATGCCCTTCAGCTGGTGATAAGACTGATGGCCGAGATGTTTGGGAAAGTGTCAGACACCGGAAAACAAGGCAATAAAAAATGGGGTTCGGCACGTGAAAATTGTGAACATTGAACAGGCAAAAAAGCTGCGAAAGTTTTACAAACCTAAATTGAAGAGTTGATGACCACAAATTTTCAGAATCGAATGATCAAAAAATTTTAGAAAGGCTCTTCCTATAATAAGGACAATCAGATCTTTGAAATTTATTTTGGGAATGATTTGGCTGTCAGTCCGTCGGGAAAACAGTTCGATTTCTCGGCAGCGAAATTTTCGGTGCGACAATGCTCATTATTTTCCCGACAGATTGTTGCTGGAAATTCAAGCTCGCGCTTTGCAGGCTTAGCTGAAATGTTCAACAAAAACTTTTGAGGAGATAAAACATAAAAAAATTTTGTATATTTTTGGCTATACCTTTGACAATTTCACTTGGAAAAACTGATTTTTTATCGTAATATGTAACGTGCTCTACATTTAAAAACAGAACTTCAATTTTTCATCTCAAAAATCACAAAAATTATCGAATTTCATACACCTTTTAGCCTATAAATAACTGATATACCAAGGGAATCATCACCTAAATATGTGCCAAACTGCAATTAATTTTACTCACATAAATTTTCCTCCGTATTTTACCAAAAATAAAATTCTATCTAAAAGTCTAAACGTACTACACCGTTTTCCCCGAAAGCCCAAAAAAATTTCTTCCAGTTTCAAAAAGAATATAAGCGAATAAATTATCAAAAGTGGACCCACTCATAAAACCGCGCTGTAATCGCATTTGGACGATGACACAATTTAATTCAGCACAAAAGAAAATTTCTCAATTAACATAAAAAGAGATTTTACACCTCTCGATTCGATTATTGCCAAAAAACTCACTTAAGTTTGCATTCCAAGAAAAAGGTGGGAAATGGTAATTTGATTTATAGAACAACCTTGGCACCAAACAATAATCTAATATAAGAACGAAGAAAGTGTAATGGTGAAGTTCAAGGGAGCAGGGAAACTGTGGGGTTGAAGGTTATGACAGAAGAACTGTCTTAAGCCGTGGGCGGTCAATCGCCGACACTAGCTAGAGCCAAATAAAGGCTATCGCTTTGCCCATCGCTTTGCCCCGTATATCCTCTTGCCTGTTAGACGAATAGAAATAATAAGATGACTTCTTGACGTAAGCATAAAGCTAACCGGAAGCACATATGGAAATTAGTTTCATGATCGCAGATGCCTCACAATTGAAACCTATTAGGCCCTGTTCCAAAGTTCGTCCTCGAAAGAAGTGGCTTCTCTTGCAAGGATGGCTGTAACCTCGGCTTTATTCTCGAGGTCCGGCCCATCCGAAAACCCGGTACCCGGGTAAGGCCCAAGATTGAAGATTTAGCACAAGAGGAGACCCTGATCAAGAGGGTCAACAAAGATTCTAGCCAAAACAAGACGCTCCTAAACAAGAACCAAAGCGTATCTTTCAGAGGGTAAAAAATCTTACACACTACATATAACCTCTACTTAAAGGACCTCACCAACTACATTTGAATCGCATTTTTACGGCTTGGAGGTGCGCTTCGCCAAAAGTTGCGAAAATCCCGCGACAAAAATAAAAACAAAAAATAATTGAGAATTTTTCTCGAAAATGCAAAACTGAAGCAATTTCATGTTCTGAAGCTGTAAAAAAAGCTTTCTGGTCATCTGAATCCTGTCAACATCCATGTGGATGCTCCTCGGGAAAGGTTGATGTAAGTTTTTTCGGTTTTCGCTTGGTTTTCCACATTTAGGTAGGAGTGAAGGAACTTGCGCAATATTTCGTCTGTTCTTTTGGAAAATAACACGAGCGCAAAGTTGAGGTGCAGCTATTGAGCTCATGATTTGTGTGATGTCAGTTTCTTGCCTTTTCTAGCTGTTTTTGCCCATTTAGAGGTATTTTATATTGTTTTAGTCAAGGCTTTTCAATTTCAGAGTTGGCCAATCGCCTGGAACGACCCATGGAGAAGAATTCCCTTCATGGAAACGCCTTGGCATCAAGGTTTGAGTCAGGGACGTCATCTATAGGATATTTGTATAAGGTAGTGTGTATTTTTACTTGGTTGTTTAAAATTTAGATACGTAATTTCTCAGCCTCTATGAAATTAGTTTCAGACTGGGACTTGTCTTCGTGAACCAGTGGATCCGTTACAGAGACGAAAACGGGTCGTACAACGTCAAGTCGGCCAAAACCTGCATGGTTAATATCTTTTATTAATGTATTAGATAATAAAACATATAAAGTTACATTCTTTAGTTTTAAAATAGATTTAGATCAAGAAGCTTTATGACATTCGCAGATCCTAGTGGTCAAGGCGGTTCCTTCATCTTCATAGATCGTTCCAGGGGATTGGCCAACTCTGAAATTGAAAAGCCTTGACTAAAACAATATAAAATACCTCTAAATGGGCAAAAACAGCTAGAACAAGGGAAGAAATTGACATCACACAAATCGTGAGCCCAATAGCTGCTCCTCAACATTGCGCTCGTGCTGTTTTTCAAAAGAACAGACGAAATATTGCACAAGTTCCTTCACTCCTACCTAAATGTAGAAAACCAAGCAAAACCCGAAAAAACTTACATCAACCTTTCCCGAGGAGCATCCACATGGGTGTTGGCAGGATTCAGATGACCAGAAAGCTTTTTCTACAGCTTCAGAACATGAAATTGCTTCAGTTTTGCATTTTCGAGAAAAATTCTCAATTATTTTTTTATATTCTTTGTATTTGTTTTTTTCGCGGGATCTTCGCAACTTTTGGCGAAGCGCACCTCCAAGCCGTAAAAATGCGATTCAAATGTAGTTGGTGAGGCCCTTTAATAAACTTCCGGTAAAAAAATCTTTCCTTTACAAACAATTCCAAAGGTTTCAAGAGTGAATTTGAGGCGTACTGAAATCTCCGTACAACGAACTACTTTTATAACAAATAAAGTTTTTACTTTCCTTAAATACCTTGTGATGTCCTACAACGGCATTATCGAAACATACATCCCCCATAGAATCTGCAGTTTCATCAAGTTTAACACCAGTTTCAACGGCTCACGAAATAAGGTAGTGCCATTAGAAGTTTAGAAATCCTGTTCATCCGGCTTTCCCGACAGCATTACTCACCCATATGTTTTTGCGTTAATTTATGCAAAGCAATGAAGAAACGACGCGCCCTTTTCTCCTTTCTTTTCTTAAAAATCACGAATCTGAAAAAGTATTTCCATTCTCTGGACAATAAAATTTGGCGGGACGTTTGTATTCAGTTTAATCTAGCGCTAGACACTTGTAAAAAATAAAAACAAAAAAAATGATACGAGAAGAAAATAAGCCGTGTATTTTATAATCTATAATAGTATATAGTGTGTTACTATTCTAAAAAGGTAAGTTAAGAGGAATTTGAATTGTTTGGGATAGTACAAAAATAGACACAGCTAAAAATATGGCACACGCTTTAAGAGAAGTTATTTTTTCATGAATTTGCATTCATTTGGTATTGAAATTAGAGCAAGCAGAACTAGTTTTAGGCGATGACTAATATACGAATATTATGATAGACAAAAAATACAGTGAAATCTATAAAAAAATAAAAATTTCAGTGCTCCTAAGTGTCAATTTTGAGCCAGAATCAAGCTTAGAACAACAAAGGCCCTTAGTGAACAAATTTTTAGTCCGATTTATTCTATAATATACTACAAAAGTAGGGTTGCTTGAATTTCTAAAACTGTCATCCAAATCCCCAAGAATTCCCCAAAATTTCAATTTCCGACCTTTCAACCCTCACTTGGACCTTGCCGAAATGCTTGAAACTCCAAGCCAAAAGAACAACTCAATCTACTTCTAATCCAAGTTCCTCCGCACCCTCTGACATCTGTGCGAACGGCAAACAAAACCGAAATCAAAAGAGCGAAAGTTCCGACGGGCCCGCAATGCTCTTTTTATGAGTCCTGATTCCGAAAAGCGCGGAGATTATGTGTCCCCAGGCAATGGCACTCAAAAATATCAAAAATTCGGAACAAATTTGGCAGAAGGACGTTTTTGAGGAGCGGGGGAATAAAAGTCCGAAGCGTTCCTTTCCCCCCTTCCTGACGCAATCTCCGAAATTGAATTCGGGCTTAAGTTTGTAGACATCGTGCCGAAATCAGAGCTTAAGCTGATTTCGCGAGAGAGTCTGGGATTACTGTAGATGATGATGGAGTTTGAGGGAGAGTCGTTTTAGGCGGGAATGATATTGAAATGCAATGTAAACCAAATTTTATGGGATTGACGGCGGAATATAACGTCCAATCAGCGCGACAAATTTCGTTGAAATTTTTTTACGTCTATGCCTTTATAATAGACCTTTGCAAAAAGTGCATAGACCTTATTTCGCAGCGCACGGTGCATTCATTTTTTCCTTTTTTTGCACTGTGTAATGTCTGTCGCGCGAATTTTGCTCGCGCGACACCATTGAAAAACCTTTTGCCGCTGCGATTTTTCAATTGCACGGTGCAAAAGGTCAACTGCACACTGTGGAAAGCTTGCTGCTGCAAAAAATCGAGGCATTTTCGAAGCGGCCTAGTGTTCATGCACAGTGCAAAGAAATTGAATTTTCGCACTGTGCGGAGCTCAAAATAGGCTAAAATTGGCCATGCACCGTGCAAAAAGCCCCAACTTTTGCACAGTGCAAAATCTTGATTGCAAATTTTTGCAAAAAAATTTTACATAGAAAAAAGCAAACAAATAACATCTGAGAAATCCATAACGATACTATTAAAACACGATTTCTGAGTCACTGTATCAGCCGTGGACATTCAAAAAAATCGATTTTGAGATTTTTGTTTTAAAATGACCGGGGGCATCCTACTAACGTATTACCGTCACATTTTTGCCCAATTCTTCCGTTAACCTACTGTAATTTACAATAGTATGATTTTACAGTAATCGGGTATTACTCAAAAAGTACGCATCGTAATTGGCTGAAATTGGTATTATAAAGGTTTTGGCACCTTATCATTACAATGGATGCCGAATTTTGGCTGTTGGGTTACTGTAACATAGTGAAACCTTTGTTCGGCCGCACAAAATCGGCCATAAAAAGTTTGTTTCTGAAAACCCACAGCCAATTTTTGGATATGTTAATAAGCATAAAATTCTGCTATATAAACGTTAAAAAAATGTGCAAAAATCCATAATACCAATTTCGTGGTATAGTGGATTTTGGTCAAAATTTGTAATCGGAAGGTCCCGGGTTCGATTCCCACTGGACGAAAAATGTAACAGGCTGCAGAGAACCTTAGGAAATCTACCCGGATGGGGTTGTTAGACACATTTAAGCCATGTAAGAATATATCCAAGACGTTAATGCAACTTTTAACATATTTTTTGAAGGTAAAATAATCGTTTCGGTTTTATTGGATTTTCCGACAAGCTTAGTTGCAGAAAACCGCTAAAAATAAAATATATAGGGTTTTCGAGCATACTCAATTCAATGAAAGCGAGTTTTCGGAACCAAGGTTACTGTAACATAGAAAAACAAAGATTCGGCAGTTAAAAATCGGCTGTAAAATTTTTCTTTTCAACGTCAAGCTGACAGATATTTGATTTTCGGAATCACCGTAAAATTCTGCTCTATAAACAATCAAGAAACGATTTTTTTATTTACAACGCTTTATTTTGTGGGGAATTACTTTTAAATTTTAAAATTGTAAATAAAACTATGTTAGCGAAAGAATTAGAGTAAAATACTTCAACGACAAGCTAAAGCCACCAATTCAATTTATTGCAGGCCAAAAACTCAAAATAATTTTTTTCTTATTTTCGCACAAGATTTATGGACTTGAAAATTTCGGTGCAAATATAAAAAATCTGTGACATGCAAAAAATGGAGTTAAGATACAGTATAATTTGTCTCTAGAGCAGAATTTTACGATGATTCCGAAAATCGAATAACCGTCGGCTTGACGTCGAAAAGAAAAATTTTACGGCCGATTTTTAACGGCCGAACCTTTGTTTTTCTATGTTACAGTAACCTTGGTTCCGAAAACTCGCTTTGATTGAATTGAGCATGCTCGAAAACCCTATATGTTTTATTTTTACCGGTTTTATGCAACTAAGCTTGTCGGAAAATCCAATAAAACCAAAACGATTATTTTACCTTCAACAAATTTGTTAAAATTTGCATTAACGTCTTGGATATAGTCTTAAATGGCTTAAATGTGTCTAACAAACCCATCCGGGTAGATTTCCTAAGGTTCTCTGCAGCCTGTTACATTTTTCGTCCAGTGGGAATCGAACCCGGGACCTTCCGATTACAAATTTTGACCAAAATCCACTATACCACGAAATTGGTATTATGGCTTTTTGCACATTTTTTTAACGTTTATATAGCAGAATTTTATGCTTATTAACATATCCAAAAATTGGCTGTGGGTTTTCAGAAACAAACTTTTTATGGCCGATTTTGTGCGGCCGAACAAAGGTTTCACTATGTTACAGTAACCCAACAGCCAAAATTCGGCATCCATTGTAATGATAAGGTGCCAAAACCTTTATAATACCAATTTCAACCAATTACGATGCGTACTTTTTGAGTAATACCCGATTACTGTAAAATCATACTATTGTAAATTACAGTAGGTTAACGGAAGAATTGGGCAAAAATGTGACGGTAATACGTTAGTAGGATGCCCCCGGTCATTTTAAAACAAAAATCTCAAAATCGATTTTTTTGAATGTCCACGTCTAACTGGCGGCTGATTCAGTGACTCAGAAATTGAGTTTTAAACCATAAAAGCAACCATTTAAAATAAGGGTGACATTATCTTTCCTCATCTTCAGTTCGTTACATACGAATCCTGGAGTTAGTCATGTAAGAACATGTATCCTACACCGTTAGAATAAACAAGCTTCTCGTTTGTTACACTGCTATTACTATTATACAACTAAACCGAAGTTTTTCCCAACTGCTACTTCCAGTTACCTACAGACTACAATCTAGTTTGGAGACCTGAAAAATTGCCTGTTCCATGAAGATCAATCTTCTTGTTCGAACCGAAAAAGGCTTGATTACGATCTGAAACCGTAGTTGAATCGAACAGTTGAGCGATCAAAAGTTACTACCGAAAACTTTCAACAGCGTTTCAACATTAAACATCAGAGAGGATAGCGAGAAATAAATAGTTATTAGTGTAAATTTAATGGAAGAAATCTGTAGAAGAAACTGAAATCAAAGGAGAAACATTAATACATGGCTTTAGAAGTGACTAAATTTCCTTGCTATTCTTGTTATGGGCCTATTTTTTGATTTTTTTTTCATTTTCTTGCACAGTGCAGAGAAATCGTAAATTTGCACCGTGCGAAGACGAAAAAAGGCTAAAAATGGCGTTGCACGGTGCAGAAGTTTCCGCATTTTGCACAGTGCAAAAAGCGTTTTTAAAAGGATGGAACTTTGTACAGCGAACTTTTTCACACCGAAATCTCTCTATAGCAAACATTTTTGAAGTTGCCAAAAGACAATGTTAGGCCGAAATAAGCATCACAAAATCTTGACAATAATTATAACGAATAAAATTTTCAGCCCTTTGCGACATGTCGTGCAGCGGATTTTTTTGCATTAAAAATCAATTTTCCTATCAAAATTTTATCTTCAAGATCAAAACATTTCGATCCAAAATAAAGTCCGCTCATCCCTCCAAGCCCTCAAATATAACATCGGTCTCTTTCTCGCCCTAAAATCAAATCTCAAATCTCTCGTTTGCCCCGTTCGCTATTCAAAAGAGCCCTTTCAAATTTCTCAAGTCCAAAAATATTCAGGCCTCTCGAAGATAAGGGTCAAGCCAATTCGAATAACCATTCCCCCCGAATCAGCTGTCTTTACAAAAAACGGCTATCAAATTCGAATTTGTGCAAAACAACTGGACCTCGGCTTTAGCGAATCGTTTCAAAAAAAGCTCCATTTTTTGAGTGACCGGTCACTTTCGGAAAGGTGATGGATCAGCTTGGATTACTCGGCTTTATAAAAAAAGTGTTCAAAAGTTTGTGCAAACTGGACAGCACTCTGTGATCGATTGGAAACATAATATACAGGGTTGTCAATGGATTCCGGAGAAGATTTTGGAACATTAGGGGAGAATTCTACCATAATTTGAGTGTTTACTACAAAAAACCCTGGTAAAATCCTTTCGGAAAATAATAAAGCAGCCTCAGTTCAGATCCAGTGGAAGCCGGGATCAGCGTTCCCTCCCAAAATCCCCGTTCACACAAAGAAAACACAATGAGAAATCCTCCAAATCTTGATCCCATCTTCTTTCGTACCAAAGACGCGACTATTACAATGTTATGTGATTTCTGGACGATTGCACTTGTTCTGCGGTTTATTTATTCGAGAGTAATCAAATTGTAAAAGTCAAACCGCAATAAATAATTTCCTACGTCAGAGTTGGGAGTGTTACGTGTGACCTATTATTCGGTTGAATGTTTGGTTATTCTGTTTGATTTGTAGCTGATACTTTTGCATGAAATAGTTCGGAATGAGAAGAGAGGGCCACAGAAATAGATTGAGAGATAGAATGGCTGCGGAAAGATGTGGTTCAAAACGAGCAATTTTATTTCCTGCAATATTTTCTTACAAGGTTATGCACTGTCCAAAATCTAAACTGCACTGCGTGCAAAGGGTAAAAAAGCCTATTTTTGACTTTGCACAGTGCAAAATTCAGGAACTATTGCACAGTGCAAAAAATTGTTTTTACTGCATCGTGCAAGAGAAAAAGAAGCCTATTTTTGGCCTTGCACAGTGCAAAATCTAGATTGCATGCAACATGTGATAGAAAAGGAAGCCTATTTTTATTTTTGCGAAGTGCAAAAATCACGATCTATCGCATAGTGCAAAAAATTGTTTTGACTGCACCGTGCAAGAGAGAAAAAAGCCTATTTTTGGCCTTGCACTACGCAAAATTGAGGATCTATTGCACAGTGCAAAAAATTGTTTTTACTGCACCGTGCGAGGAAAAAAAGAAGTCTATTTTTGGCCTTGCACAGTGCAAAATTCAGATTTATTGCATGGTGCAAAAAGCGAAATTTTTTTTCCCAATCAGGTAATTTATGCCAATGCCTGTCACCACTAACATATCATCGAGTGTTACTATGAAATTTTAATTACATTTTAAAGTCGTTAAAAATCTAAAATTTTACGTTTGATCAAACCAAATTCTCAATAAGTTAACCGCTCACTGATCCCCAAATCCCAGATCCTCTCCCACTGTACAGACGGAAGAGTTCTCGCTGGTCAAGAGAACAATCGGAGGGAACACTTTGATTAGCACTTCCCACTCGAGAAATCTCAAACTGAATATCCGGTTAATGTTTATCCTTCCTGCGCTAATCCCTCGTGTTTGACTTTGGATCGTATTTTAGAGAAAAAAATAAAAAATTGAACTGAATGAAACCAAAAAAAATTTAGGCTAATTGCAAAATAAAGGGCTTGTATGTATTAATTGCGAAAAAAGAATAAAAACAGCCACAAGGCAGAGAAATTACAAGAAAGCTCCAGAGAAACCGGACATTATGTACATAATAAATTTTGACGTAGGATAATTTGTTTTTTTACGTATTATCGAATTATGCAAGTTGCTTTTTTGGTCTTTCGCCTTGATTGTTTTGTTTACTTGTTCTATTAGTAGGCGTAAAAGGCCAATCCACTTGACACTAAAGTTGTTAAAATTAAAGAGTTCGAGAGTAAAAATAACTTTTATGTAATATACTTCTTTTTTTTACTGGAGAAATTTTTTCAACCATTGCAAAGTGTCCTGATTGCCGCAAAAATAAGTGAATAGTGCTTTTATCAAGCTTTTAGAATTTAGCATCGCTTTCAGACTGATTATTATTCTTTTCAATCACAGAAGATTGCATATTTAATACGGTCGACTTAGAAGGCTTCCGTAGATGACGCTCTTTTTCATTTCCAACGTGGTATGCACGCGTGGCAACCTTTACGACTGGTTCTATTGATCATCAGTGTCGCGGCGTATGGAGTTGAATTTGATGACAAGTTGGCTAGACACAAATTGTTTCCCTTGGCAGTGTCTGCATATGCAAATGATCCGCACGAATGCCTGGCTCGTAAATTTAATAATTCTCAGGTCAGAAACTATTCTTTCAAAAGATTTTGGGATTTCAGTTTCTTACAAAGTACATCACGCCTTGCGATGCAGAGAACACGACCATCCCTTGCTTCAGCTTCATTGCAGTGAACCATGAGGACAAAGCTTTGATGATATCCTTTCGGTGAGTGGAGACTCTACAACATTCCTCATCAAAAAGAAAGAAGACATATGTATCCCGTATTTTACCTTATGGTTTTGTTGAATCGAAACGACAGGCCTTTGATCTCGAATTTACTACTAGCTATACAATGACGATATAATTTTAGAGGCTCAACATCCGCTTATCAAGTTTATCATGTGGTTTATGACACCTTGCGTAAGAAGGAGGTCGACGCTTTTAACGGTACAAAGATTGGCTATTATTTTTATCATGCGTTTGATCAGATGTGGAACAAAGGCATGAAAAAAGACTTTGAACGCTATGAAAAGCAATTTAAAGAATATCAAATATGGGTAGGGCCGACTTACTCTATTTCAACTCCCTTTCAGATCACCGGCCATTCGCTAGGTGGAGCTCTAGCTTCTTTGCTTGCCGCTTCAATTGTCTTTAACTATCCACAACACAGCGAGCGAGTTGTATTGTACACTTATGGTGAGCCTCGCGTCGGAAACAAAAAGTTTGCCGATTTTTTGGACAGTAATGTTAAAAACTCATTTCGAGTGATTCATAACAAAGATCTTGTGGTTAATATTCCACCACTCGATGAAAACCGATTTTACCATCGGAAAAACGCTGTTTTTTACCAAAACAATATGAAAGAAGGAGATGACTTCATTCTTTGCAATGGAACGGATCAATATTGTACTAAAAAATATACAAGGTTCCCACCGAGCGTAAGAGATCACCATTACTACTACGGAGTATGGGCATCGCGCTACGGTCGCAATAATTGTCAACCATTACAGTAGTCAAGTGTTACTTTTTTATTATTCGTTAAAAGGATTAAAAACTCAAATATTCATCATCTTGCTAAAAAATCCTAATTTGGTATCCTCAAAAAATCTTCGAACCATTCTACCTCTGATTTTGGGCAATTTTGTAAAATAAGAGCCATATCGCAAAGCAGCGGTATCTGAAAGCAAAGATTATCATCTAAATGCAAAAGAATGACCGATGAAAATCGACGTTCTCTTACATTTTCTGGTATTGGATGGGCGTTGAGCTCGATTTCAATGTCAAACATTAACACGATAATGTTATCGTAAACCTCTAGCCGCTTCTTTGTAACAGATAACACAGTTTCTGAATCGCATAAAGAATTATAATTGTGGAATAGCGCGTGTTGGTATGACAGATTAACTTCGTTTGCTTTACTGACATCCAGCAAGTTTTCGTCGTTTAGTAATACCGAAGCAAATGCGAAGTAGTTTAGTGGAACTAAAATTATACATATTTATAATACATTCTCGTTACCGAGCAAGACAATTAAGATTGCCCACCAAGATGTTCACGGTGAGCTCTCAACTGTTCCAACGTATGTTTATCAGTGATGGTGACCACATACCTTGGTCCCCAATAAAACGCTGATAATGCGCCAAACGTAACGTTGAGATAGTTCAAAAAGTCTGATACCGTTGAATGCTCTTTTATATCAGCTAGATTTCCGACGGAGTCAGATAATTCATTAATCCGCTGTCCTTTTTTTACTGCGAGTTGAATGTCAGCCCTCTTCATACCAAGCTCCTTGCATTTTAGTCCCGGAATTGTCGTGTAGTCATAAGGCTCTGGCTGAAAAAAAAATTAAAATGCATAAAACGAAGTATTACCTTATCCAGCAATAACCACAGCTTATAAAACACCAAAAATCCAAGAAAATTGAAAATAAAATATAAGATCAACTGGATCATTGAAAGATGTATCCACAAAATTGTTCTATTTCATTAAATTTCTTAAAAACTTAACTTACACGTAAATTCGATTGTTACTGATAAGCCCCCTTCACTCTTCCGATCATATTTTAAGACTCTTCGTATATAAAGGGTGTCGCAGTTTGCGAAGACAGGGCGCACTTCGCGTCATTAAATATTTCTTCTTTTTTCCGAAAATTTTTTCGGCGAATTTTATTGAATTGTTTTACGCTATAACTCTGTTGTAAAGAACCGGGAGTTTTGTTGAATTTCTGTGTTACACATGTGGTTTACCTTTTATAAACGTATCACATAATGGATCCTTCAAGGAATCAATTCTTTCCCAACAGTTTCCAGGGGAATATTTCAAATCAATTGAACCGTAAGTTTGCAGATTTCTTTGCTTTATTAAAGCTCTACATTGCAAAAAAATACAAGTTAATTAGCTTTAGACTTAAATCAAGGCTCAAATGTGAACTTGATGCAGACTTTGTCGCAGCTTTCGAATTTGGCAAATTCTAATTTGAATTCCACTGCAATGGGGCAGGATATGTTAAATCGAGGTTATCTTTCGCAAAATCTTGGCAACCAGTATTTAAATAATGGCGGACTAAATAACGGGGTGAATTGGAATCAACAGCAAAGTCAGGATTGGCTGGACACGGTGAGAATCTCGCAATGTTCGTGTATTGTTCAATTTAGGCAAAAGTAGCTGCGATGTACAACATTATTCAAAGTTCGGTGAATCCAACGTGAGTAGTAAAAGTTAATTCAGCTTTTATTTTTCTTTAGCAATGTAAATAATCAATTCGGAAGCCCGACAAATTTTCTTTCAACACCATCGTCAAATTTATTCAACCAACCTCGCGCTGAGCTGCCGTCTGTTCCAAATTCCGAGATTAGCATGTTCTCGAATCAGTCGTCAGCGTCGTTGACTCCAAGTATGCAGAGCAGTCTTGCCGATAATGGATTTGGAACCTACAATTTTAACCCGTTGCCGTCCACTTCTGCAAGTCAGGTAAAATATACTATCTTTGTTCGCATTTCTTAAGTTTAGGATTTGCAGCCAGCTTTATCTCAACAAATTGATGCCGATGCGCTCAGCGAGTTTCTCGACATCCGAAGTAACGACTTCCTAGCTGGTTCAAGCAGTTTAGGAAACAACCTTCAAGAATTTAACAATTCAACTTACAATCAAGAACCTCTGATTCCCAAAACCTCATTTCAATCTGCAGCCTCATTGTCTTATAATAATGACCTTCCTACGACGTACGCTGAGCCTGTTACCCAGAGTGCGACGTCGCAACGAAATGATGACCCCATGATTGGAAGTCAGCATTTTGATCAAAGTCCGTATCAGACAAACGCTTCAAGAACTCCCAAACAACACTTTGAGGGGGCCACAACAAGTAGATTCCAGGAGAATACCCATCTTTTCAACGAAGATTTGAGCAATGTTGATCTGCTCGATCTTGCTGAAAAGCTAAATAAGTACGAGGAAGAACTTAACGCTGGTTCTGACACTCGACAAGATATCGGTTCGCACGACGTCAACAATGTTAATTCAGCGACGACCTACGACGAATACTTAGCTGCGTCTTCTGAGCAGACAAGTCACCGCACCGACAACTGGTCAATAAGTCGTCTTGAGCACGACAAAAACGTTGACGATCAAACTCATCCGGTAACCGAAAGTCAGGGAGAACATGGCCAACGCGAGGCGACCCATTATTCGTCGCAATGCGTACAATCTTGCGAAGCCGTTAAGGAAAGACCAGCCGTTGAAGAGGATCCGGACGCTATGCCGGAAAATTTTCTGGAAGAGCCAATGGAAAGAAAAAGCAGCATGGAAATGGCCGATGAGCTATCAGTGTCTGTTAGCAACGCTAAGCCACAGTTAGATTCGTCGGCGGTCGTGAGTGCGACAGATGCCAAGACGACTTCAGAAGCACAAGTAAAAAGTAGTGTGCCAAAAGATGACGCGGTCGTGACAAAAGAGGAAGAGGTTGATCAAACAGGAACAGCACTGATCGACTTCTTGAATGGCATGGCCGGGGGTACTGAGAGAGATTCCCCGGAACCAATGGCGAATCCAAGCTTTGAGCCCGTTCAAGTAAGCTGCCTCCAGGTTTTTTTGCCTACTACTGAACCTCTGTACAACGAACTCCTATACAATGAGACCCATCTATAACAAACGGTTTATATAAGAAGTACCACCAGGCAATTTAGGCCAATACAAACCGTTGTACAACGACACTCCACTATAACGTATAAATTTTTTATGTCTGTTGCGATTTGTGGTACAGAGGTTTCGGTAATTGTCAAGGTTTTCTAGATTTTAACTGGACGTTCTTTCAGTTTACCCCTCCAGATTCTCCAACAGCTCCAGCTGCCCCATCTTTCCAACAATCTGCTCCTTCTTTCTCATCGTTTCCTTCCTTCGGCGTGCTAGGATTTACACCATCGACCAATCTAGGGCTTCAGCCATCAAGCTCGAAATTGGTCTCTTTTTTGCCTGAGGTTAAGAGTGAGACAAAAGAGCCTTTGCTCAGTAACAGCATGTTCAATGTAAAGAAAAATGAGCTAATAAAAGAGCTGCCAAAGAAAATACCAATCTACAAGCAGGACATGGACTTGAAGGAGGAGAAAGAAGATAAGAAAAGTAAGCCTCTTTTACACGATAGTTCAAGGCCGACCTCGGCCAATCTTCATGGGTAAAATACGCTGCTTATTGTCATGTCTTCATTAATAAACTTTCAGAGGCCGGTGGGAATGTCTACGACTTTGACGAAGACGAATTCGGCTTTGATCTAAAGCCAGCGGAGTCTAAATTCAAAAAAGATGAGCCAATGTCAACCAAGCCAACACTGCCTACATCGGTTTACAAACCAATAAAGCCAAAAACTCAATCGTCGAATCACAGCAAAACCAAACCACTCAGGATAAAAATACGCCCGATCGAACCGCCGCCAGACAATACCACTTGCATCCAGGTGCTTCAAAAGGAACTTGAAGCCAGTTCAGAGCCAATTAAAATATCACCGTTTGGTGATATCGATATATCTGTTAATCCAACACCAAAGGCGTGGCGATGGGACTCGGATCCGAATGAGAATACCAAATTGGAAGTTGTGGTGAAAGAAGAGGATCAGTCGGAACGCCCTTCCTTGAAGTTGACAATAAAGATGACAAAGAAAGAGCCAACAAGCTATTTCGAAGAGCCGGAGGAGAAATCGAAAAAGAAAAGAAAGCACAGTGAATCCGAAGATGAGGAAGATGAATATTTGCCGAGTGCTTGTAGAAAACATAAGAAAAAGAAGAAAAGGAGAATGTCGTTCAAGGAAATCGACCCGCTAGATGATCTGGATAGGTAAAATAACCTCGAATAATCATTCACACTTTTTTTTTTTTTTTAACTTTTTTTTACTGTGCAAAAAACGCAAATTTTCGCACTGTGCGAGACAAAAAATACGCCAAAATAGCCGTCGCACGGTGCAATGAGTACAATTTTTTGCACAGTGCAAAATTTGAGTGAAAATTTACGAATTCAAAATTGAGTATTAAACCATTTACAACACGTTTTTTCAGAGTCTCTCAATGCAGTTCATCCGAATCCCACCCAATCTCCGTACGAAGAAATTCGATTATTGATCCGTTCAAGAATGCAAATTTGTTGGACGATGACTCGAAATACAAATATTTGGCTCTAGAAAGAACTGAAAATAATACGAAGGGTGACTTTGTGGTCGATAAAAGTGATTTGATCAATTCGGACCCTGAGGACATTTGCATTTGGAGGATCGAAAAACAGGTCAAACTGAAGTTCGAACCGTGTGATGAGGAGTTTAGCGGGTTGTATGCAATGACTGACCATGTAAGATTTATATGGGGTTCTTGGAAAATCTAATTTTATTTTTTTAATTTTTTTTTGGAATTTTTCAAATCTTTTTTGTTCGAATCACAGGGAACTCAAAATCACTTATAAAAACTTTTATTTACTTATAAAAACTTCAAGTTTTTATAAGTAAATAAAAGTTCTTATAAGTGATTTTCAAATCACTTATAGGTAATTTTTATTTTCGGCGCCCGGGAAATTCACTTATAGGTAATTATAAATACTTATAGGTAACAGAAAATTATGCACAGTGCAGGATAGATAAAAATTTATTCAAACAAAGAAAAAACAACTTAATCTGATGTATTACCGGTTAGATATTTGATTAGCGCATCTTCTATGCTCCGGGTTAGCTTCCATCTGTCATTTGTCCTGACGGGGCATGATTGTTTTTGTGAGACATCTGCGATGGGTTGGATTCACTGAAAATAGTCAAGATAAAGAAAGATAACTGAACTATAAGCCCCTTTTTTAACTGTTTTTTCTACGCTTTTCCATCCCAAAAAATTAATTTGAGGTTCAGCATTTGGCAATGAGATTTCGAGACATCAAGTTTTTATGTTGTACTAGGTCCAGGTGAATACTATCAACATACCTGGGGCATCCGATAGCCATTTTTTCCAGACATTGTGCGCACGCTGTCCATTTACTTCCTCCATGAACATTTTGTGAGTATCTGAAAACTAGAGGGTTCACCTGGACCTAGTACAACATAAGAAAACCATGCCTTGAAAAGTTTCTGGCCTTCTGAAATGTGAAAGCAGTTTAAAAAACCTACCAAAATTGAGGAAAGGGTTCTTCATCTGAATTCTTGGTTGATTATGCTTGTTCTTAGATCTTCCGAGGCTGCCTGATGCTGACATGCGTTCTATTCGAGAAGTTTCTTATGTTCCGGATTTATTATCTATCCACTTTTTACAGTTCTGAAAGACAAAATGCACTAAAAGTACCTTACCTTGTTCCATCCAAGGTATAAATACCCTTATGCACCTTCATTGACCAGTACTGCTCCGAAAAACTTAGAATTTCTAAGTCTCGCCCATGCGTTCAAAAAGCCAAAAGCGTCTCTGGCGCTCAACTGTTTTCTTTTCGGAGTCCTTATTGGTAATTATAGGTAAATAAAAGTTCTTATAAGTAAATAAAATTTCTTATAAGTAAATGAAAATAGGCTCCGCCTTTTTTTAACTTATAAGTGAATTTTTGGGAAATATTTTTACCTATAAGTAAATAAAAGTTTTTATAAGTAAATCCGAATCCCCTGTGATTCAAGTTTGATCTAACAAAAAATTTAATTTTTTAAACTTTTTTCAAATTTTCTTTTTTGCACTGTGCAAGCCAAATTTTCCACAAAAATTTCGACTGCACGGTGCAAAACCCAATTCTTCAAAAAAAATTTTTTGCACCGTGCAATATGCAAACTGCAAAAACAGTCTTATTTAACATACTTTTGATATTTAGTACGCCGTTTGGTACGACGAAATGATGTCGAATTGTGTCAAGATCAACTGTGAATACATCAGTCAAGCCAAGAACAGTGCCATCATCCGACCGCTTTATCCATTGGCTCAACTGTTCTCAGCGATTCCTGTGGATGCAGAAGAGTGTGTGCTGGTGACAGAAAATGGTGTTACAAATGAGCTGGAGGAAATTAATAATGAGATTTTCAACATTGTCACTGGATCCGTTGAAATTTTTATAAAAGAAGCGGTTTTTCCAGGATTTCTGGAGTCGAGTGGGAGAGGTAGGCAATTTTTGAGCTTTTCACACTTGATTATTTTCATTTATCATCATTTTCTTTCCATTTCGCGTATTTTTTCCAAAATTTTTCAATTTTTTTAAAATCAAAAAAAATTTTTGTTTTTAGCTAACAATCTACAACCTCTAAATCAACTCCTCGCCCTGAAGGAAGACGTCCTCAATAATTATCTCGAGCGATTTGAACTCCTCCAACCTTTGAAAGATAAAATTTTTTCATTCAATCGAATGGTGACCATGAATGAAAATAACTCGTTTTATGGTAGTTTGTGTGAGGTAAGCCAACAATAATTTATTTTTATACAAAATTTCTGAGTTTAGAACTGCGAATCAGATGGAGAAATCGTAATGTTTCATCTTTTTAACACTCCAAAAAGCTTGTTGAATGTCATGGAGAAGGTTGATGTTGAAGATGATGAAGAAATTGATCATGAAGACGGTGATGTCGAGGATTTTACAGCCACGGTATGTAAAAATCAAAAATTGAATTACAAAAAAAAAATTTTCCGCACAGTGCAGAGAAACAGTATTTTTGCACGGTGCAAGGCCAAAAGTAGGCTAAAATCTGCCTTGCACGGTGCAGAAAGATCTATTTTCTGCACAGTGCGAAAATTTTTGGAAAAAAATTTTATTTTTTGACTAGTTTTTTTAAGTTTTGTGTAATCAAAAAATTTTTTTCAGACTTTGGTATTATGTGCCAACTGCAAGGACCCAATATCCAAAATTCACTCAATAAAGCACTGCGCGGACCATCTTCTGGACGAATGCCGCAGGGAAATCGTTGGGATGTGTCTGAACAGCCCAACAAAATGGCAGAAAATGGTTCATAAAGAGATGCTCAGCAACAAAATCTTTATTGAAAAAGTTAGTTTATTTTATTTGAGGAATTATAAAATAAATTTCGTATTTTACAAAAAACCTTTTAAACTATTTTCAGGTCAGCAAAAAGTACACTAAACTTCTGGATTCGGACATTGAATAGCATTTCTAGTCAGGACCTCGATGAATACTTTCCATTCGTTTTACAGAGACCTCAGAGATTGTAATATAATCAAAGTATTGTAAATAGTTTTTTACTCCTCTATTGTACTTAAAATGCCTTTTTTTTATATTGTTCATGATCTTGACAGAGAAATAAACGGGTAAAAATTATTGAAATGGTATTTTATACGAAGGTGTGCATGATTTCCGCCGCAAAAAATCATTTACAAACGTTCAATTTCACTTGCAAGAAACATAAAGCCTTATCTCAACAAAAGGTCATTGTAAATTACAAAAAAAATTTGGAACGCTTCACGAATTTGCGTGTCATCCTTGCGCAGGGGCCATGCTAATCTTCTCTGTATTGTTCCAATTTTAGTATATGTCCATTTGGAATGAACATTTCACCTACTAACCAGCTCGCTTTTAAAGCCGGGGAATACCTTTAGTCGCAGAACAAATGGGTTATCCTGAAGGAGAGCCGCAAAAAACGCAAACTCTTTCTCACTTTCTCTGATTCTCTAACCGCAAAAAGTCTTATCCTCTCTCAAAAAACAGACTCACAATTCAAAAAGGCGAGAAAATCGCGCGCACATTTGTATCTTTTTCCTCGGACGGAAAATCGGTTCGTTTTTTGGTGTTGTTATGGTCTGATGTTTCAGTTTTTTCGGTCGAAAAATGATGGAATAAGGTTGAAAGAACAATCCAAGATCATTTTACACCCGAAGTAAAGGGGTTTTCCATCAGAAAATATTGAAATACTGGATTTTAGCAATTTTTTTATATTACACTTGGTCGGACAGCTGTATTCTAGCTGAAAACAAACACGAAAAGTGCTAAAAAGTTTCTTAATTTATTTAATATTATTTTACATTCGATTATCCCACGTTTTCTCGAGTTTCAAACCAATTTTTACCTTATTTTACCCTTTTCAGCCGACCCGGCTCTCTCCATCGTTCCATTTGTGGCCAAATGCGATTTTTTTGTTTATTGTAAAGTTCCGATAGTGCCGGAGAACGTTACAAGACTCGAGAGCAATTTAGTCAATGAACACAATAGCTTACAAATAATCGGTTTCGCCCCCATTTCGCAGCAGAACTTGTTCACTTTTTTCGAAGTTCCCAATACAAATCAGGTGGAATGATCATTTCTGGAGGTGAGTTTTTTTTGGGTTTGCTTTGTTTTTGGTTTAGGATCTCTAATCAAGGTGGACAGGTTTGATTTTCGACATAAATACGGAAAATTTATATTATCCATGACAAATTTGTGGTCGTTTTGTTAATTTTTGACGTTTTTGCCCCATTTTTTTTGTGGATTTGGCAATAATAGACTTAGTTACAGCTTCTGGATCTATTTTCTCTTTATTTCCTTGAAGAAATTATATTATCCATGACCGAATTTTTTGTTTTCTACTTTATTTGAACTAACCACTGTTTCCAGAGCTTCTTATACGAGCGACCCTTCGATCTCATCGACATCTTTATCTGAGTGCCTTAATACGAACAGACAATGTTATTAAAGATAAGAAGAATAAGCTGTTCAAGGTAGCGCGAAGTCCCAGGCGGACGGTTACCTATGATGAGGATAAGATCGACGAAATGCGTGCCATGGCCGAGTTCCGGCTGAAACATACGGATTTAGCGCAAGTTTATTTTTATTTTTTCGATTTGTTTGAATTTTAGGTGATAATTTTACGAAATTGGCTATAACTCATTGAGTTTACGTGGTTGAGATGGAAAATGAGTATGAGTAGAGACAGGGGGAATTTGGGATGTTGTTTCGGCTATAGTCTTGCTTCTGAGGTTCCGAGATATTAGAGGAATGGAAATTTTCCTATTTTTATCAGGTGTCAAGTATAATATAAAGATTTTTGCCTCAAATTTTGTTCTTATCCATTTCCTCTTTTGTATAATGCAGTATCTATCCTTCAGTGACCTTCCTCAACCTGCGGAATTTGGAGATCAAAGCAAGAAACTTTACTACGTCCACGATGTTATGGCAAAAGCGATTAAAGTAAGATAATTTCCATTTTTCCTCTACTTTTAGGTCCATGGAAGTCCCAGCGCTTTGTATGCGAAGCAACGACAGATCATGCCCGGTCGTGAGCTATCCGACGCCGAGCGGATGCGACTTCGAATGAAGGTTGAGAGCAAAACGAAAGGAACAGTTACAGCTGGAGCTGATCGAGTAGTCGGCATCGCCTTCGCATTGAATTGTTGCGACATGATTGGCAAATTTACGGCGGCATATCTCACAGGGAGTAAGAGTTTGTTCGCGGAGGCGATTCACAGCACCATGGACACTTGTAATCAGATGATTCTTCTGTTGGGTAAGGAGAATATAATTTTTGATTTTTTTTGTCAATTTTAGATCAATAAAAAATGAATAGAGTATCTGAAATCCTGTTAAATTCTATTAGAAGTATTTTTTCAGGCATTCGATACTCCTCGAAGAATCCAGACCCCAACTTTCCGTATGGCTATGGTAATATGAGGTATGTCTCATCGCTGATCAGTGGATGTGGAATTCTTGCATTTGGATGTGGTCTTTCAATGTATCATGGGATCAGTGGGCTGTTACATCCAGGAGAACTTGAACCAATGACTTATGCAAGTTATTTCTTTATTTTTGGATTTTCGAATTTTAGGCTTACTATGCACTGGGCATGTCGTTCTGCTTCCAAGGATGCTCTGGACTGACCGCATACAGAGAAGTCAAGAGGAAAGCGGATGGAGCCAATATGTCGTTGATTAATTATGGTAGGAATGTGAATTAGGAGGTTTTTTATATATTGTAGTAGATATCAGATGAGAAATTTTGGATGGAAATTGAGGTTAGTGCGTGTTATATGATCTCACATGGGGAATTATTAAATATTTTGCTCAGTAAAAGTTTTTGTAGCAATTTATTTTGTCTTCTTTACCACAATATTGCCTTTATACATAGGGTAATATAACCCTATTTTTAGTCCGTTCCTCGGCCGATCCATCCCTCAATGTAGTCCTATTGGAAGATTCAGCCGCCGTAGTTGGTGTCCTCATCGCCACAAGCGCCGTTGCAACGTCTTCTCTTCTCAACTCGACAATCCCGGATAGCATAGGATCAATTCTAATTGGATGCTTGTTAGGCACGGTGTCATCATTTATCATCCGAACAAATGCAACACATCTAGTCGGAAGATCACTGCCAAAAAGAATCACGGATGACATTGTATGCCAGTTGGAAAATGACCCAGTAATACGAAGTGTTCATGATGTGAAAGCGACCTCTTTGGGCGTGGAGAAGTCCAGATTCAAGGCTGAATTGGACTTTGATGGAGCGCAGATTACGGAGAAGTATTTGAGAGAAGAGTGTGATACAAAGGAAATGTTGGAGGTGAGAATTTTGGGGATTTTTTTGGAATTTTTGGGTATTTTGGGTAGTGTAATATAAAATTCTGATGATTTTGAAAGGGATTTTGGTGGTTTTCAGATAGAAATAGGTAATAGATAAGGGATTATAGTCTAGTCTGACATTTAAATTGGGTTTGGTTTAGTTTGGAATTTTTTAATTTTTTATTTTCCTGGTCCTTTTGATGATTAGAGGTATTTTGAAAAAAAAATTTGGGGAAAATTGAAGATTTTTTGAAGGTTTTGTACCTGAAAAAGCAGTATAAGGTAAATTTTTGCGAAAAATCTCAAAAAAAGTTGAAACTTACATATTTTTTGGAGTGCTAAGTTAAAATGAAGGCTTCTTGATGTCGCAAATTATTTTAAATCACTATTTTCAGGAGGTGAAACAAATGGAAAACCCCGAAGAACTCGAGAAATTCATGGTCGTGCACGGCGAGAAAATCATTGACAAAATTGGCGATGAAGTGGACAGGATCGAACAACGGATCACAAGGAAATACCCCGACATTAGGCATGTGGATCTAGAAGCTTTGTAGAAATGATGAGAAATACTGTGAAATAGCGCCTTAAAACTCAATTTCTGAGTCAGTGAATCTGCCGCTAGTTAGGCGTGGACATTCAAAAAAATCGATTTTGAGATTTTTGTTTTAAAATGACTGGGGGCATCCTACTAGCAAATTACCATAACATTTTTGCCCAATTCTCCCGTTAACCTATTGTAATTTACAATAATATGATTTTACAGTAATCGGATATTACTCAAAAAGTACGCATCGTAATTGGCTGAAATCGGTACTATAAAGGTTTTGGCACCTTGGCATTACAATGGATGTCGAATTTTGGCTGTCGGGTTACTGTAACATAGTGAAACCTTGGTTCGGCCGCACAAAATCGGCCATAAAAAATTTGTTTCTGAAAACCCACAGCCAATTTTTGGATATGTTAATAAGCATAAAATTCTGCTATAGAAACATTAAAAAAAAGTGCAAAAAGTCATAACACCATTTTCGTGGTATAGTGGATTTTGGTCAAAATTTGTAATCTGAAGGTCCCGGGTTCGATTCCCACTGGACGAAAAATGTGAGAGGCTGCATAGAAACTTAGGAAATCGACGCAGATGGGTTTGTTATACACATTTAAGCCATATAAGACTATATCCAAGGTGGTAATGCAAATTTTAACGTATTTTTTGAAGGAAAAATGAGCGTTTTTCTTTTATAGCATTTGCCAGCAAGCTCAGTTGCAGAAAAACGGTAAAACTAAAATAGGTAGGGTTTTCGAGCATACTCAATTCAACGAAAGCGATTTTTCGGAGCCAAAGTTACTGTAACATAGAAAAACAAGGTTTCGGCCGTTAAAAATCGGCCGTAAAATTTTTCTTTTTATCGTTAAGCTAACGGTTATTCGATTTTCGGAATCACCGTAAAATTCTGCTCTAGAAACAATCAAGAAACGATCTTTTTATAAACAACACTTAATTTTGTGGGGAATTACTAGTCGGGACAAAAAGTCCTGATAATTTTGCACCGTGCGGATTTTGCTCCGTTTCTGTCGCACTCTGAAAAAAACGATTTGTCGCTCCGAAAAGTGGGAATCGCGCGCGACGTAAGGCAAAAACAAACAAAAATGCACTGTGCAAATGCACTTTTCGGGCCAAATGCACCGTGCAAAACACTTTTTTTCGCGATTTGCGCAGCGACAACCCAAAACGTTCAAATCCGCACGGTGCAAAATTATCAGGACTTTTTGTCCCGACTAGTACTTTTAAATTTTAAAATTGTAAATAAAAGTATGTTAACGAAGGAATTAGAGTAAAATAGTTTAAAGACAAGCTTAAGCCACGAATTCAATTAATTTTAGGCTAAAAACTCAAAAAAAATTTTTTTTTATTTTCGCACAAGATTTATGAACTTGGAAATTTCGGTGCAAGCGTAAAAAATTTGTGAAATACAAAAAATGGAGTTAAGATACACTATAAGATGTCTCTAAGGCAGAATTTTACGGTGATTCCGAAAATCGAATAACCGTCAGCTTAACGACAAAAAGAAAAATTTTACGGCCGATTTTTAACGGCCGAAACCTTGTTTTTCTATGTTACAGTAACTTTGGCTCCGAAAAATCGCTTTCGTTGAATTGAGTATGCTCGAAAACCCTACCTATTTTAGTTTTACCGTTTTTCTGCAACTGAGCTTGCTGGCAAATCCTATAAAAGAAAAACGCTCATTTTACCTTCAAAAAATACGTTAAAATTTGCATTACCACCTTGGATATAGTCTTATATGGCTTAAATGTGTATAACAAACCCATCTGCGTCGATTTCCTAAGTTTCTATGCAGCCTCTCACATTTTTCGTCCAGTGGGAATCGAACCCGGGACCTTCAGATTACAAATTTTGACCAAAATCCACTATACCACGAAAATGGTGTTATGACTTTTTGCACTTTTTTTTAATGTTTCTATAGCAGAATTTTATGCTTATTAACATATCCAAAAATTGGCTGTGGGTTTTCAGAAACAAATTTTTTATGGCCGATTTTGTGCGGCCGAACCAAGGTTTCACTATGTTACAGTAACCCGACAGCCAAAATTCGACATCCATTGTAATGCCAAGGTGCCAAAACCTTTATAGTACCGATTTCAGCCAATTACGATGCGTACTTTTTGAGTAATATCCGATTACTGTAAAATCATATTATTGTAAATTACAATAGGTTAACGGGAGAATTGGGCAAAAATGTTATGGTAATTTGCTAGTAGGATGCCCCCGGTCATTTTAAAACAAAAATCTCAAAATCGATTTTTTTGAATGTCCACGGCTGATACAGTGACTCAGAAATCGTGTTTTAAGAGGTCCTCGGAGATTTGGCACGGGTCTAGAGTCTCTTCTTTTCATTTTTTTGTATTATTTTTTAGCCCTATGTAAAGCGAGTACCCGGTTTTTTGAAAATTGCCACTTAAAATGAATAAATATTGATAAAATTAGAGTTTTTGGGAGTTTTGATCGGTTATAAGGACAAAAATGAGTTGGCAGGTGTTGTGTTCGTCGTTGAGATTTTGATTTTTTATACCTGCTTTTTTCAATTTCATTTTTTTGCATGTTTTAATGAATTTTGTTTTTTGCACTGTGCGAAGCCAAAAATAGGCTTAAATTGGGCTTGCACGGTGCGTAAAAAAGGATTTTTGCACTGTGCAATTGTTTTTGAAAATTTTGAGCAAGCGACTAAAAATACGTGGCTTATCGGCTAAAACGACGTATGCTAACAAGTGTTTGTCTTATGGGCGTGAGTTTCCCGACAATAAATAATAAATTTTACTCCACAATAAGTTTACATGTATGGTTTAATCTTTGAATCAACTGGAATTGGCGGAATCCTCTCATAAACTTGAGCCTTCAGTCTGGCACTTCTCTCTTCTTTCGTTTGAAGGCGGTATAGGAAGAAGGCGACATAAATCATCACATAAATGCACCCACAAACAGTGGCCAGCGGGTCGTAATATCCTTCGTGATTGTATCGATAAATCCAATTGCCGATGTAAAGACCTCGATACGTTGCCAACGCCAGCAAATAGCAGGTCATCGAGTTGTCGATCTTGACATTTCGCAGCATGTAAAGTTGAGGGATAATGGCCACAGCTTCGAGGTAAATGGAGAACTCCCAGAAAAGCTCGAAAATGACGTCAAATGGAGGGGGAACGAAGCCGCGAAAAGCGTCCAATTGATATGGATACACAATGGTGACCAAAGCACATCCGAGAACGAGAAATTCAAAGCGGAATGAGTCTTGTTCTGACGCTTCGTTGGAACGGTAATGGATGAAGATTAGGTAGAGGGCTAGGTAAAACGCGGAGAGGTAGAAAGCCTGAAAGAATTTTTTGAATTTTTATAAGAGTTTCGAAAACTCAGGTTCAAGTTTGATCATTTTTGAAAGCTAAATAAATTCAAGTCTAAGTTCAAGCATTCAGAGCGTTGAAGTTCAAACCCAAGTTTTGACGGCAATTTTTTCAGAATTTGGATAAATCTTTTCCTCTTTGTGTGTTGATAAACTGGGCCTTTCTAGGGACGGATCAAAGCCTTATTACTTATATTAACTAACGTAAGCCTTCCTCTAGGCTCTCCATGAATAGAACGATGAATGGCTGCGACCAAAATTATTGTCAACCCGAACTGTCGTTGAGCCGAAAAATCGTCGCGCCTAAAAATCTAAAATGTTCCGTTCAAGAAAAAAATTTTGCATAGACATGCTATATTCTAGGCAATTTGAGCTCTTTTTCCACCACAAAGTTAAGCTTCAACTTAAACTTATAGGGTTTCAAGTTCAATTCAAGCTTTGTTGAACTTGAGCTTGAAGAATTTTCAAACTTGAACATAACCTCGAACCTTTATGAGCCCTATTTATCACTATTTTTCAAACCTTTTTAAGCTGAACCCCTTTTTTACTGCTGAAAATCACTTATGACTCACCTTCATGAGTGTGTTGTACAACGAAAGATAAATAACGTACACGTCAAAATACCGGCATGTGTAGGTCAGTGCGAAGAGGATCTGGGACTTTCCGGAGATTCCATTCACCGTTTTGGCCTTCAGAATCTTCCCCAACAGCAATACAACTGCCAAGGCGTGGAGAAAATCGGCCACGGCACGGAAGCCGTTCATTTTTAATAGGACTAAAACACGTTAAAGTTGGCAAAGTACGCCGAATTATACATAATTGAAAAACTATAATAAAAAAACTTACTAGGTGAAACCTGTTTTGTACAAAAGCCTTTGGCGAGCGAGTGGGCCAATTGTTTTTCGAGGTTCTGCGAAAATGAAGATTTCCAGCTTTAGAGCGAACGCAGCTGCGTTTTTTGACAAACAAACACTTTTTCGAAAAAGACCACTAAACTACGCCAAGGTATAGTATAAAATGATGAGGTTCTTTGGATTATCCAGTAAATATAAAACTTTTGAAGCTGCAAAAAACCAATGGGAAACAAATCTTTTTCAGTTCGCTTCGATATCCTACCACGCCAATCCTTAGGATGCGCGTCCTAGTATACGTCACGAGAAGGGAATGGACACGTCGCCTTATGCTTGGCGCGAAATTTAAAAGGGAAGGGTTCGAAGCTCATTTCTCACAATCAAATTTTATAAATGCTGATAAAAATTTGGATTTGGGTTTTCTATGATCGTATGTCCGTGATATTTAGCCTTCGTTTTACTAGATTTCAAAGTTGAAAATAATCAAAAAGAGTTGTATTTTTCAAGACAAACGTCTGGCTTTTTGTATGATGTTTCCCATCTGGTCAACACATTGCTACAAAAATGACTATAAAAATCCCTGTACAAGGGAGTAAGGCCCTATAAAAATACAGTATTTTTTGCTCTGTATTATTCCCTTCTCGCTTGCATAATGTTTTTATCAGCCCATTTTTCTTGGTTGTTATTATATTAAAGCCTCTAATGGATGGTCTCATGTTTAGCGTTTCTTACTGATAAGCCAGAAAGAGGCTGCTTCCAATCAGTTTCTATATAATTTTTCTTTGTGGAATAACTGTTTAGAAATGTTTCCCATTTTTCAGCGGCAATCGAGATATTCTCTGGCCTTCTTTGACAGAAAATTAAGCCCAAAACTTTTTTGCTTTTGTGCAAAAGAATATTATAATTTTCTCTAGAAACAATATTTACATATCTTATTTGAATTAACAGGGGAAGTACTCCAAGTAACTTGCCACAAATTTAGAACAATTTTTCCTAAGACATATGCGAAAATCCTAGCTTGCGCTTTGCAGAAACAACCGATATTTTTTGATCGAAAGTCGGCGAAAATGTGAGACTTTTTGCCGAATTTCGGCACGAAAATTTTCATACCTATTTCTACCGTAAAAGGTAATGTTTCTACAAACAATCATTTTTTTCCGCGTGAAACTGGCAAAGTTATGGCCAAAAAGCGTTTTTCTCCCTGGCCGCTCTCCGCGTTAAGCGTGCTCTCTCGGCGGCAAAAATCGTTCGATATCTCGGCTGCGCCTGCAAAGCGCGAGCTAAAACTTTCAGAAATTGATATCTAATCTATGCCCGACGTGTCCGCAAAATTTAAAGAAAATCTGAGCGTCGAGCTTGGGGTACTTCCCCTGTTAGCATAAATTTTAAAGATTTGCATAAAATCTTCACTCAAATATACATTGCCCTTTTTTCATCCTGTCGGGAAGATAGTGAGCCCTCTGTCGCATCGAAAATCGAATCGCCGTCGAGAAAATGAACTGTGTCATAGCAAAATCAAATTGCTTTTCACTTCAGCGACGCGATTCGCGCAGCGCCTTTTGGCTCACTATTTTCCCGACAGAATGATATTGAATTTGCGCATTTTTTTACGATTTTTCCACTACCGCCATCAGACTTTAACCTTTGTAAACAATTGCTACTTCCACGATTACTTCCAAAAAACCTTTCTTGTACAATGGCGTGTCTAAATTAGTAAAATCACCCGTTTTTATTGTTGATGGATTACACAAAATAATGTTCGCTTACAAATAAAAGAAAGGGGGTCCAGAAAAGCGGGTTTCTTACCAATTTTCGCGCATTCAAAACCCTTTTTATTTTTGGAATTTTTACGGAGATTCGTAAAATTTTTCTCTCGCGGTTACCCTTGTTTTCCGATTACTGTTTTATTCTTGGTAATTGTTTTTTCGTCGCTGTCAAGGAAATGGTGGTTTTTGGGCTAAAATATAATCGAGTGCTCGAAGTGAGACGGTTAGATCATACTTTATTGCTAGTAGAACTTGCCGCAAACATGTCATTTTTAAAGAGCCAGTATAGCCATGTCAATATAATTTTTTTTGTTGTTATTTATACAATATGTAAAAGTAATTTTTTATATATTTTGCTCCTAATTGTTAGCCGAATTTTTTGGAACTGGTACAGTACTCCATCGGTTTCTCTTAAACTGCAACTCTTGGCTCTCTGTTCCAAAGAAAGCTTTAACTTTGATGCCAGAGAACGCGGTATTTGGCATTTTCTGGAATCCCTTCAGTAGGGAATGGCAAGTGGTGTTGGAAAACACATCATTTTGCATCCGGGAAGTATAAAAAATGTGGCGAAATACCTCCCACTCCAAGTGAAAATACTCCGATTTCAAAAGCGCGCCTTCAAAGCCGAGTTTTTTTGAGTTGGAGAGGGAGCGATTTTGCCACATTTTTTGATACTTCCCGGATGCAAAATGATACGTTTTTTCCACTAGATCAGGTCCGCCACTGTATGTCTTCTAGATTGATCGCTTTTTTATTATATTATCGTGTAACAAAGCTGATGTTCAACGAGTAAACTCGTCAAATTTCAGGGTTATGGCCAGCATATTTTCCAAAATGCCATAGAGGAAGTGTAATGTCCCAGAATGGGGATCGAAAGGACCACTGTAAGTTTAGAGATATTGGATTCTTTATTGGTATACTTTTCCCAGTAAACACGCTCTATTTTATAATAGAAATTAATAACACAGTTTTCCTGATTAGTCCTATTTCAACGTTATACTGCTTCACGATTTATTTTTTTTTTCAAAAATCCAGGACAGCCAAAATACAGAAGACAAAGTCCACTTATATATAACTCTTTATTATCACTGAATAGTAAATTCTTGAAAGTACTTTATTATTACAATGTTTTTGTTTTTCAGCAGAATCGAACCCGTGGAATACTTGTTGAAGACACGTCAACTTGAGATCAAAGCACACAAAAATAACTGCTCGGGAAGAGGTCCAAAAATATCGTCGCATACTTTCACGCCTGCAAAAAAACATGTGTAATGACTACAGTGCAGTGTAATCGACGCACACCTTCAATGGGAACACGTAGTTTCCGAGGATTCTGAAGGAGGAAATTGAATTTTTATTTCTTTTTATAACTTTTTTCGTAGGAATTGGAACCAAGTTATGGTCGGGCAACATGACCAGTTTGACTGGCCAAGTCGAAATGACAAGAAATACCAAACTTTGGCTACAAAAAAAATCGATCAGATCACTGGTCAACTTGGGCATGTAGACCTGCCATATCGGTCAAGTTGACCGTTCAAATTCCAATCCTATTATTTTAGAATTGTAAGTCTCCCTGTCAGAACTCTTCCTCTGCAAACTATGTGCTCAATTTCGGCTTGTTGCAATATCACAGTCAATTTCAAGAGTGCATAATCAATTTGAAAATTTAGGTCAAAATAAAAACGATTTTTTTTGGATTTGGAATTTCGGGATGAAAAATGACTTTTTCAATTTTTTCGTATTCAGAAAATGATGAGAAAAAATGAAAAATATCGAATTTTGAATGCTGAAATTGTGAAATACGTCTTCTGGAATCTTCTGATTTAAAAAAAAAATAAAAAAAAATCATGAAATTTTCGAAACGGAATTTTTAAAAATATTTTGGCCCAAAAGTTTTTGTTTTTTTGAATTTAAAAATATTAAAATACGTCTTTCAAAATATTGCCCAACTAAAACAGTGTTTTAATCCCATACTTCAAAATCAGCAATTCCAAATTTCCTTACCTTCCATTCCCTCTAAACCATTTCGTTTGGCGAATTGCTGCTACTGCTTTCCTTGCTCAGCAACTCCCTCTGACCGTTCTCCTTCTGGACCTGGTTCAGTTTCCGATCGTACGTCCACAATTTGTATTTTTGGATGGAACATCGGATAATGGATTTCAAGGATACCATCAAAATAATTATCATCAATATTCCCACAGTCCCAATCCCCACAACCGGATCGTAGTTGCGATAAAAGTCGGTGGCATTCAGCTCGGGATTGGATTGCATGAAATCTCGTTTCTCCGGTGGCTTGCAGGTGGGAAAGCATGCCCTCCGGGGAGGCATCGCTTCCGGAAGGAGGCCAGGTTCTGAAAATCGGAGAAGTTTGATTTTAAAGGCCAAATTTTATATTGGAAGTGAAGACAATGTCAAAAATATGGCAGAAAGATATTATAGAAAGTTTTTTGTAAAACTATGCAAAAAAGATAATTTTTTTTCTCACAAGGGAAGTACCCCAAGTGCGACGCTCAGATTTTCTTTAAATTTTACACACACGTCGGTCATGGACTAAATATCAATTCCTGAAAGTTTTAGCTCGCGCTTTGCAAGCGCCGCCGAGATATTGAGCGAGCTTTACCGTTGAGTACGCTAAATTCGGAGATCGGTGAGAGAGAAAAACACGTTTTGGCCATAACTTTGCTAATTTCATGCGGAAAAAATTGATTTTTTGTGAAAACATTACCATCTATGGCAGAAATAGGCATCAAACTTTTCGTGCTAAAATTCGGCAAAAAATGTCAAATTTTCGCCAACTTTCGATCTAAAAATCTCGGTTTTTTCTGCAAAGCGCGAGCTAGAATTCTCGCATGTATCTTAGAAAAAATTATTCTAAATTTGTGCCAAGTTTCATCAAAATCTGAGCGTCGCACTTGGGGTACTTCCCCTGTCAATACAAAACGCTCGAATTTTCGCTGGAATTTTGCAAATTTTCTCCGCATAGGTCAAGTAAATCGCAAAAATTTTAGCTCAGATTGGAAAGTTCTATATTTACTATACAGCCAACATCATCCCAACGCCCACCGCCAAATTGTTTAAACCCAAAAGCCCCTTATGCTCAAACTGGTAGTCAATCTTGCAAATTAACTTTGTGATTAGTCCACTAAATGGCTTCCTCTCTAATTCCAGACGAAATTCCGAACGGACAAAAAACACAGAAAAGCCGATTAGTCAAAAAAACAAGAGGATAGTCGTATAAAAGATACGTCAAAAAAATGGCAAGGCTTTTTAAAATACGGGATCTTGAAACATTGTTTCATATAACAGCAGCAACATGAGGATTGAAGAGATGTCTCAAGATCAAATTTTAAAAGTTTTTGGATGGAGGAAGGATTTTTGAAGCGTAATAATCGTATCTAAAAAATGAGATGAAGAATGGATGTAACAAATGGTGACTTTGGAAAACAATAAGTGCCATAAAAAATCTAAAAATCTAATCCGCAATTTTGTTGTTTTTTTTGGATTAAAAACCAAGAAAAATAGACAATAAGGAAGTAAACACAATTTTTTGACTGTCAAAAAGTCTAAATATCCATGATCGAAAAATGCGATAAGGCTATTGAATATCACCTAATTGCCTCACAAATTATCATCAAAACACTGTAAATTACCCCGAAATTACAGTGAAATCAAAGGATTTAATTCGACGACTCCAACAACCCACCGGGAAGTTGTACTATAATTATAAATCCCATTTCCGACGCTATTAACATCGTACTTCTTCCTGAACGGCTTCTTTGGCCTTCTTTTCGGCCAGGTGACTGCAGGAAGTGCATCCGGAAGACTTCAATGAAAACAGAGAACGTCGGTGGGACAATTAATCCCCAACGTTCAAAACACAAAGTATATGGCATACAAAAAGCTCGAGAAATCACAAAATCGCCGCAGTTTTCTTTGAAGAATACCGTTTTTTATTCGATAAACCCCCTTGATGAGCTTAAAAAGCCTTCTGGATAAGTCGATAAGGTGATAGAACGCCTCAGGGAGGATATGAAAAAACATTTCCTCGGCGAAATATTAATCCCCGAATAACGTGATGTTTCGAGGACCGTGATAACACTCCCACACTCTGCTCTTTTCAATGGCTCGTAAATCCGATGAAGTAATCGTTTTTCTGGATTTTAAGTGGGCACAGTTGGCTCTGAATCTATTTTGGAGCAGAGAAAATAAAGATATACGAAATGGAGGCTGTGCAAGGATAGGGGCATAAAACTGGGAATTTCTTGTAGCAAATTTGGTCGAAAAAAATGGTTGTTAAAAAAGTCGCCTTTTGGGGTAAAATCGTCGTTGAAATATTTAGCGATATTCTCGTCATAAAGTCGGCGTCCCGAGTGAATTATGAAAAAAATATAAAGCAATGTTTTCTAAAGACTAATAGAATATTCATACTTGCTAATCGGTAAACAAAATAATTCCCAGAGACACGGAAATGGTTGTTAAAAAAGTGGTGACCCCGAAAATAAGAGTTCTCATTCCTTACAAACTAATGTCAAGGATCGATTTTTCTTGCTATAAATTCTATTTACAAGACCGTCAGCTCTAAAGAAAATAAATCTCCGCTAGTTAATTCTCGCCTTGAATGTTTCTACTCCCAAAAAACTGCATTGCAACGTGTCCGTTGACGTAACTTGAGAAATATGAGACTTTATCGCCCAAGAAACCTCATCTTTACTTTGTTTTGGAGGAAAGCACTAAACGAAAATGCCCAAATGACGAGTTGGAAAATTAATTGGCTTTAATAGACTAACTATCAGTCTGTCGAGAAAATAATGAGCGCAACGTTCAAAAATCGTATCGCCCACGAGAAAATGAATTGTCGAATTTCTTTTCACTTCAGCAAACGATAGCGCAACGACATTTGCTCATTATTTTACCGACAGACTGATAGTACAATAGCTCAAATCTTGGCAAAATAATCACAAGGGACAAAAAATATTCGTTATAGAAGGATTTTGTTCTAGAAAGGTTCTCTTTTTGACCAAAGATTGGCATTTCCGACCTGTAAAATTTTTCTTTATAGACAGAGATTGTCGTCTGAAAATTTGTTCTAGACAGGTCTTACTGTGGTAGATAAAAGTCGCTTTTTTGCACAAAAAAAGCGAAGAAATCACAAAGAAATTTCGCAGATTTCGCAACTCCCGGCTTTCTTCCCTTCTAACAAAATTAGTAATTCCCAGACACATGGCCAAATTTCCAAATTTCTCTTCATTTTTTTGATATGTTTAGAGAGTGCGAACAGAACCCTCAAAGTCCCATCGTTTCCCCGAAAAATTGAAAGGAAATCTCTTTAAAAAACAAGCTGAACAGCTGTACAGTGTGCCTCGAGGGGAATGTCCGGAATCTTGTCCCGACATATCCCTTCGATTTTTCGGAGTGGGAATTCAGCCGGGAATTCGAGAAGAGAAATACGGTTTCAGACCGGAGGATTCGCAAGAAACTTGTAGACGGAGGGGAAGATTTATCTACTGAAGCGATGTAAACAGCATGCCAATATTCGAAAGTCCTACGGTAACTTTGCAGGCCAAGTAAAAATATGAAAAACGTGATTTTACAAAGATTTACCACCCACCAAAAGCCCTCTGGAAATTGGAGAATTACAAGCCGATTAAACTAATTTGTAACCATCACTATTTATAAGATAATTTAAAGATTATAAAGACCTCAAAAGCATACATACACAGGTGAATGTTGACTGTCCTGGGGGTGTAATTTTCTCTTATTAAAAGCTCCATGTGAACTTTGGGTGGGATAATAGGATTGGCGTCAGTTTTCGGGACCAAATAAGGGAATGATTTCACGTAAAGGTTTGTGCCTAACAATAAACCAAAATGAGGGATGATGATGTGTAAAAATAGTGACATATTTTTTATGATGATGTGCAAAAATGGTGACATATCTTTTGGGTTGGGCTTATTAAAAATTATATTATTAAAGACTTGTATCTTGAATAAATGGGATATTCATAGCGTAGACCTCAATTACTGAAAATTTTAGCGTTTTATTTGTTGAAACTGACGAGATATCAGTCTGTTGGGAAAATAATATGGATTCAAATCACTTTGGAATTGACCATAATCGCGTTGCGAAGGCTACCCGCAGCTAGGACTTTGTGAGCGTTTTCGGCAAGGCGAAGGGTTTTGTTACTACAAATCCACATTATTTTCTCGACAGACTGATATTTGGTGATCTCTTGCCGACGAAAGAATACCCTAATTGCAAATGTGAAGAGCGGCAAGAGATGAAAACGCTTTATGGCCATATCTCTGTTAATTTTTTGCAAAATAAACATAAATTTTTGAAGAGACAACCTCTTGTAATCATTTTTTGCTTTCATTTTGTTTCACATTTTAAATCTAGCCTTGCAATAAGGTGCCAAACTTTGCAAAAAATTTATAGAGAATGACTAAAAGTTTCAGTTTTTTCTGAAAAAACCCAATGAATTGCGGTCGTTTCAAACCTACCAGAAAAATTGTCCAGTCTCAAGTAGAGCTCGTACATTTCTAACAATAGAAATAATAAATTTTTCAACAATTTTCAGAATTTTAAAATTCTTTTATTGCTCTCAATATTTATTTGAACACCCAAATCCAAGAGAGCAGTTGAGCCAACAAAGTAAACTCTCACTAAACTAGTATTACTAGATTCCGGCCCTTTATTTGCCCTTCCAACTCCGTTTCACCCCCATATGCCCCATAAAATCCGGGGACTCATCAAAGTAAACATGACCGTATTTCGAGGGGAACAAGAATATTGGAAACTTCGACGCTTCCGTCCTGGGAAAATTCCAATGCCCTGAGGGAAATTTAGACAAAAAAAAACGAATTCAATTCGCAGGGTTCAACAAAAAATTTTTTGCTCAGTTGATGTTGAACCAAGACGTATTTTTAATAATATTCAAAAAAAGTTTAATAAAAGATACGAAGTAAAAATTCTACTATAAAGAGAACGTTATACAAACACACAGAAATTTTTAAAAAAAGAAAAAATTTTGGAGTTTCGCACTGTGCAAAATTTACAACTTTTTGCACTGTGCAAGCCCAATTTTAGCCTATTTTTGGCGCCGCACCGTGCGAAAATCAAAACTTTTTGCACTGTGCGAAAAATAAAAACTTTATGATCCTTGCAAAACATTATGGAAAGATGCCAGTGCAGAATATAATATTTAGAAATTATGAAAAAAGCCCTCGTCCCCTTCAAACTTTTCGTCGTAACATCGAAAGAGCCGAAAATTTGGCCTAAACCGTATAAAATTTCAATGTTTGTTCCAATTTTCATTAAAAATCGAAGCGTTACACCTTTGAGATCTCGAATGCTAACCCCCGTTGGCAATATCAAGCGTTTTGAACCCCTTCCAATCTGGTCTGTCGGCAGGATTGCACTACAGAAGTAAATATTTTCATATTTGCTCTTAAGAAATCTCGAAGAACTCCCACGTACTTTTTATACGCCTTTAGTAAAAATAAAACTGAAAATAAACATCTCTTTGGACTCCTGGGTTTGAGCAGGTAATTGGCAGGAACGTTTTCGGACCATAAAAAAGATTTCTTTCTGCGAAGGCATTTCCGGTGGGCTTGACGAACGAAGCCCCGAAATAGTTTGGTCAAATGTTTAGCGGTAATGATGGCGAAGTTGAAGGCTTTGAATTTTGGAATTTTTAGGAGAGAATCTAGTATTTTGAAGGTGAAAAAAGACATGCGTTACTGAAAATTTTCATTGTCAAATTTAAGATATTTCTTTATAGAAAATCTGCCAGGCTCCTAGCTCACGCTTTTCCAATACTGCCGAGAATTTTTATTAAAAATTTACAAATTATTGGCACTTTCTTGAGAGTCACCCTTTCAAATGATATATAATACAAAATTTATTTGCGTGACGCACAGTGCTTCTACAAAAAAATCAAAACTTCCGTTTGGTGGCAAAATTACTATAAAAATAGTGTTTTTTTGTCTGGCCAACACTCCTCATTCCACGGGCTTACGCCAGATTAATACCGTTAAATTTTTTTTGTCCCCACTAACAAGTAAGAGATGCCAGGTAATCTTCTAGTGAAGACTTGCAGAAGATTATTTTCTCTTTTTCTTAAGACAAATGTAAAATTTTGGAGGAGGTTGACATAACTATTTTAAAATACGCTTAATACTTCCAAATTCATCCTTCACAAACCGCAAAATGCATTGAAGCCTCTGCACAAAGAACCTTCGCCATATTAGTCCGTTCGCAAAGTCGCTGGGGTGATTTTGGCGACATGCATTGTGAGAAAATAATGCACTGCACATTTTGGTTTTTCACAGTGCAATAGGTTTATTTGGGCTGCCGCTAGCACTCTGACTTTCTCTGCACAGCGCCAGAAATCACTCCAGTGACTTTACAAACGGACAAGTCCAAAAAAACCTCTCTATAACAAACATTTTTTGAGATACCAAAAATAAATTTTAGGTCAAAAAATCCCCTTATGTCCAAGTTAGTTTTTTGTTCCTTTACACTTCGTTGTACAGACTCTTAACGGTATCAAAAACCCCCTTCTTATAAGCCAAATATTCCATAAATAAAGAACCCATGCAAGGTGCAAAAACAATGCAAAGAACTCGCTCTATAAACAAGATGATATGGCTGCAGAACGGCTATTCTCTTTTGTCGCCAAATACCTTCCAAACGCCAACATCATACTTATAAAATAAGTTATGCATTCGCGAGTGGAGAGGGATATAAATTTCAAATAAAAAGGAAGACATACACCATCTTTTGAGTGAAATCTCAAGCATTCCGAGTTTTTTCGTTTCAGAAAAACTCAAATGTGGGGGTTTACTTGTTTTCTGATTTATAGGGCTTCCGGGCGTCCCATAATAAGCAAAGAGGAAGGAAAATTTGGATACTATTTATGTTGAGATTCCAGGTAAGATGCAGAATTAAGAATCCAGAAAAAATTTTTGAAAGCAGCTATCGCCATGTCGAAATTGGAGGTTTGCTATAAAACGCTCAAGGCAATATTTCATTATGACGTATGTGCACAATTCCGGCATGTAGCTGATACATTGCAAACCCTTAAAATCAAGTCTTGCACTGAATGGTGTTGATTACGAAAATTATGTTCATTTTCGATGATTTTCACATTTTACTTTCACATAGTGAAGAAGAAATATATGCATGCAATTTTACGCCCGATTCGTCCATTAGTATGTGTGAGCCGGCAGTCAATTGTCTCCTGAGCCGGATCAAGTCCAGCGATGTGGCCGTGAAGACCACCTTGAAGATGTTGACTTTAGTTGAGCGCCAACTCCCCCTCCTAGGCTGCCAGAAGCCTTGGGAGGTGAAGTAGGCCCCCTTTCCCTCCAATATATCGTCGAGACTTACCGTTTCTTCATGGTCTTGTCCGTTCTCAGCGGATTGGGCCTGGGCTGGCCCTCCTGGCGCAGCTCCCGTCCAACCGCTTCCATCTGTGGTCGACCTGATGACTGGCCTTCTCACTGCATGCTCCCTCGTTACGACGTTTACCATTAATGGACCTTTAAATACACCAACTCCAGCAAAACTCCTTCTTCGTACGTATGGGAAACCCACCTCACCGACATCCTCATACCGTCCTGCAAATCCATAATTTTGAGAGATAAACGTGGGCAGCAGAAGTGTTGGAGACTCGTCATCCCAACGAAACAAAATTTGCATTCATCTTTGTCCAACAAACGTGATGACTCGTACAATCACCACATCGTTCTGTTGCGGACGACTTACGTACTGATCAAAACCCAACGAAACTCTCTTCTCTATTTACGGCTCCATATTTTCTTGAAGTACCAGACTCATGGAGTTGTGGGCATCATTAGGAATTTCCCCGTCTCTGTAATCTCGAGCATAAATAACTCTTGATACCACCGCACGTTGATCCACTACCCACGGACGGTGGCTTACGCGGAAGCTTGTTGCAATGCCATTTGGATGGGGGACTACGGCCATTCCCTGAACTCTACATCCCGCCAGAAGCCAATGTATTTTCGGTTGCCTCAGGCAATCTCATGCCCACAGTTAAATGAGAAAAAGAAGCCAGAACCATTGGAGCTGAGATTTTTGCGATGCGGGATCCGATGATAGAATTCAAGGGTCATGAATGTCGTGTATTCCACACAAAGGTCAGCACATACATCAATTTTGTGAGAACTACTTATGGTTCTTATTACTACAATCATGTTCAGCACTGAATGACGCGGATTACGAAAATCATGTTCATTTTCTTTGATTTTCCAGTGGCGCTAAGACCGCTTGACGAAATACGGCAACTTGGGCTTCGTGAGCTTCTGGCAGGAACGTGGCCGGCCCACCATGTTGGAGGAAATGAAACTTGGTCAAGGTTCCGGTTCTGCTCTCGAAGAATTTCCTGTTCTGGTCTCCGTCCACAGAAGTCCATGTTGATTCTCTCTACATCCGAGCCGAGCAGAGGCTTGGGATGACTAAGACCTGGCCAGAAACGGTAATTTTTATGCAAAAAACTCAAAATTGATTTTTTCCTATGTCCCGGGTCCATTACGGGCTGACGCAGCGAGCCAAAAATCGTCTTTTTAAGGAAAGATGGCGCGGCGGATCTTTAGTTCTAATGAAGGATACGATCGTCTGTCTTTGCAAAGGTATCTGCCGGTTTTTCAACCCCGCTGATTTGACGTTCTATAGCCGTCGGGCCGTATTTTATTGTTCGATTTTTTGAACTGTCAATAGCTGTCCCTGATCTACGCTAATAAAGTTCAAACACAGTATTGGCAATTACGCGGTTCCGGGTGTTCTATCAATAAGAACTTCAAGGACACCAATTTTTTCAACAACGTCGTTAAGGTCCTCGTGCCCTGCCTCTCGAGTATTGTAAATCTTGTCGTCACAATCCCAGAGTACGGAACTCCATTGCTTCCTGGCACCTCGTTTATTTCACAGACAACAAGGTGTTGGTCCACAATTTTCGGTCTCAGTAAACCGCGGCGGATCTTGCTCTGAAGTATCAGAGCTTACACGGCGTAGTGCAGTGGAGAAATAAAGGAAACCCCACAATATATGATATCAATATTTATCTCGAGCTCGGCTAACAAACTCAATAAAAACAAAGCACAGCAATATTGTAAAACAATGAGCTAGAGGTTATCCTCTTGGTGGGCGTCCTGGCTGAGGCGTTGATGCCGGCTTATATAGTGCTTGATCCTGGGCGGGGCGACCAGTGATTGTGAGGTTATTCCCATGCGCTCTGTGCGCATCCATCGTAGTTTGGAGTGGCCGCTAATTATAGAGAATTATGGAGCTTCCAGAACCTTCCTGAAAGTTCTGCCCTCAGGCCTCTGTAGAAAAATTTGTAGAATAGGGATAGTTAAGCAATTACAATAGGCACAATAATTACTCTTTATTCTCTCTCACTTCACATCACATATATCACTAACAAAATTCGCTTTAAATAGTATTCTATTGCCGTTTTTTCTACAGGGTTTACAACACAGGATTTTTCTGGATTTTATCGGAATTATTTTTATAACAAGAAAAGGATATTTTTTGCATATTTTTATCGTTGCTGCAGACTACGGAAAATTCTAGAAAAGGCAGGATATAGACAATCAGATAATTTTGGAAAGAAAGGGATTTTTTATCTTTTAATTTTTTGACCTAAAGACTTTTTGATAAGTCTTTTATACCTCCTCGCAGGTGACTCACTGGGTACGAGTCCTCGGTGTCCTTTTTGACTCCTGTAGTTTTTAGGGCCAAAACTAACCGGCCAAAATTAGCGCCTCGGATCACGGAAGGGGAGCGCGGGTCAACCGCGGATCAGGGTTCAAAAACCAGGCCAAGATGTTCCTCAAGACATTCAATGTCTTACTTCGGCGGAAAGGTAACTGCCTCCAACCTGATCATTTACGATGGGCATACATGGCCGCGCCTCCAAAACCAAAAAGCTTGGTGTCGGAAAAAACCACGACAGTGGCTTGCACGTCAAGGGCACCGGTATAGGCTCTCCGTGGCAGGAAGGAGCTGAAAGCAAAATGTCAATGTACAACAGACACGCAAAAACATCAAGACAAGTACAGGGTACGCCAATAAAAGCTGCACTCAAATCTTTGGCTTGCCCTGTGGGCTGCGAATACTCCGGTGGGTTGTTTCTTTATATACACCGAAATTAATTTTGCTTCACTATGACGACTACGCTCGCCAAAGTTGGTTTTTAAAACAAAAGGTCCTTCTCTTCCCCCAAAATCTTCCGCTTAATCAAACACTGATTTTACTGGCGCACTTAAAATATGACTTACCTGAGTTTGCAGCCATATAAGGAGGCACTTCAAATTCTAACACGACTCGTGGCATCCCCAGGCCAGGCGCCAGAAATGGCCCATCAAGAAGCGGGGCGCCACTCAACAGCAGGCTTACGATGTTCTCCGGCGTGGCTTCGATAGACGATGGCTCCATCTATGCTCTAAAAAAAGAGGACGGTTATTACAAAAGATCCCAACATATCATCTGACCTGACACTGATTGGAAGTCCCCCTCTTTTATAGGGACATCATCCGAGATCCGGCCTAATGGCAGGAATCCATTAGGCGCTCCAGTCCCGCATGATATTATCAATCGTCACCTGAAATTATGAAGTGCAAAGAAGCAAAAAGGGCCAGGAAACCAAGCACCGGATAACCTTACCAACCCAGGCAGCAATGATAAGAATTTCGGAGGCGTGGCTTCGATAGACGATGGCTCCATCTATACTCTAAAAAAAGAAGACAGTTAACACATAAAATCCCAACACATCATCTGACCTGACGCTGATCGGGATCGCATGCAACGCATTGCATGCAAGGTTCTCATATTTCCGTTGCATTACGTAGAGATTCATCCCTTTTGTCGAATCTGTCATCAACAATTTCATTGAAGCTAGTTCTCTCAAAGAGAGGGAGCCCTCGGAGGACTGGCGTTCCTTTGAGAACCGATGTTCGGTCGCCTCCTCTACGTCATTTTCTGCGTGTGCTATTTGTTCTTCAAGTTCCTGATTGAGTTGTTCAATTCATGAATTCTCCTCTGCATTGCCGTTCTCTCATCTTCCCAGCATTCTTCAATAGTTCGTTTCCTTTTGCAGAATCTTACGGAATTGGTCCGGATTGGCTCATCTTCCACTTGATTGGGCTCTGGCCTTCCAACAGTTCCTTCAGTTCCATTGTTTTTCTGATCGAAAAATTCCTTCTCCGATGTCGCCGCGACTCCGTGTGCTCGACAATTAATAATTATGGCACTTCGTTGCACAATAATTCGATATGTTGGCAACTCGATGGTGGCCAATTTTTTATTCCAAATCAAACTTGGGTTAATAAACCGAACAAAAATTTGCACGCTATATAACAAAAATAATACAATCGACAATTATATAAAACACTATAAAAAATAAAGATCGAAAAATTATATAAAAATATCAAGACGGCCTATCCTATCCCGATAAATTTGGCCTATCTTCTTGAAATCTATTCAAAGGAAATTTTTGGAGAAAAAAATAAGACGCCACTTTACAGCACGCCTTCAGATATTTTTTCGCGTTGTACGCGACACCGATGAATAAAATATATGCGGGTTAATCCCTTAAGTTTAAAAGCAAAATTATCCGACGGGATTCACTACTATATTTATTATACACACACAATTTATCTAGTAGAATAGATCACTCAATCTATATCTAAGAAAGAATCCATCTGACTTCCATTCTCTTCTTGACCATTCATCTTTTCCAGTGGGCGTGTACACGTTGAAGGAAGTTGAAACCTTTGACTGATGTTAGAGGAGTGCGTTGCAAAGAATATTGTTTTCCTGAATTTCTCACATCATGTCAGGAACATAGTAGTATATTTCCTTGCCCTCCTTTGTTTTGTGTTTGTACATAATTTTCTTTTTTTCATTTACGCGAGTGTCGGGTGTACTGTGATTATTCTTGTGCGGTACTGTGCGTTTTTGAACGCTAAAACAGGGAGGGCATCAAAGACAGCGAATCCAAATCACTCTCTAATTCTTTGAAGCGTCCGAGTTTGAATGCGGTAAGACTATTACGGCATTTATAGCCGCTATTTCACGGTCTAAAAAACAGTGTTTCGAGACATTTGATCATCACGTGACTAGTTGCATGACCGTTCTTATAGCTGCGCATGGAAATCGACAATGTCGAATCTCGACTATGAAGTGATTACAAACAGCATTTGTTGATGCAGCGCGAAAAGTAGTATACTTTTCACGACATTGCGCGGCCTCGCAGAATACAACATCTTAAAATCATTTGCTATTTACGCAGTTTCCATTTATTTGGGTGTTTTATGCACGCCAAATCCAGAAACGAACTTTTTGAATTGGCTTGTCGTTAAATAATTTATGGGAAAAATTAGTTTGAAATTTTCCATTTATTTTTCCCAGGGCTTCACAAATCCCAAACCCCAAGCTCTGGTTCAAGTTAGGGGTTTTGAAAAGCCTAAATTTAGGTGCAAGTTGTTCAGGTCTAAAAAAATCTTATGTTAGGTTTCAGTTCATAAGAATTCATAAACCGAGTTGTGACGAAAAGCCAAATCAAAAAAATTCGGGTCCGACTTCAGCGAAGCAGACTTGGCCATATTTACATCCGCTCGTATTCATCGTTCCGTCTACCAATTTTTTATATTCATGATTGTGAATTTTCTTCCGAATTGTCATCTTTTCTATGGAGGTCGCGTTGAGAAAAATCATTGATATTGTAACTTCTGTTCCCAATAAATTAAGATCGACAAAAAAAATATCCTTGTTTTTACCATCAATTAAGTCTGGGGATGAAACATATACAGTGCGCGACAAAATTATAACCGCACTTTAGAAATTGCTGTAACTTTTTTGGTTGCCAATAGAAATGTGTCATATTTGGCACCAATATGCACTAGTAGGCTACGAATCATGTGCCAAAATATTATTTCGGTAACTTTTCCCAATTTGAAAAAAAGTTGAAAAAACCAAAATTTTGGTGATTTTCTATGCGACAAAATTATAACCGCACTTACGGATTTGGCTAATTGGCCTAATTAAACCACTGAATAACAATAACTAATGTTTAGCTACGTTTCCTGAGGCTTCAATAACGTCATTTAGATAGCCGGGAATACTCTGGGTTAGCTTTTTTAACCTCTTACGGCTAATATTGTGCCAGAATCGGGAAACGAGGGATTTCGGCTCACAAGGGAAGTCACTTTTTTCGCAGACGGACTTTGGAACGGCACCTAGTAGGTTTCAAACGTGAAGCGTCTGCGATCATAAAACTGATTTCCAAAAGTGTTTACGGGGCTTCTCGGCCGAGAAAATCGACCACAAAGTTTAGCCGAAATGAGCGAATAGCCTCCTCAAAAGAAACAGCTTATTTCATCTGCAGTGGTGGCCGAGTGGTCAGCGCGCTCGCTTTTTGCGCCAGAAGACGTGAGTTCGACTTCGGTCGTCTGCGGATGCATTTCTTTTGACAATTGAATCAAATAGAGAGATGCCGTTAACATCACATATCCTAATTATTAGCAATTTTTAATAAAACACAAATTTAGAAAGTATATCTTCATCATCCCAGCCCTGTTTTGACTTTACAATATTCATGAACATTCAGCTTTGAATTTATGTTTAAATTACTGTAAAAAATTACAAAAGTGTATACATTCTATGTTTACATACTAAATCAATATTTACGAACCAAAAAAGAAAATAAACTGCGCAAGGGATCGAACCCGCCTCTTCTGGCACAAAAAGCGAGCGCGCTGACCACTCGGCCACCACTGCAGATGAAATAAGCTGTTTCTTTTGAGGAGGCTATTCGCTCATTTCGGCTAAACTTTGCGGTCGTTTTTCTCGGCCGAGAAGCCCCGTAAACACTTTTGGAAATCAGTTGTATGATCGTAGACGCTTCAGGTTTGAAACCTACTAGGTCCCGTTCCGAAGTCCGTCTGCGAAAAAAGTGACTTCCCTTGTCAGGTAGGCCGTTCGGACAGAGGTTGCCAGTAACTAATTGACTAACGCAGAAGCCTATGACACATCTAAACGTTCTGGTAAAAAAGGTGTGCCACTGCAGCAGAGCAAAGGCAGGTATATCCGCCGAGCTTCCAACTCCACCATCCCTTGGGCTCATATAAAGTAAGAAATAGGCCTCACTTGTAGCAGGAAAGCTATGCTAAGGGTTGCAAGACACAGTTACGTCAACAGTGGGCGTCACATGAAGTTTTGACCGCAGCTGGCCCGGGTTCACGGCAGTGCGCGACCGAGATTTGCCAAGGTGACATTGACATAACTGTTTGATTGGTCAGAGGTCAGAATCACGCCGTTACAGAAACGAATTCCTTGGATATTCTACAGCAAAACGATGCCCCTGACGGTTTTCCACATTACACATATAACTGGCGTAAAATCAGAAGGGAACAGCGCTACCTCTCGCACCTTAATGCTGGAGGTGGCTCGTTGATGACTTGGGGTGCCTTCGAAGAAACCGGAGTGCTTCCGTTGTAGGCCGCATCAATTCAAATGAAGAGACAGGAGTATCAGGAGGTCTTTGGCAAGCATCTGGTGCCGTATTGGGAACCAGGCTACACGCAAATGCAGGACAATGACCGCATCCACCTTAGCTGGTCGACAAAGCAGTTCCTTGAAAGGCAAAGAATTGCTACCCTGGACTTGGCTGCATGCTCCTTTGATTTGAATCTGATAGATAACGTGTGGGGCTTTCTGGTTCGTGAATTACACTGCAACAGCAAGCAGTATATTGCAGTAACCGAGCTCAAAGAGGCTCTTTTCCGATTGTGGAGCAATATTAGCCATAAGAGGTTAAAAAAGCTAGCCCAGAGTATTCCCGGCTATCTAAATGACGTTATTGAAGCCTCAGGAAACGTAGCTAAACATTAGTTATTGTTATTCAGTGGTTTAGTTAGGCCAATTAGCCAAATCCGTAAGTGCGGTTATAATTTTGTCGCATAGAAAATCACCAAAATTTTGGTTTTTTCAACTTTTTTTCAAATTGGGGAAAGTTACCGAAATAATATTTTGGCACATGATTCGTAGCATACTAGTGCATATTAGTGCCAAATATGACACATTTCTATTGGCAACCAAAAAAGTTACAGCAATTTCTAAAGTGCGGTTATAATTTTGTCGCGCACTGTATGTATGTATTATAAAATGTAATATATGGTAATATATGGTAATATATAGAAACAATTTCTGGTATTTAAATTATTTTTCGAATATATGCAAAGCTTATTGTAATATGTGTTATATTGCATAGTAGTATAATATATTATTATGTAAATACATATAATTTACAAAATCTCAAAAAATCGAATTTCAACCACAACAGAAAAACGAATTATAACAGTAGTTTATTATACAGAGGCTCCACTCACCCAAAAACTCAAAAACAACTTTAATTAATCACGGGCCAGCTACAAAAAAAAATTCGGCCAGAAACGGAGCGGAGCCTTCTGTACTCTCCGCTTCTTAGCCCGATCAAATGGCCAGATGTCCTGATCAAGGCACGCGATAAGACCATTAGACACTGGACTTTTGGAGTGAAGAAGAATCTGTTTGTGTCGCAATTGGACACTTGAAATCAGAAGAATTTTATTCGGGCCAAAAAACGCATTTGTTTTCAGGATTATCTCTGATTTTTTTGGTTAACGTGGAAGGTGAATTTAGAAGTGAAAGGTCTGGTTTCGTCCCAAAATTTTGATTATTTTTTACAACGCATTTCCTACCCGCGTCCTTCAGAACAGCCAAGATTTTTTCGTTCAAAATTTCATTTAAATTTGACAGTTTTTCTTCGAGCTTGCACATATGCTTAAAAAATTAACTTCAACCTCTTTCAAATTCAAATAAATATCTGTTTAATCAATAAATTACCCATAGAACTGTGATATCTCATGTACAACAATAAAAAATCCCGCCATTTCGACAAGATTACTGCAACTTTTTCTTCTCCCTTCTCTCCTGTTTTTTCAAGTACGCGTTGACGAAGAATTCGACAAACAACACAGCGAAAGTAATGTAAATCAGGAAGGCCAGGTACAAGTTGGCCATGCTCTGTTGGCAGGGGACATTTTTGTAGACTTTCAAGTAGTAGACAAAACAGGTCACAGCCACTCCCAAGAACATTTGAGTCGTCTGGATTGAGGTCACACACATGGAGACCCACTTGGGCAACCGCTTGCCCAACGCGCAGTAGGCGTAGTAGGAGTACATGAAGGCGTGGGCAAAGTAGTTCATGGTGATGAAAGCTTGTCCTGGAGCGGTGTGCTCGGCTCCTGAAATTGGGGTTTTAGGAAGATCGCTTCAAATTTCAAAGTATTTATTATTTTCTAACACTCATGCAAGATTTCTAGCTAGCCTTTTTTCAGAAAGAGCCGAAATATTATATTTTGATCAAGATTTGTCAGAAAACTGTCACTTTTTTGCGAGTTTTGATGACCAATTTTTTTCATATCAGCTACCAATACGGTTTACATTCTCTCCCCAAAAAAATCGAGATTTTCAGGAAAAAATGAGAAAGTTATGGACAAACGCTGTTTTTTGTTTGACCGACTCCCCTCATTTCGTATGCTCTCTCGGAAAGAAAGAGTGAAATTGCATACAGCTCTCACACTAGCATTAAAAATCACCCTCTAAAACTGTGAGCTCGAATTTTTAGCAGCAGGCGAGAAGACGGTCTAATTTGAGAGAGAGAGCATGCGAAATGAGGAGAGTCGGCTAGTTTAAAAAACGAGTTTCTTCAATAACTTTTCTGCTTCCATAAGAAAAAATGGGGGTTTTTGTTAATGCATTGTACAGCACACAATCAGCCTGTCGGAAAAATAGTGAGCGCAAGCCGTGTCGCTGCGCCAATCGTGTCGCTGAATTGAAAAGCAAATTGATTTTGCCGCGACACAATTCATTTTCCCGGCGGCGATGCGATTTTCGATGCGACAGAGCGCTCACTATTTTTCCGACAGACTGATAGTAAGTTGGTCTGAAATTAAACTTTTTAACAATGCTTGAGCAAAGAGGTCTCTGCGATCTTCAAAAATTAACTTTGTAGATACATAATAAGTTTCAGAAAATTATTTTTATGTAAAATACGACGTCCAGTACCACGTCTAACAAAAAAGTGTTTCTTACCTGAATGAACAGTATAGACCAGAACCGCGGCATGATGATAATAATGCAAGAAGATCAATGGTTTTTTCCTCAACACAATAAACAGAGTGTCGCCGAGCTCGACAATTTTTGAAATCGCAAATGCCAAACTCCAGAAGGCCGCAACTCCATCTGGATTACAGGAATGGCATAACGAATATTCGAGGCCATTATTGTACCAGGCGACAAAAAAGTCCTAAATTTTTTTTTGTAAAATACGCATTGAGAGGTTAGGTCGATTTAAGTTATAAAATCGATGAGAAAAGATTACAGCAGAAATTGCAGCGCTTCAAAAGCATTTTTAATTTTAATTACAGCAACAATTATCACTTTCTTACCTCCGCAAACCTAACAAATCCGGCGATACTGAACAACGCCAACCCAAAATTCCAGAAGAATAATGGCCGCTGAAGAACGAACGCCTCTCGATTCCTCATAATACTTTGAATCACTCTGATTGCAATGTAGTAAACAATAGATACAGTAATGGAGTGTCCCCAGTAGGTTTGAAACAATCGGGTCCATCCCACTTTGTCATGGACTTTTTCAAATGGCAATTTATAGCTGCAAAAAGAGGGGATAAGTTTGGGTGATACTTGAGAAAGCGGCCAAAAGATAACAAAGTTTTTTTTTGGAAAGTAGCTACAGTGGGGGACTTATCCAGTGGAAAAAACGTACCATTTTGCACCTGGGAAGTATCAAAAATGTGGCAAAATACCTCCGTCTCCAAGTGAAAAAAATCCGATTTCAAAGGCGCGCCCTTCAAAACCAAGTTTTTTTCACTCGGAAAAGGAAGCATTTTGCCACATTTTTAATGCTTCCCGGATGCAAAATGGTACGTTCTTTGCCACTGGATCAAGTCCGTCACTGTAAACGCATCAGTCTTCATAAAAAAAACTTTTTCTAGGAAAGATGTAGGAAATTTCAAAGTCCTCAAAAAATCTCAAAAATTATCAATGATCATTTTGAAAAGTATCAAAAAGTATCCTCCCCAAAAAAATGTGGAGTAAAATGTGATTTTTTGAGAGAAATTTCACAAAAAAATTGTCAAAAGTTATCATTGATAATATTAAAAAGTATCAAAATGACTCATTATTCCTATTTTTTAATGTTTTTGTCGTATGAAGGGTCAAGCACAAAATCGAAATTTCTTTTCAGAGGGTGTCAAGTACTTTTTGACCCAAAAACCTCCAAAAAAACTCGAAAAAATTGTTGATTTTTTAGAATTACAGTAACCCCAGAAAAAAATTCCAAAAAATTTAATAACCTACGAGTATTCGTAATCATGATGCAGTGTGGTCGACTGATTGTCCTTGTAGATGTTGAACTCGTTCAACCCGAACAAGGTCTCCATCTCTGGGGAATGGCGTCAATCCTTCAATTTGTTTTTCAAAAATCGCCTGCAAATCGAGGTTAGCCTCCGCAAAGCGGTCGTAAAGCCCGAAAACAGCGGGATTATGGAGCCTTGACTCCTTCGAACTGGATCTTAACCATGAATTCAGCGAAGTCAAATAAAATCCGAACGAAATCAACTGGTTTCGAGAGTTTCTTACGCCGCAACATTAAATCCGCGCCTTTCGATCATGGATAAGGTCCGAAACGTGATAAAAACTTTTTTGAAACAAATTTTTTTACGATGAAACCTCTCTATAGTGAACAAATGGAAATTGAAACACATTTCAAAACCAAAAGTAGCCCCTTTACATCGAATATTTTCTATAAAAATCGAAATTTTTGACCGCTATGCGGTTTGTCCGACCGAGTTAGAAAGAATCACAATGTAAGTGCGATTTCCGCTCGTCGATTACCCCGATAATTACCGCACAAAGGCGAAACTCAGCTTCTCTTATAGAGCCCCCCACTACGGGCGAACAAAGATCCACAAAAGCAGCGACAAATCGTCGGCAAACCCCTTCCGAAAATTGAAACGTAACCTCTTCGGAGGGAATGGCAGCCGCCGCCTTCTCGATCGCCGACTTCTCGCCGCCATCCTTCATTAGAATCCACGAAAAAGGGATTAGTTTTGAACGCGGTGGAAGGAGGAATGAAAGTCCACCACCGGGGCTTACTTTCAATCTTCCACTGGAGAAGATTGGAGGAAAACATAACGGTTTCGAGGGGAAAGCAATCCGCCCACATCCTAGAGCATATCCTGGAGCCTGCTGAGGAATTTCAAACCAAAAACAGCTCAGAAATTTCTTTAATTTTCTAGTGTTTTTTATATTGTACATGAGGAGAAAATTGGAGGAAAACTCGGCAATTTCGATGAAAAACAAAGCCAGATAAAATTGAATTACACTTCTTATGACTCCTCTAACACAACAATTTTAAATCATACAAGCTATTATATCGCCCATCATATAACATATTATACTTGACAAACAAAGTGGAAAAGCCCTAAAATTCTTTAAGGAAAAGGCAATCTGAACTTTCAAAAACATCTCCTCAAAAAAAGCAAGCTTTTGCAAACGCAAACCATCAAAATTTCTAACCAAAACTGCCCGTATTACCCATCAGAGGCTAAATCAACAGTTTATTTTAGAACTTTCAACCGGAAAATTAACAACAACCGATCAAAACTTAGACCTTGTTGAAGGCAACAACGTCAACGGACTGAACCTCGTCTTCATATCCGGTGATTCTCTCCTCAAGATCATCGGAAGACACCTTCTCGTCTTCAACAACACACATGAGCTGGATCTTGTTGACTCCGTAGGCGATAGGGAGGATCTTGTGAGCTCCCCAGACCAGACCATCCATGGTCACTTCGGACTTGATCTTCTTGACCAAACTGTCGAGATCAATGGTGTCATCCCAAGGCTTGATGTCGTAGATAATGTTGGACTTGGCGATCGGTCCGGGCTTCTTGGACTTCTTCTCGGCGTAGGCCTTCAGACGCTCTTGCTTGATTCTCTCCTTCTCGGCGTCATCCTCCTCTTCGTCGGAGCCAAAGAGATCGAAGTCGTCGTCCTTGGCGGCTGGGGCAGCTTCGGCGGAAGTTCCGGCTCCGGAGGACCAGCTAAAATAATACAAACGTCATTTGAACAACTTAATTAGCAAGAAGATAGTTCATGCAACCCACTAAATCGTAGATTTATAACATTCATTCAAAAAAAGTAAACTAAATTAGGCCAAAAAAATATTCTCCATGTGGTAATGCACAAATTCATTATCTTTTGATAGCCTCGCAAATTTAGTATAAATACAAACATAAAACAATTGAATTTATATGAAGAACTTACGCCTTGCGCTCGGCTTCAGTGAAAGAAGCGATGTTTCTGTACCAACGAGCAACAGCTATGGGCTGAGTTGGGGCCTTCTTGAAGACGGCAAAAGTGGCGGCATCAGCGGCAGATGGCTCATATCTGAAAGAAATTGACCATTAACCTTTCTCAGCAAATTCTTCAGTTGATCCGCCGCAAAAATCCTGATCTAAAACCAAAAAAAACAGCAAAATTGCAAAAAATTACCCTTCAACATAAGCGAATTGCTGGAGCTTGGTGTTCAGCTCGGCAACCTGCTTGGTGTTGGATGCATCGGTGATGGCGGCCATTGTTGACGTGTCAAACCTTTTGAACAAGCCTTCAACGAGATAAAACAAGATTTTTACGAGAAAATACCGTAAGAACTTAGTTTTCTTTGCTTTGAAACGAAAACAATTATTGGCATTCTGCTGCAGGTCAAGAAATTATTTATTTTTTACAATTTTCCGAAGTTTGTGATTTCGAGACTCTCGATGGTTCCTTTGCGCTTTTGTTTGTGTTTTTCGATGCATTACGAAAGTTGTCTCGCTATTTTTTTGTTCGATATCAGACTCGACTAAACCAAGGTCTAGCCCAATTTTTTCTGTGTTTTCGAACCCTCTTCTGATTCTTATCAGCCATAACTTGGAGATTATGATCTTTGCGGGTGTGTCTAGTGTTCTGTGCGTAAAACGCATTGTTTTATTGGGGTATCTGATCATTACACTTGACGTCTTAGTGTGTCTTGTGATTTTTGGTGATTTACTGATGATGCTTTCGGTTTTTACTCATGACCTTGACACAAAAATTTGTCTCTCGTGTTAATTTTACCGAACTAATGAGTCTTGCTTGCTTTTACTTTCTTTTCTTTCGGAAGTTTGCAATTTCTTGTTTGAAGTTAGAAGAAAGAGGAAGGAAACTTTGTTTGATTGAATGATTCACTTTTAATATGATATTTCGTTCTTAAACTAGATGTCTGGTACACTCTGGCATCTGAAAACGTTTTTTTTTTTCTTGTTTTTTATCAACCTTGATTATACTTTATGTCAATATAAATAAATTTCTAATTTCAGGCCTAAAATGGTACAAGTGGCGGATATTCTTGAAGTTGGACCATGGGACGTCGTTCTCCTTGCCTTCCTTGGATATTTGATTTACAGATTCTTCTTCAAAAAGCAGCCAGAAATTGATTTCCCCAAAGCCCCACCTCGGCTCCCACCTTTGGACATGAAGGATATGACACTCGAAGAGCTCCGTCCTTATGACGGTGTGCAAGACGAGAGGGTTTTGCTCGCTGTTTGCGGAAATGTAAGTATTTTTTCATTCTTTGTTGGAGTTTTAGGAGAAATTGAAACCTGATACTTGACGGTCATGGGGAATTTATTTTTGGGCGAAATTGCCAAAGATCACATAGAACTTTACCCCCTAAAGTTGAAAAGCTTTAAGGAAATAACAATAGAGCTTGTGTATCATTTTGAGACATTCTATTAACCAGTAAATTTACTTATTCGTTTTTTCTTTTAGATTTATGATGTGACCCGCGGAAAGGACTTCTATGGCCCTGGAGGACCTTATGAGAAATTGGCAGGCCATGATGCCACCAGAGCTCTCGCTACCTTCGATGCCAAGGCCGTCAAGGATGAACATGATGATCTCGAAGGTCTAACTCAGGATGATTTGAACGATGCTAAGGAGTGGGACGAGAAATTGAGAGGTAATTAGATTTTAGAGTTTTAACGGCCTTTCCGAGTCTTTTTATCTCAAAGATTTTTGTATTTTACACCGAAATTTCAGTCAAATACGAATTTGTGGGCAAACTTCTGAAACCGGGCGAGAGTCCCACCGATTACGGAGATCGCAAAGCCGCTATTCAATAGACCTAAAATACGAGGTACCGTTTTCACTTTTTTCCCCACTTTTGCATTCCCAACCCATAATACGAAGTTGTAAAAATTTTGTTTAATAAAATTTGATAAAAATAATTAGGATAATATCTCGGTCCGAAAATAATTATATCAGATATGTGCCGATTACAAAAAGAAAAGGGAAGAAACGGAGAGAAAATGGTTGAGAATTTTTTGCGTTTGTTCGGCCAATTTCAAATTAAATTAGTGGAAAGTTGTGCGCGGGATACGAACAGAAGACCGGTAAGAACGTTTTGTTTTTGGTGTGACTAGAAATCGGGATTCAGAGAGCATAGGGAGTTGATATACCGGCGATGGGAGTGGATCTGAAATGCGGATTTTGTTCTAATTTTGGATTTTTTTAAAATTAGGCCGATGATCCCAAAAAAAATGGGATTTTTTGAGATGAACATAGAATTTTTGGCCTCTCATACCTTGATAAATATTTTATATTACAAAAGTATGACAAGGGTAGACAAAAATTTTGCCAAAATGGCCAAATTTCCCCATTACTTGTCAAAAATTAGACCCAAAACAAGATCCACCCGCACCGCGGCACTGAGAACATTATATGTAAAGAAAACGGCCAATGAAACGACGAAATGGAATGTACAATAAACGTAGACAAGACCCAAAATTCAAATGCCCGAGTCCACGGACGAGGCGCGATTCAAAAACATCCGATTCACGGAGCCGGGCCGATCGTTCTCGTTGAGCATGGGGTCGTGGTTGATGCCGTAGATCTTGATCGCTTTCCGGCCCATCCGCTGCAGCAGCTCCACGCTGACGCGGTGCGCCGTCCGCAACGAGGTGTGCCACTCCTTGAGCGAGATCTCGTCCTGCAAAATTCGGGATGAATCGTGTAGTTTGATGGTAATTAAATTGGGAAAAAGTAATGTTTTTTTGTCTAAAAATAATGTGGAAAAGCACTCACCTGATTTGTTAAGATAATTTTGTTTTCTTTAAACCCGTCACGTAATCGAATTACAATCGCATTTTCACCTTTGACCTGTTGCAGATCGGCCGAGACCTCTTCGATTTGGTCCATGAATACCAACTGAAAAAGAGGGAATATTAGAAAAATAGAAGTTCAAATATATTATTAAGTTGTTTATTATTCAATTACAAGTGTTTGAAAGGCATTTTTCGCACTTTTTTATATTATTTTAGACAGTTGATAGGCTAAAAATCGCGGTGCGAAAATCTAACATAATCAATTTACTGAACGCTTTGAAAATTATACGAAAATACTGGCTATTACATCTATTTTGACGATTACTAAACTTACATCAGGTTTTCCTCCCAGGTTCTCCGCATAGATCTCAAATCGACTGGGATACAGTTTCCCGTATTTGGTCTGCCACGCCGACGTAAATGGGCCGCCCAATTTTTTGATATAGCCATGTACAATAACATCCGAGTCCTTCTCATCCGCCGTCAGTTTGGCCTTTTGTTTGCTCTTCTTTTTCATCTCAATCTTGTCCGCATCCTGGTTTACGACGTCGAACACAGTCTCGGCAATCTCGTTTTGCCATCTCTCCGAGATGGTGATATTGAAGTTCTTGTACATGTCGGCGTCGGTCTCCGCCAGCTTGACTCCTTTGACTTCGTCGTCGTCGAAATTCCCAATGTCGAACGCGTCAGCGGCGTTGACTTCACCTCGAGGTGGGATCAACGGTGGGGTCATTCGTCGGAGGTAGACGACTTGCCAGTCGACGCCTTTGAAGAAGGGATGAGTTCGGACTTCTTCGGCGCCACGACCGCGGCAGCCGAGGCGTTCGTGGACACTCCGTTTTAGGAGGCCTTCTAGGAGATCGCGGCATTCGGTGGTGAATCCTTGATCGGGTAGTTCGATGTCTTGAGTTAGCGTCATCTTGTCGATCTCGTTCTTGTCTTGGCTCTGAAAAGGCGCAGGTAACAGTGGTTCATGGGGAAAGAGTGATGAATTCTCGATGATTAGAGAATTCACCATTCTTTTTGCATCAGACTTCAGTGGGGGACCTGATCCAGTGGCAAAAACCGTACCATTTTGCATCCAGGAAGTATCAAAAATGTGGCAAAATGCTTCCCTCTCCAAGTGAAAAAACTCCGATTTCTAAAGCGCGCCCTTCAAAACGAAGTTTTTTTTCACTTGGAGAGGGAAGCATTTTTCCACATTTTTGATGCTTCCCGGATGCAGAATGGCACGTTTTTTGCCACTGAATCGGGTGCGTCACTGTACTTGTGAATTTTGATTTGATCCTCTAAGAATGATGAATTCTCGACGATTAAGAATTCTTCATTCTTTTTGAATCAAATCCCAATTCGATTTACTTACCACTTTGCTCTTATGCTGTCTGAACGGCGAATGTCCCTTCAACAGCTTGTATAACATACAGCCGAATGAAAACCAGTCCGCGGAGGAGTCGTAGGCCACACCTTTGGCCAAGACTTCTGGCGCCATGTATCCGTGAGTTCCCACTGACGCATGTGGCTTCTTTTTTGAGAAATCACAGGCCAAACCTAAGTCGGAAACACGAACATGACCATTTTCGTCCAGCAGGATATTCGCCGGCTTGAGGTCTCTGAAAATTGAGAATTGAGCGGATGCGTAAATAAATCTATTTTTCCGTTTGTCCTTTTCGCTCAAATGGAAGAGAAATCGTGATTGTTGTACTTACCGATAAACAACCGATCGATTATGCATATGCTCCAAGCCCAGGATGACCTCCGCTGCATAGAAAATGACTTCCTGTTCGGTGAAAATGCCATGCTGACTTAAATGGTAATGCAGGTCGCCGCCATTCATGAGATCCAAAATAAAACAAAGCTTGTCCGGCGTCTGGAATGCATACGTCATGCAGACAATGAATGGACAGTCCTGTCCGGTCGAGACCAAACTCAACATGATACGTTCGTTGAGGGCGAGGGTTTCGCCCTGCTTCAGTTTGATACGCTTTTTGTCCAAGCATTTCATGGCGTACCTGAAAATCGGGTAGGATAAAATAGGGGGTATTACAGTGAAGGACTTGATCCAGTGGCAAAAAAACGTACCATTTTGCATCCGGGAAGCATCAAAAATGTGGCAAAATGCTTCCCTCTCCAAGTGAAAAGACTTCGTTTTGAAGGGTGCGCCCTTTTTCCCTCACAAAAAAGAGCGGACGCGCTTTTGAAATCGGAGTTTTTTCACTTGGACAGGGAAGCATTTTGCCACATTTTTGACGCTTCCCGGATGCAAAATGGTACGTTTTTTGCCACTGGATCAGGTCCCCACTGTAAATGTGTCATAATACAGTGCAAACTCTGCAAAACGGAACCTGTCTAGAACAAACAATTTTAGAATCCCTAACAAAGTTGCTCAGCAAGAATAAGGCGAACATATTTTGCTCTTACATTTTTCCCGTATCCGCTTTCCTGCATCCGTAGACCTCGCCGAAGCCTCCTCGCCCAATGATTCGATGGACTGAGAAGTCGTTCATTGTTAGCTGCATGTTCAACTCGAGATTCTTCCACTGGCAAAACCGCGTGAACTTTTCGGACTCCAAGAATTTGGGAAAGACATCTTCCTTTAGCTGCTCACAAATTTCGGTTACGTAAGGCTGAAAGCAAAATTTTATCGAGTAAAAATTATTGGTATCAAGAATATCGAGGACGTATTTTACATACCATAAAGAGATCAGGTGGAACAATGTTTTTCATCAAGTTCTTCTGTACATGTTGTAACGATTCTTTTGTGTAGTGCTGAAAATCCATAGTTAATAGTTGAAAAATTTACTTCGCTAGTTCGCCAGAGGGCTTTATTACGTAAAAGCTTTGTGGTTTCTCACAAAACAGAACACACTTACATGGGAATGAGCCAGCATTTCCACCATAATATGATGATCATAAATCTCACGGGCTTTGGATAATCGCTCTTCCGGCGTCTCCAATTTCTCATACTCTTTGATCTAAACCCGTTGTGTAAAAGTATGACCGTTCAAAGTCTTACCGCTTCATAGAACTTGATCTGCGGACATGAGGTCTCGGAGACGTTTTCGGCGAAATCTTTGAGGAGAAGAAACCCCAATCGCTGGTTGAAGATCTTCTCAAAGCGAATCTCACCCGTCTTCTCCAAGTATTTCTGCATTATACTCCGTACACTGGAAAGAGTTTCGTAATTTTTTTGATTAGAGATAAACGCATTGATCCAGTGGCAAAAAACGTACCATTTTGCATCCGGGGAGTATCAAAAGATAGCAAAATGCCTCCATCTCCAAGTGAAAAAAACTACGGTTTCAAAAGCGCGCCCGCTCTCTTTGTGGGGGAAAGGGCGCGCCCTTCAAACCGAAGTTTTTTTCACTTGGAGACGGAAGCATTTCGCCACATTTTTGATACTTCTCAGATGCAAAATGGTACTTTTTTTGCCACTGAATCAGCTCCCCCACTGTAGACTAGGGTAAACGCGTACCTGGGATCTGGAAGGATGATCTTCTTGGAAGCTCTGGCCGCCGGCTGACTTCGGCTCTTCTCCATGGCCATGAGGTAGGAGACATCGGCCAATACGGCCTCCAAATCGGCCATCTTGACCGATCCAAGCGTTTACCGGGGCGACGAACCGAACACGGCCAGGGTTCTGGAGAGTCATGTTAGTAAAAGGATAAAGAAGCCTTTGAAAATAAGTGTAAAACACGCGGCCGCATATTTTAATATAATGGTCTAAAAAACATGACATGTGTGTAAATAAGACACTATTGTCTAAGCATAAGAATCTGAGCCATTTTCAGATACTGTTTCCACTTTTTCTATATAGTAAATTATACTCCATTCCCCCCGAAGGCCTGAAATATTTTTTATATCTCAAAAAACGGGTCTCGTATTCCAAAAGCAACAAAGACTGCATTAGTATGTTGAAATCAAGAAAATGTGTCAAAAAAAGGCAAAAGAGAGAATTTTTTTTATGAAACATTGGGAAAGCCAGCGGGACAAAAATAAATGCAAAATTAGCGCTGAATACCCGGCCAGATTGTTGTTGGGTGGATAATATCACGCGGAGATCGTCTTCGGGCGAGAAATGCTCAGATTTAGCAGGGTCTTTACAGTTTTTATAAAAAATGGGGAAGAGGGGGTTGGGACAATAAACGGCTAATCGAATGGAACAGCCTTTGGCCCCATGACGAGGAATATAAGAGAATAAAGAGCATTCGAACAGGTTGGGCATCAGAATGTATACGTGTAACAAATATAGAGCAGTTCAAAATATAAAAAAGAAACTAGAAATCGGGCTACAGTGGAGGACCTGATCAAGTGGAAAAAAGGTACCATCTTGTATCTGGGAAGTACCAAAAATGTGGCAAAATTCTTCCCTCTCCAAGTGTAAAAACTCCGATTTCAAAAGCGCGTTCTTCAAAACGAAGTTTTTTCACTTGGAGAGGGAAGCATTTTGCCACATTTTTGATACTTCCCGGATGCAAAATGGTACGTTTTTTGCCACTGGATCAGGTCCCCCCTCTACTTATGTTAGAAATAAAACACGAATAAAACGTCGCATTTTTGCCATCATTGTATGGTATTTTCCGTACCGATCACACGTTTATATAGGATTTCGCCTCTCGTTCTATTATTTTGACCATATCGCTTGTCTGGAAGTCAATTTAAGCGATTATTCACGGTCTAGAAGGTCGAAAGAAAAAATAAATTTGGCTTGTTTTTTGAAGAATGGGAAAATTGAGCGCTTTCTATGTCCGACATTAAGGTTTTAGGGGTTGTAAATTATTATAATGGAGAGAGAGTAATTGTAAAAACCAAAATATTCGGGGAAAACAGTGAAATATGGTTCTAAAAATGCAAGGGTTTGTTTATTTTAGAAGGGATTTGTTGCACAGGGGCTTATTTTAGATTCCAGAAAACATCTGCCTCGTTACAGTGAAATCTTTCTATTACTAGTGCTTCCAGAAAGTCGCCGGACTGATTTTTGGCGTTTGCACTGTGCGAAAAAAGTCAGGGTGCGAGCGACAGCCCAAAAAAGCCTGCACGGTGCAAAAAGCAAAAAAATGCAGAGTGCAAAGAAAAAATTTGTTTTCGCACAGTGCAAACGCCAAAAATCAGTCCGGCGATATGCATTGTGCGAAAACAAAATTTTCTTTGCACTTTGCAATTTCTGGCTTTTTGCACCGTGCAATAGGCTTTTTTCGGCTGTCGCTCGCACCCTGAGCTTTTTTCGCACAGTGCAAGCACCAAAAACCAGTCCAGCGACTTTCGGGAAAGACCAGAGTATTATAAACATATTCTTCAGTTTCGTAATACTGAATCTCGACTATACTACGTGCCGTTTCGCGTTTTCTGTAACCCCAGTTACTCCAAAATTCTACTCCTTCACCAGAACTCTAAAGCCTCGCCGTTGTCCGCATCGTAGACTCCACTCGGCGGAGTGTCATCATTTTTCAATGTTTCAAAGGAGGTCTGATTAATCACCATTTATAATTCGCTAAACTCCGTCTTCTTCGCCGGAATCGGTTTTTACGCAATTATAATGACAATAAAACCGCCGCTGGCTTATGAAAAGGAGGGAGAATGTTTTGGAATCGAAAAATGAATGCATATTCGGTTAATGATTCCTTTCGTATTATGCGGAGCAATAGAACAGAAAGGTTGATGGGCTGGCTCCTTCATGCAAGGGTTCAGATTCTTTGACCAATTCGAAGGTAACGAAGTAAAGTCAAAGCATAGAAATAGCCGTAAACCGCTGTTACTTCGGGAAATACATGATATTTTTCTGAAAAAACTCCCTCCAACCTACTACGTTACAACTACAAAAGTGAGCGTCAAGCACGTACGAATTGAGATGGAACTCTGAAAAATGCCACCCCACTTTAGTGAGCCCTTACAAGACGTCTCAAAAGACCACATTACTAGACGCATCATAAACCCCCATAATTATTCTAAAGAACCACACTGGTGCCATATTTATATTCGGCCTTTTCTTCCAAAAAATGAGGGCGTAAGAATAAAAAAGAAAAGTAATGGGCGACATCATCGCATGTTATGAAGCCGGCGTTGATGCCACAAAAAGTTTGGACGGCTTTGAAAAACTCGGCCTACCGAGGTTATCCCCATGAAAGGGTTACAAAAACGTGAGAATACATAGTGAATTTGAGGTAGATTAAAACCAAGGCATGCTTTCCTAGCGCTGAAAAGCAAAAAATTGAATTGTCAGCATCCCAACTGGTATAAAAATATGTATCCACCTTCAGGTTCGCCCGAAAAGGCTGAAACTGGTCGTTGACTTCGACAAAACTTGCAGCACATTACAGTTCTTTTTCGAAATTATACAAAAAACAAAACACCGGTCGGTACCGTACTTGAAATGAAAGTCAAGTATCGCAATGGGAAGAGGCTGTCGAAGAGGAAAAATGTTAAAACATGTATAAATTTTTAGGTTTTTGATGAACTACGCTAGTCTGCAATTAAAATGAGTGATAGTTTCTCTATAGAACGGGCCTTGCAGTGAAATTATAGCTCAAATGTAAGAAAATTTGGAAAAATCTCTGGAGAAATTTGTCATGGGTAATATCCCAGACCTCCCACCTCCCTGAATGAATGAAAAAAAAGTAAGTCAAAAGTCTAAAAAAAGCCGGCATTCTATTTATGATGAGTCGGCGTGAGAGCAGACGATACAAAACGTTGGTCGAGCAAAAACGTCAAAAGATGAGAATGCGAAGATTAGCAGTGTTTTATGCAAGATACGTCCGAGCAATCGGCGGTTTGTAGGCAGATGTTTTTGAGGCGACTTTTGAAATTCGAGTGGAGAATTGGGAGTAAACAAGAATATGACTGCTATTTTCAGTAGAATTGTAATGTGTAAATTGCATTGGCACGTAAAATTTTAAAGGTACGGGTGTCCAGATACCGGTAAGTTTTGGAACACAAAAATAAATAAATTTTTTCAAATGTATAATCAAGACTGACATATCAATCTTCCCCTGTTAGAGAAGGATCAAACTCTGACCTGACCTCCGCCTCGCATTCCTAGTATAACTTATTTTGTCTCCACAAACAACAACAGCCTCTTGAGCAGTCCCAGTTAAGACCTCACTATTTATATCCTAAACGCCGCAGGCGGCTGTGAACTCTCCTCAGCGCGATCCCAACAGGCACAAATCCTCGCGCCTGTGCAATAAAATTTCCGTTCGGCGGCAAGTGTGAAAGCCAAAGCAGGAGTGGGGGGATTTTACGTGGCGACCGCCTCATTTTGGCCATGTCCTTTCAACTCATTCGAACATTCGCCCTGACGATGAGAAGTGTTCGCAAAAAAAAGAATAACAAACCGCCAGATCTCAAAAATTGAGCGGATGATGTGGCCTTCCGCATTCCTTCCGAAAAATCAGCGAAATTGAATCGAAAAAAGATACGGGCCAAGGAAATGCAATTTTTTTGGATTTGAGGGGGTTTTCGGAGGATAAGTGGTGATTTAAAGGGCCTGGTTGGTTTGTGTGGAAATCTGCTTAATAGGCTTTACAATAATTATAGTAGAAACCGGCTATAAATAGTCTAATCTTCCCTACAAAGTACTGAAAATTTTTCACCGTATAAAATGGCCACTACTGAGAAGACCGCAAAATTGAATACATCGGGTATCGAAGGAGCTAGTTAACACTAAATTCATATACATCTTTAAATTCTAAATACCTAAAACCACATAAACGACTTCTGACATATTTCAGCGTATAAAATGTCACTTTACCAAATTTCTGAGGTTCTCCGTCACTAAAATAATTTTGAAACGAATTTAAAGGGCATTCCTCAAGTCTACAACGCAGACTGCCTGTAATCCTTACCATTTACCGTATAATGAAAAACTAATCAATGTTAAAATCCAATTATGCAGGTACTTACAGCCCCCTTTTTCCACCTGCACCGCAAATGTGACAGAAAAAAACTCGGAATACGTTGTAAGTTTACATTTCTCCAACTTGTAAATTTTTAAGTGGGGTTTTACAAGGAAAGTACTTCTATGGGGTGTGGAATTACCGGTCGAGATATATATCAAAAAATTCGCAAAAATTTTCTGATTCAGAATATATATAAATTAGCTGCCTAATTTTGGTCTGATGACATGTTTTTGTCCTCAGAAGTTTTCTCGCGACACAATGCAAGTGTCTTTTTGACCGTGTTTTTACCAATAAAAAAATTTTGTTTTGTGCTAAAATAAATTTTGAGGCCTTGACAAGCCTTAAAATATCAAATTGGATTACAACTACACCTTAAAAGTAGTTCCAATGTAAAAATGGGTTCTAGTGTGGCAAAAGGAATCGAACCCGTCCCCTTCGGATTCCCAATCTAGCGCTCTAACCACTCGGCCACACCGCTCTCTTCCGAAGGAAGAGACCGAGCTCGCTTTTGTTGCCGCAGATTTTTTTCCTCGAGAAATACATTTATTGATAAAACTCGTTAATAGACCAAAATTAGGCAGCTAATTTTTATATATTCTGAATCAGAAAATTTTTGCGAATTTTTTGATATATATCTTGACCGGTAATTCCACACCCCATAGAAGTACTTTCCTTGTTAAATAAATGCGTAAT